TTTTTTGAAAAATTTTCAAAAGTGTTTAGCTCTGTTCGTGAATCTCAGAACCAATTTGATATTGATAATGCTCACACATAAAAAACTATTCCTCAAAAAATTAAATGTAAAATAAATTAGTGATTGATACTGATAAAATAGCTTTCATTATCAAACATAATAAATAATAATTTTTTTTTTGCGATATTTGGCCGCTATTTTAGACAAGCTTTAGGAGTCTAAAATGTGCATTATTAGTTACCCAATGAAATGTTTCCATTCAGATAAGTTGTCGGAAATGCAAGGACAGTTAGCATTTAAAGCAATATAATGGTTATTCCAATTTTCTGTCAAAATTTTCTTACCTGATTTGCCAATGGAACGAATAAAATTTCACATGAACGTTAAAAATGTTCAATAATAATAATAATAATATAACGGCAACAATAACTACCCATTGCAAGAAGGAAACTCATAATGTTTTATTTATGAAGAAAATTTTTCAATTGCCCAAATTCTGAGCATTGCCTGAATTTCAACAAGTTTAATTTTATTTAAAAATGCTTAAGAAAATTGATGACATTTGAATTTGAAATTAACTTAATAGAAAGGAGAAGACAAAGAAAAGCTTGCAGGAAACTAATTTCTCAAGAGGTTTCAACAGGTCGCCATAAAGTATACATGTGCATGGAACAATATTATCGAATGTTTCGCTGTTATCGTGAGCCATGTACTCCGGTTGACATTCTGCATTATAAACCGATTGTTGACGGAGATGAAGAGATCAGCTGCAAGGAGCATATACTTGTGATGTGCAAAAATCAGGCAGATTTACGCAATAATTACTTTTTTCCATATTTGATTATTGAAAAAACTTGAAAAAAGACAAAACCAAGTAAGAAGGATATTATCAATTAACTGATTATATTTTCTGCCAAATTAGAATCTATTCAAGTTTTATTACTCCTCTTCTTGTAGTTCTTATCCAAATAACTTAATTCCTTTACCCCAATCCAAGTATACAATCATCGTCCGATACGAATATGCTTCTTGGCATTTTGGATATTGCCATATTCTTTTCCTTTATAATACGGAACAAATATTCAACTTTATGAATTCAAGAATCATTTAAGGACTGACATGTAATTGGTGGAAGTATATTACAACTGAAATAAGATAATACATCCATATACAGACATTTGTTGTATTCACTCGACTTGATGGTGTTCTACTCTCACAAGCCGAAATAGAGAAGCAATTGGAAAAGGTGGTCGAAATGAGCAGAAATGGCGGCGACAGGGCAATCGATACTATTATTGCTGGCAGTAGTGTAGGTGATCGTGATGATGCAGCTAAATTTTGGAACTTTATGAAGGAAGGTACGATTATAAAAATTTATTTAAATGCTGCGATATGCGGAACACCGTAATATCAAGTTTGTTAAAATTACATATATTTGCATATTTCTTCAAAGAACAATGAAAAATTTCATCATTTTATTTGGTTCATTTTGACCTAAAATATTGCAAATTAAAATATACGTAACTTTCAGTTGGTATTCAAAGGATATTTAGATAAAAAGAATCAGGAAGCATTAAATTGGATCAAGTCTGCTTCATTTGGGGTCTGCATTGATATTCATGACGAAATAAAGTGGTCTGAGAGCTATGAGAGTAATTTGGCATATCGTGGAATGCATTTATTACATGGTTTTGGCAGCAACGCAGTAGGTTTAAATCGATGGTATGATATGAGTATACAGGTGAAGATTGTTCTAAAAAGGAATGATCCAGTTAAAAATGTATTTCAGTTTCGGAAATGTTCTTTTTCATTTTATTGAACTGAAAAATGATCATTTAACTGATTAGTTATAATTAGTTGTGTAATATAACATTCTAGAAATCTAATAATCAACATGTTTTTAACTTATAAATTTTAAAATTCCTTTTGTATTTTAGAAACTATCCAAATTATTTAAAAAAAAAAAAATTAACAGATTATTGTTGCGAGTAACGGTATAAATGGTTTATGCATCGAACATTCGGTTGCAGAAGGAATTGTATTCATAAACTTGGTCGAATATGTTATTCAATTTGTGAAACGGAACAATGTCCAACAAATAGTATGCTAAATTGCTAATATCTTGCCGTATTCGCTCTTATTTCTTCGCTTTGGATTCAATTTCAACTTTTTGCAAAGCAATTTTATTTTTATAGCTGCTAGAATTTTTTATTAAGCGAACTGTTCCTTGTATAGTTCAATTTAATTTAAAATATTTCCGATAAAGGAAAATTTTCAGTCGGATAATTCAAAGAACATAGCACCACTGCAACTACACTGGAATCTATTACCAAATGCCAAGCCATTTCTACAAAAACAAATTGAAGTCTTCAATGGGTAAGTTTTCTTTTCTTGCAATCATAAACTTGACTGCAAAAAAACTGACTTCAAAAGCTGAGAAATAAAGTTAAAATTTAAAACTGTTGATGGAAAAAAGATTTGATTTATAATCCAGTATTAAGATCCCTATGGTAAGCAATCCTATTGAATCTAGAAACAATCTTAAAATCTTCGGATCATAAAGAGTTCATAGTAATTTTTGCAATCTAATATATTTCTTGGTATTTGTTGTATTTTTTGTAGTTTGGCGAATGACTTGAACTTACAAGTGTTAATTTTTGATGGATTTGGAAAAGAATTCATAAAATCTTGCAATATCAGTCCGGATGGTTTTGTTCAATTGACGATGCAACTTGCTTACTACAGGTTCCCTTCGATGGACTAATTCATTTCAGGAAACTTTTTTCAACCGGATGTTTGTGTATTTTATTGATAAATATACCGAAGCATTTTTTTATGCTCCCTAAATAGAAGGTTTTCTGGGAACAATGTGAAAATTAGAGAAAAATACTACTTTTTGCATGTAGATTACACGGACACTTAGTTTCAACGTATGAAAGTGCATCCATAAGACGATTTCGTTACGGTCGTGTGGATAACATTCGTGCTGCAACACCAGAAGCGTTGCGATGGGTAAAAGCGATGCACGTAAAAAATAACACAAGAGTATGTACTTAAATTCAAAACTGTCCTTCAGATTTTATTTCAAAAAATTTTAATACGACGAATTACATCTTAAAAATGATTGCATTAGTGTAACAACAACCTTTGATCGAACTAGTCTTTTGATTAAACGATTACTGTATTTTTACAGTTGCTTTTAAAGTTTTTTTGATGCAAGAAAATAAGTTGCAGGATGAGAAACAAAAACTTTTTATGGAAGCAATGCAAAAGCAAGCAGAAATTACACTTGAGGTATGCTACTTATTGAGCTTACCAATTTCAGATTAAAAGCGTTAGCATATAGAATATGTATTATACTGATGAATCTCTGAAAGGCCATGAATTCAAGATATCTTAAATTCTACAATCATAAATTCTTAAAAATTTTGCAGAATATAACTGGTCATGGTATTGATAATCATTTATGCGCGCTTCACTTGCTTGCTAGGGAGGAAGTGGAAAAAGGTTTATTGCCAAAAATGCCAGATCTCTTTCTGGATCCTACATGGACAGAAACCATGCGATTTCCGCTGTCGACAAGCCAGGTTTGTCAACTGCGCTTGAGTGAGGATATAATCTTTGTAAAAATAACATGAAACAGCAGAATTAGCAATCTGTTTTCCTTGCTTCGTTACAGGTAACAACCACTGCTGCAATTAGCGATACATACCTTTGCTATGGACCCGTTGTTAAAGACGGTTATGGTTGTTCATACAACATTCAACCACATTCAATTATCTTTGCTCCATCTTCATTTAAAAGTTCCCTTGCTACAAATGCTGAGCACTTCAAGAAATCATTGGTTGATTCACTGCATGATATTCAATTATTAATTACGCAATAATCTGATTGCCAGTGTTGATGGAAAACTTTTTTTTGATGAAAAATGATATAACCTGTGATGGTATGTATCATTTCATATTTCATTGTCTTAACTTTACTTCTTGAACACCTTAGGGAGTGTTTTTCTTTTAGTACTTCAAATGATCAAGCGTTGAGAGAAATTTAGAACCATATAAATCTGAAAGTTAATATCGTGAAACAAAAGTTGATTTGAAAAAGTCGCAAAAATTTATCACTTATGACTAATTTAAAATAACTTGAATTCTGAGGTGTTCCGCATGATATCCTGTATAGTTCTAGAATAAAATCATCCAGTGTAAAATTAAAGTAAAAAAATGGTGTATTATTTATAGTATTACTGTTTGCCAAGCTCAATAGTTTATAATGTTTGTCTCTTATGTATAGCAGCTTTTATTACTTCTACAAATGATGAATTCCTTGGTTGAGTATTGCAAAGTTTAATTTAACCTTCATTTATCATCTGGCACTTAACATGTAACGAATCTATATTTTGTTCAACAATAACCTTTTGTGAATATAATTTGCTCATTGCAATTCGGATAAATAGCCATTATCAATGTTAAGTGCGAAATAATATTTGATATATTTGCACGTATTTGCAAATAATATTTGATATAATAATATTTGATATATTTGATATATGATATATTTGATATATTTTGATATATTTATTTCCAAAATTTCATTGTAGTTTTATGTTTCAGATTTTCCATTATTGCTAGCTGTAGCTAATTAATAGATCTACATAAACTTTCTGTACGATGCTATTACTTAATTAATCACTGGTGAGTTAATACCACCATCCATATTTTGGGAGTAGAAATGAAGGTTTAAAGTAACGATGTAATCAGCGAACTGAATTTTGAACAATGGCACTTCTCCAGATAGTCCATGCACGTATCATCTTGTTTGCCACAGGTACACACTGCACGGGATGACCAGGCACTTCTGGTTACTTTTCGTTAAGAGAGATGAAACAAGCAGGTCCAAATGACCGCAAAATCGTGATACTATTAGAGACATTTTATGTCTATTTGTAAACATTGATGAATTGCCTTTCTGCATTTTTGTTTATCATTTTTTTGCATTTAATACTAATCACATAGTTGAGTGGAAGCAATAGTCGTAACGAGTTCAAATTTCAAATTATTTGACGGTAATTGTTTTCTTTCACCCATCGCCTCTAACAACTTCATTTGTGATAGTTGGATTTCCGGAACACCGCCATCTCCCCTCATTTCTGAAATAAAGTTCTATCTTATCAGCCAAACAAAAAGCTTGATTCGTGTGACCTCTACAATCAATGAAATGAATTTTGATGATTCATATTAGACAACGTATCTCAATTTATATACAATCTATTCTTCATACGAATTACGAAGCTTTAAGAGTCTAAGGTCGACTGAAAATTAGTGATTTTTCTGTCATTCATATATCTGATATTCACGGCTTGACGACAACGATCCTGCAAATGGAAATGTATTACCTTTTGTTTGGTTGATCATTGGGGTAAGCGATAGGAGAAAATTTTTTTGTTTAACCGGTAGCAGCTTCAACCACACTGGCAAAGGTGATGGTGTGTTGACCGAGTGTTGTGAATTCGGTACAACTGGAGATATCACTGAAGCGTTTGGTGCCGATGCTGACATGATATTGACTACAGCCCTATTGCGAACAGTAGGCTGAGGGGATAGCAAATCAAAATTTAGCTTTTCTATTTCTGAATGGCATTCCGGTTCACGGTTTGAATCGAGTGAATAACGATCATTATTGATGAACTTGCATTGTTCAATAACGGATGATGTTTCAGACTTCTGGCTTGATAAGCTGCTGAAGTCAGAAAATGACATCCGATCGCTCCCACTGTTGTTTGTTCCCTTTTCAGGGAATGCTTTTGGTCTAATGTTCAGTAGAGCTTTTACGTATGAGGAGGTACTTCGGAGCTCCTCTTCCACTTCATCGATCATAACATTCACTTTTTGCATCGCTCTATCAAGTTTCCTCCAAGAATCTATTCTGTCAACATCTGATTTATCCTTGCATTTGAAATGGCGTGTAACCGTTGGGAAAGAACGTGAGGTGATTGTGAAAGGACGCTGAGTGTAAGGTCGAATATCAAAGGATGAATGATGGCATATCCTTGCTGGGACTTCGATTCTCGGCATGCGCTTCAATGAAGCAGCAATGCTCGGGGTAGTACCACAAACAAAATCAGAGGGACATAACTTCAAATTCATTGCTAACAGCCCTTCATCAGCAACATATGTCGGATAAGACCAACAGCTTGCTATGTATTCCGCCCTTATCAATACCCCGTCTGATACCTGCAATCAAGTCGGTAACGTCTGTTGTTAAAATTTATTTGAAGGTATGCATAAATGTCATATTTGCTGTCATTACAGAAAAAGAACTCTGACAACTATGAAAAAGTAAAAAATTCTTGAATAAGCGATAGACCGCGATCTTTCTATTTTCATGCTACAAAACTGTCATGTGGCGAACAAAAGCATTTATAAAACTTGAAATTAAAAATAAAATAGAAAAGTTAGTTGCAACAACCTTTGTCCTAACTGTATTTATTTGCAGATCTTGTTGCATTTCATTTCTGCTTATACCTTCTTGAAGTATCTGTAATAATGTATTAATGAGCGCAGCTGATTAAAAGGAGTTTAAGAAAGATTTCGTGAGATTTCGAAATCTACTGTAAGATTTCGTTTAAATATAAATTTCAATTCGAACTACATAAAAATACATTAATAGAATTCACCACTAATAATTAATTAACAGAATCAACGGACCACTTCTTTGAGCAAATGATTTCGCCAACACATAATATTTTCAGGACAAAATTCACTCATGTGAGCAAATGGTGAACGAAAAGTAGAAAGATAATCGAACAAATGATTTAACTGTTCAAAATCACTCTGATCAGCTTCCCTCATCCATCTGAAGTTCGAAAAGAATTAGCAGTAATATTAGTGAAGCATATATGATCCGAAAGCAAAGCAAGAATAATTAGCCCTTTGAAACCTAAAATTTAACAATAAGTGATAAAGTTACAAAGCTGGAGCGGACATTGAATTGACAGTTGGAAATAAGGGGACAACATATAACAAAATAGTGGTACGACATTCTCCTCTAATTATGTTTTATGACCCTTTCTGCCCTATCTTTTCCCTTTGCTTCGTTCATTTCTCTCTTTTTTGTCTATCTTTTTATAGTATACTGACATACTCTAAAATTTTAAGTTAAATCTTGCAAAGTGAAGTTTCAAACTCTAAACTTTTATTTAATGCACAATGCATCGACATATTGTATTAAAACATGTCGATGCATTGTGCAAACGATGTACAATCCGTCATTGTGATAAATGTTGAAGTGAGAGCAGAAAAAAGCAGCAAAGGTCATGTAGTGTTGAGGTTATTTAACGAACAATGAAAAATTTAAGGGTAAGATTTGAAATGGTATGGAAATAATATGCAATTATTTAATTGATCATACTTGACTAATAAATCATCGTCATCGTTCACTTCTCCTTTCAGTAAATTGTAATACTTCATACTTACTTGTTTCAATTGATTCTGAAAGAACAAAAAATAAGTTATAAAGCAATTACAAAACCAGTAAACACGATGAATTATGCTTGAATTGATTCTGCGGTAATATTAAGTAGAAGAATTAAAATTTCTGGAAATTTTGAGTCTCTTACGCTAGAAACGAGGCCATGTCGGTGTTCCATCGAGGCAGCATCACGTGTTAACAAGCGCAATATAATGAGAATAAATTTCAAAAAACCACGAATCCAAAAAGAAATTGATTTTGATGGAGGTTTTTCATAATGATTCTTCATCAGAAATTTCCTGTCAAAATACTACAGCACGAATGTTTTCATATTGCATATTCCAAAATAATGACAACGGTAGTTGTTTCATTTAGATGATTTAAATTTATAGGAAATGACACCTTCCTACTTCAATGGGCATACAGTAAAGTACATGGCTTGGAAATTAAGAAGGAACTTAGCAAAAATTTGATCAGCTACATATTCTAAAACAAGCTTCAAAGTTGAAAAACTAAAAATCTTCGAAGGAATAATTAATGTTAGCAGTTATTTAGTTATTATTTTAGGCAAATAATGTTAGGACAAAAATTTAAGTCATCAATTTTCCCGCAATAGTAAACAAATCTCTCACTTCACATTTGCCATTAATTTCCAAGAATTTCAAACAAAAATGTTCTATACAAATGAGCAGTACGTTTGCGTCGGATAACAAGCGTACGTAGGCTTGGATAAGAATCCATAAACGGACATAGCAATACTGCTCCTCACCGAAACCGAGAACAGCTGTACACATATAAACAGGAGGTCGCGGTAGCTGCAAAAATTTAACATTAAATTCAAAGTAAACAAATTTATTCATTTGTGCATTAAAGGAAATCTATTAATTAAGCCACATCTTGAATTAGTCCTAAACTCTAATTTGAGATTAAATTTCTTTTTAAATAACTTACCGGTATGTCAGCATTCACAAATAAAGGCATCATCTCATGTATACTATACATTTTTGTCAATATTCGATCGAGCAGCAAATTCACCGTTTGTGTCTCCGCGATCGCATCCATTTGAACTAATGAATCTGCTAATTTCCCCCATGAAAGTTGCATATTTTGCATGCTTCCATATTCTGTTATCTCTCCTAAGCTATCAAGTTCGTTGAACGCCATTTCAATGCGCCCTTCACAAAACATTTGCAGGAGCTTGAGTCTAAAGTAGCATAATGGAGTTCTTTTTCCATCGGAAAACTGACCAATGGTAAGCGGAATTTCAAGTAATTAGAGCAGTTTGCTAACTTTCAATGATTTTGAATTGCAATGGTTCAGACGTTCATTACTATTTCCTAGTTGATTCAGTAACATTATATGGTTTTCATTATGCAAACATTGCATCATAGTGTTTTGTTGCATTATTAATTATGCATAAGTGAACATTCCGCGATTGAGACATTATATAAATGAGAGAAGAATTAAGCAGAGATTGATCCCTGCTAATATCATCTGCTTTCAATCAACATAAGTTTCATCAGTGGCTTTTAAAGTAAATTTCAAGCGTGATTACAGGAATTACATCTAAATCGTAATGAATTTGAGTATTCAGGTACCAAGGAACTGAAGCGCTCTAAAAAAAAAACTATCAAAACGAAGATTATTTTTGTAAAATGCATTGCAAAGATGAACCCTGATAACTGTTCCTCCAGGAAGCGTAGCATTGCTTGTGATTTAAGGTCACGAAATTGATCGCAATAATAAATAGCCTCAATGTGATGACCGCAAGCCCACAGAAGCACCGGCGGTGTACGCTCGTCACATATGGTCGATATTGTTTTTGCAATGTCAACTCGCTTCAACAGCACGATTTCATCCAAATTAATGTCTGCAAAATTCCATAAAATGTCAATTTAACAACGTTAAAACTTTCTTGAAGTGGAATAAATTTTTAAAACACCAACAAGTGCATTTGTATCCTTCCTATGATTTGCATAAAATACATGCCACTACTTTGATGAAAATTGATGACCACGAGTTTACAAAAAATCTTAACTTCATGTAAACCAATTGTTAAAAAAAGTCGAAGTTAGTTTACCTGACGATGATTTTGGCCATTCATAAAGCGAAGGAAGTGAGCCTGGAATTTTTGGTGCAACTAAGGGAAAATCAAGATAATATGCCGCAAGTATTCGAGCAAAATCAATTGATTGATCCGAAAATGGATCTTTTTTAAAAATTTCCCATAAATTTTCGAGGTGAACAGGAGTTGAAACATAAGTGTTTTTAGGCATCGACATTACAGGCCATTATTTTAATATCTGAAGAAAAACAAATTTTTTATTTTTATCAGTTTTTGGCTTAAATCAATTGTAACAAATTAATGCATAATAATCGATCTAAAATCTAAAATCTGAAAACTCTAGGTCTCTCTACCACTTTTTTGTGCCGCAGGAGAAAAAGCACATTCTAAAATTTTCAAGAGCCCGCATACCTTAAATTAAAGAGTATTTCCATATTTTTAAAGAATTGAAGAGTATAAAAATTTATGCAAAATAAATGGTAAATTTCAACAAGGAACAACGACATGTGGGAAGAGAGAGGGAAATGCAATTGGACTGCAAAATTTAACTGCATGCATACGTGTCGCACAGCAAAGAAGCAGCTTTAGCAGCTTCATCCCCTAGCAACGAACTCTCCCGCTTTTCCGATCCTATAAATTCTTTTTGCTATTGCTTTCCGCGCTAATCAGTTGTAGCAGCTAAAATTATGAGTAGTTCAAGTTGTACTGCTAACTGCGAACAGAAAAAGATTCGAATAACTTAGGAGGATCGTATTGAGATTAATTGAAATTTGAATTTAAAGTGAATTGTACATTTCTTAAACAGAAGTCGAATTGCGACGACAGTAACAAAGCAGTTTTGCTTGGAACAAAATTTTTAATGGACATCTAAATTACATGACACAATAAGAAAAATTCCAAGAAAGTTTCCGATGATGTGCTTTTTTATGATTCTTAAATCCATTTTTATGAAAATTTGAAATTCCTTTTCATTTTGCAGGTTGATAATTTGGCATACTAAATCGCATTATTTATGTTGGCTTTGTAGCAAAATGCGCAGCATTTGAAAATGGTTTATATACATAGTGCTATGTTATTGTTTTCATTTTTGACAATCTCTTGACCGATTTTATTTTAATGTATCCATTTCCATTGATATTTAGCGAGCTATGTATGTTGTTTCATTTTTTTAAAACAAATTCAAATATATTGGAATTAAATGATACAAATGTTCCGTCTGAAACCATTTATTGGTTGAAGTTTAATGAAAGTTATAAGAGTTTTAGTTTTATCGTTGCTATTCCAAATAAAACTATATTTCTGAACCGAAGATATAAGCCATTATTATTATAGGCACACAATAGATAGGTTACTTGGATGACCTTTCGAGATGACATTATTTAGCTAATAAGTGTGTAATTGGTCACAGTTGGAGAGAAGATGGAAGAAAGGATAGAGGGAGAGAATAAAGTATAAATATGATGATACGGATCAATTTACATTGAAAGCAACAACCGGTAGCATGATATATCATCTCCTCATCCCCACACACTCCTCTTCTTGTCTCAATCAAGAAAAAACTTCGTGATCGTTAAGAAAAAACTTCGTGATTGAAAAACTTCGTGATCTCAATCAAGAAAAAACTTCGTGATTACTTAGCCTTATCTACGAATAAAGTATATATCGAAGAACCAAGGGAAGGTGCAAGACAGATGAGGATAGAATAGGGCTGGTAGAAGTGGAAAATCTATTTTCGATGAATTCCATTGAACAAGTTGAATGGGACTAGCTTCCAAGACAAATGCTCTCCAGTATTATCTTGAAGTACTTTTGAAGTGTTGTCAGCTCATCATTAATCTCGCTATATGCATTAATGCTCTTTTCATCGGATACAATCCAATCAGAAATGGTATTTTCAACAAGTTAGCGATCACTGCCAGATACCGTAGTATGTAAATAATTCAGTTATACGTTTGTCATTTAATTTATTCACAATTTCCTATGCCATACTTTCATACACATGTCCATGTTGATTTCGAAAAGATCGTGCATGAAAAAAAGTGTTTTCAGCTGAGACATCTTGACATAGCGTCTGAAATTTACTGTTGATTCATAATTTATGCGTTCGTGCTTTTTTGAGATATCTTTCCATAAAAAATTTAGATTAATTTCAAAAGTGGCAAAAATAATGAATGTTTCAATTTCAATCAAAGAGCAGTAATCATAAAAGATACTAAACTGACAACTTCAGGATCTTATAGGTGTTACACCTAAATAAAACAATTTAGGAATATTTTATTTTTCATTTCCAAACTACATATTTAATAAATTTGATACCTCTGCAAAGTTCTGTTAAAACAAATGCTTCAAATTGAGTAGGAAATATTTAAGACCTTGCATTTTTGTAAAAATTATTAACTACCTATATGAGTTCTGATAAACATAATAAAAATAATATTAAAATTGTAATAAGAGATATATTATCGTTGCATTTTTTTGAACCAATAGAAAAAAAGAATAATTATTAATGATATTAACGAGTGTAAAGATATCGAATCCAGAACTGATAAAAGAATGATATTAACAGTGAAGACTATAGCATGCTGATTGGGAAAATATAGTGATAGTGGTAATTTCAATGAAATGATGGGATCGCAAAATAAAATGTTATACTTTGATGTAGTAAATGGAAGTTGAAACAGAATTTGAGTTTCAGCAAAAAAACAACAGTCACTATACAAGTACGCTTGTGTGTGTGTGTGTGTGTATGTGTGTGTGTGTGTGTGTGTGTGTGTGTGTGTGCATATATCAGTTTGTCTCTTTAAATGTTTGCTTTCTTTCTGCACGTTATATATGTATATGATATATACATGTACGGTATTATCGATGGTGTAATCAAACTTTCATCAACTCCGCCTTCATATGTTGACATTTGGAGCCTAACTTGAACCCGTCCTTAGAGTAATAATTTCTTGAGATAACAACCGACTTAATCAGAAATAACTAAATTCCTGGGCCTTCAAAATACCGAGACTCATCATTTGCTATTAAAAACTAATTAATACATAATGCTTCTGTAATCGATCTTCCTTCAAATATTTAATTAAAATTTAATAATTTTGAATCTCCAGATAAATCTCACAGAATGGCTTTTTTTATTCATAATTTATTACAACCATCTGAAGTTATCGAGCAGTCGTCACCAATAAGGTTTGATTTCATATTCCTCCTTTTTTTGAACTTTTTCAATGGAACTGAGTTATTCTTTGATTTTCTTTAAAAAATCCGAATATTCATTAGAATCTCACCAATAGCTATAAAATTCATTTGTTGTATTATTCATCCACGAATTAGTTATACTACCATTCTTTGACTAGAAATCATTAAAACTATGAGTGAATTGGCAAAAGAGAAACTTTCCTTATTTTGGTGAAATAAAAAAAAGGATTTTCAAAGTAATCATTCCAAGGAATAAAATAAAATAGGGAAAAGCATTTTCAGAAGCGCTATTGATTAATTAAAGCGCACTTCTTGACCTTCTGTAAATAGTGACAAGTGAGTATTCCGAAGGAAATCTGTGTATAAAGTATTTTCAAACTTCATCTGATGTCCCATATTTTATGAAGGCATTAGAAATTTCTCCAATATCTTATCAATACCTAGAAAACACATTATCATTAATCTTCCATTTTAAATACCACGTATCTGTTAAACCTTAATGTTTGGACAATTTCCATATGAATATTTTGGTTTTGATATTTTATTCAATTTCGGTGATGCTTGAAAAAATTTTTTGATTCCGACTAAATTCTAAATTCTAAGCAATGTTGAGGTTCTGTTTAAGCTCGAACTATAGAAACACCAAAATTTACTGAAACTAATTTGATTTTCTGAAACTGAGAAGTTTATTTTGAATTTTTGGAACTAAATTACTAATCTTTTGAATATCGCTTCTAGCTTCTCCATTTAGAAAATTAAATTATTTCTTATTAAATTTTATTTATAGGGATATTTTGAATGAAACAAGGTTTTGTGACGAGACAGTTGTGTCATGCAAAAGCCTACAGGTTGCAGAGTGTCCGATTTTTATGGACTCCTTCAGTTTTCCAGAGTGGTACCAAGCAATTAACTACGTCAGCATGGCTACTCAACATATTGGATATCAAATTACTCGTACAGACAGCAAGCATTATCCAGTAATCATCGGTGTGTGTCCTTAAGTATTTTTCTCCATTCTGACTATAATTTTTGACAGTGCGAAGAAGCTTCAACGATTTATTCCCTGAGAAATTTTCAAATGTTATTAATGGAGGAAAAGGTTGTTTGATAATTATTGATAATTTATCTTATTATTATGGTATACAATGTCTAAGTGCTTTAAATACTTCTTTGCATACTAAATACATTTTTTCATTCATTATTCTGAATCTTGGCTAAGCTTCTAAAACTCTATCATATTCATAATCCAAATTAAAGATCTAACGAGGAATGAGGCATTTTCTCTCCATTACAGTCAGCATCACACTATCTTAGCTATTTCAAACTGATGTAAAATTATTAATAATTCGTAAACCATATTCTCTTCAGTAATCTCATTTAAAAATCAGTCACAAAATTCAGTAATGCATCTGTGGCTGAAAAATAGTCTGATATTACATAAACAGTAATTAATTAACTATATACTACTTGGATGTAGAAGTAAAGACAATTTGTTGTCATTGAATGGGACATTTAATCGAGTGGATTAAGCTTTGCGGTAAATTCTTGCAAAAAAATTCGGAAGAACGATAGTTAATTACTCGATTACGCTGTTTTCATTTTGTAGAACTACTGATCCTTCGAAATTCTACTCCCTCCCATTTTCTCCTTCCATATCTCCTTTTCGCTACCTTACTCTTCTTATTAGTAGCTTAACGATGTTTGCTTAGCATAGATGCGGAAAGGTTTTGATGCGGATGAAATGATATTGTTCTGATTTGTTCCATCTTTGTTCTAATTAGCGCTCTCTTTATCTTTTTTCCACACTTAACCATTCGACCGAAATAGTTATACGAAATGGAAATAAAGTTGAAGAGGATAACGATACTTTATTGGCAAATAGATTTAGTTTGTTAGTCAGTGAAGAGGTATTTACAAATGATATTATATGATTCTACAAACACTTTGCAACACCGTATTCAAATACACATGCAAAATAATATAATGAATTCTACTCAAACTATAATAATAAACTGATAATGGAAGGGTAGGATTCCGAGAAAAAATTCCGAGAAGTGGACGCTAGATAACGAAATCAGTATGCCATTTGCTTCTTGTGAAAGTGGTTATGAACTGGATATTTGAAGTTATTACCATTTTCAGGACGGGGCCCACAACTGCCCTGCTTGCAACATTACATACAGAAATTACAATATACGCGAAAAGGTGGTCAAATTCGATTTACGAATGAACAAACGGATGCACTTGAACAAAAATTTGACAAGCATAAGTACTTGTCATCACAGGAACGAAAGAAATTAGCAAGAAATTTACAGCTTTCTGAGAGACAGGTTTTTTTTTTTACTCAAACTTTTTGAGATCTTTCCAAAGTCCTAAAGCTAATAAACTTATATAAACTTATTTATTTGTTTCGTTGCAATAAGTTTGCAGACAAGAGTTTTTTTCATTTTATACTGCTTGATTCTATATCTTTTATTTTTTTGGAAACCATGAGTGATATCCGCATGAGTACTATTCAATCATCTCATTTTCATCGACTGATTATCGATTACATCATCGGTTTTACTCTTTTTTCTGGCGCACATTTCTCGAATAATTTTCTACACACGAAAGCTTTGTCTCAAAAGCATTTATAAGGTGAAAAGAAAAAAACGGGAATTTGATTTCGAATTGCAAGAGCTAAAATGATTTGAGGTTAAAACATGGTTTCAAAACCGACGGGCTAAATGGCGCAGAATTCGTAAGGATGAAGAAGATGAAATTCGTCATGATGCCATAATTTACCCAATACCACAACTTGTCCATTATGGTCATCAACAGTACCACTAGTTTTTTAAAACTCACATGTCTGATTTAGATTACTGTATCCCTAGCTTCCGCCGTTAATATGAGGCACTTTCAGCAAATTGCTACGAAGTCAAATTCTCTAATTTCTATTGCTGTACTGTAACATTTTGTTTGCAGCATGTGCTGTTATAGTACTGTCAGATACCTCACAATAGCTATTAGTATTATCTGACGATATATCCAGCTATTATTTCCAGCTATTATCTGACGATATATCACACTCGTCTTACTGTTGATGTGACAAACTTAAATATTACTATGGTGAAGCTTGGAAATATGACTCCGCGTTTAACAACTTCCATCTTTATCTTTTAACTTTTATTAAATTTATTGAATTATTCCTATGCGTTACCAAAAAAGTTCTATGTTCGTTCTATTGTATTTTTTTTAACGAGTTAATGAGGCTAAGTACCCATTTTATTTCATAGTAACAAACAATACAAATTTTTGTTGGATAATGATAATCTGCACATATTTTTATCTGGAATAGAATTGTATAACTGTATGAAATAAAAGTAAACGGAATAATTACTTTTGAGGAGAAACCATTTTTAGGAAGCTGACCGGAGTCACTTTGGAAAAAGTAATTGTAGGAATTCCTAAAGCAATTTTTACAGGAAACTTCTCATAAAAGTGATAATATGTTAGTATGACCTTGACCTCGCTGTTTAAAGCTTCAAAGGGGTCAAANAGGAAGCTGACCGGAGTCACTTTGGAAAAAGTAATTGTAGGAATTCCTAAAGCAATTTTTACAGGAAACTTCTCATAAAAGTGATAATATGTTAGTATGACCTTGACCTCGCTGTTTAAAGCTTCAAAGGGGTCAAAACAGAATTTAAAAGTTATTCCCGTGATAGAGCACAATTCTGCTACCATAGAATCAGTTTTATTAATGTTTGTTTAATCACTTGTAATTTAATTGCCTTCAATAAAAGGAAAAATTTTTAAAGCGTTAGTCATACTTTTCAAACTTTCGAATCAGAATTTTCCTTTATTTCAATATTCATTTAAGAACTTTTGGATATAATTCATTAAGTGATCCTATTCATTAATGGATCCTGTTGCATCCAGGAATTTATAAAACGTTGATTTTTCTAGCAATATATAACTAAATCCTCTGTATTTTAACTTTGAAGCCTTTCTTACTCCCTTACATTTCTCAATAATGTTTTCCTGTATATCCATCATGACTGTTCTGGCAAAGTGAAAATTCCTCAAAACAAATGTTTAAATTATCAAACTTCATAACTTGTAAACATATCGATTAAATTTTCGTACAATTTCTTTTTTTGCTCGACATGAAGGGAATGAAAGAAATTACACTCAAATAAAAGTTTTGATAAATATTAATAACTAATCAATATCACTTACTAATTACATAAATGTTTTCAGCGAATGAAATCTTGCTGGCGTTATTATAATCTATATTGATTACTTTGATTTATTCTGATCATTTAAGTTATTATATTCAAAATTTGGTTGGCAATTTGTTTCTTTGATTGATTATGCTGTATGGAATTCCATGAAATACTTTAAAACATGGTTTTCTTGGTTTAATTTGCATAACAGTATTTATTCCCGTCCTTCCTAATGACTACTTGAAATTATATGATTATTATTGAAGCTGCGTTTGCTGAACTAAAATATGCCACGGTGCAATTGGAATGATGCCGAATGACAAAATATAAACAGAAATATGAAAAATATTGAATTTAAAGATGCCTGTAAGTTATGCGTATAGTATGTCCATATAGTGCATATGGTTATTCAAAATATTTTATAGGAAGAAATGTCCACAAGAAAAAGATGACAAAGCTGAGAGAGTGCATGATCGGTGTTATTCTAATGCTCATGTCGTTTAATCTTGATCCTTCCCAAACCGTTTTGAATTAAATAGCATAGCTCTTTATTTTTGACGAGCCCACATCTTTCTCGTTGTTTTTCTTTTTTCTAATATTTATTTTAAAATTTAATTCAATTTACATCTCTTAGATGCTTCTGCTGCACCACTAAAAAATACGAAAGCAAATATCAGTAATTGAAATTGAACTGAATCAAACGCAAAAGTTGAAATGAAGTCATTCTTCATTTCCTTTTGCCTTTTTTATAATAACGGTAAACAACAGGTTTAGCCTTCTTACTTTAATAAAAACCTTACTATTCTTTTTCGCATCACTAATTAATTTCCCTTATTAATTAGCGAATTGAAATTTATTATTTCAGACTAATACTAAAATTGTGCTGAGAATCTACATTTTTATTTGTAAATGAAAAAATTTTCATTTAGTTAACTATTCAAAATTTATGCGAGCGTGCAAAAATCTCAAGCGGTGAAGTTTAGTTACTCCCAATGTTAATCGTTCCATTTTTCGCTTTCTCCTATTTCCTTCTCTACAGTAATAAATTTATTAAAGCACTTAATTGCTGTTGCAAAGTGACATTTTTTTATAAAATTAATTATATTCAACAACATGAGTTAAATTGAATTAAATGATAAGTGCAACAAAAATCGTAAATTGAAATTCTCGCGCAATCATTTTATAAAAACTTATTTTTTCAGAACCACAATTTCGAAAGATCTCCTAGACTAATCGCTTTATTTCCATTTAGTCTAAATAGTTTATTATTTAATAAAAGTTAGGTTTGGCATTAAAGAACAAAATCCAAAAACTGTACCCCTGGGCCGCTTATTATTAACAAAATCAAAATTATTTGTGAGGCTAATGAGCGCCCGTATCACTTTCACGTAAGTAAGCGTGAGTATGAATTCCAATTTCAAACCTAAACATGGATGAAGAATTTAAAAAGGATGAGTTTAATTACTTGACCTGTAACTAATTAGTCTACTTATTACTGATATTCGAAAGTTTCGGACGTTTATAGAGAAATAATTTTAGAAAAACTGTACATGCAAGGCGTCTAAATATTTGAAAAAATGTCCAGCTTTGCAAACTTCTAGGAAGTCCAACAAACTTTGTTCATCTCTATAAATTACTTTCATTGTTCGCATAAGAGCGACTGCATGCATAGGAAACGGTATTTATTCAATCCCTTACGGAACCTGTGTGCAAATCGCTTACAGGACAATAGTCCTGCGATCATTTTAAACAATGAAAATACTAAATAACTATGCTTCATACGATTTCTTACTTGGATAAGTAACAACATATTACGATGCGCTTGCTATTCGAATTTTTTAGTTTAATTTTCGAAATTAATTATCAAAATCCGATAAATCTTCGTAGTCTGGATCATGATATTCCGTGAAACGATTTGGTATTGGCTTATTCCTGTAAGTACGATAAAATTCTTTCAGAAAAAAGTAGCAAACAAGATATTTTAAGAGATACAATTCAGATGGAGAATATAAGTATCACGAAATTTCAATGTGTTAAAAATTTCATATCTTAGGAAAATTTGTAAAGATTCGAATTTGCTTTTTATTAAGTTAGAAAAAATATGATCTGTAGGGTATCCCAAAGTTTCCTTAAGGTATTTCGAAAAAAAAATTCTGATTCTCATTACCTTTCCTATAACCCATCACTTTTAGCTAAGACCCTATGTACAACAGCTACTTGCATTCCTTGAATGCACATCATCAACACTTAGGGAAAAGAGGGGAGAAAAAAAATGAGAATAGTAACGAATAACTGTAACTTAAAGTATTCTTCAAGAAGAATAACATCACGTCACTAATAATCGCTCAAAACATATAGCACAATACACTGCGGGAGACTGAAGGGTAATATCATAAAAGTTATGCAGAATATTTTTCGAAAGATCCATGAAAACAAAAGGCTTAAACATGAATTGTTGATTGATTCTCAAGTATTCAGGATTATAATTCTTTTCTGCACAATTAATTTTAATGAAATATGATCAGTTAAAGTTAACCTTGCAAGACTGTCAAATGAAATCGGATTGCTTTCACGAACTTCTCGACCGATTGATTGGAACCGGTGTTCCCAAAACGATGGAGTTCTTAGTGCGGCGCTTAAGTAGGATGTACCAGCAGTACGCCAATCCATATCACCCTTAAGCAACACTTACATGTACTTCACTGAATCTATTTCCTCCCTTTCTGTTACTTTGGTCTGGAAACGCTTATTCATCAAAACTCTGATTCAAGATTTGGAGATCATCAGACTTAACAATTGCATGCAATTTCTAAGAAACTGAGGAGTCAAACTTGGAATCGTTTTTCAAGCAAATCTTTATCATTAAAATTTATTTTTTAGAAACATCGGACTAAAAATTAAGAATTCCGAGAAAATAAGAAGCGGCAAAGTACTTTTGTAAACATATAAGTTGATAGTGGCGCATCACCTTTCGAACTTGATTCTCGTAACAATTTCTCCTCCCACGTTTGTGGCCTAAGAATCAAAAATAAAACTGAAACAACGAAGAATGATGTTGCTTGAAATTTTGTATGATGTACAGTAATTACAGCATGTGCATACATGTTTGAGGTTTGCATCTCAAACTATTAATAATATTATTCTCTCAAACTATTAATGTATGCACATGCTAACAGCCATTTTCGATCACAACAATGTAGTGTTGAATAAGAAATAAAAGAAGAAATTACCCTCGTGGAACATATTTGCCTTCTGGACGCTTGTACAGATCAACAGAATATTGCAAATCAAAATCAAAATAATCCGGATCATCGCGATTTGGACGACTATAATACGGACGTGGCATAAATGTCTGAAAGTTCAGCAAAATCAAAAATAATCTAAAAATATTAAGAGCTTTATGCACAGAAAGACCAGCAACAGTAATATGCCAGCAGAAGGAACTTGAGGGAAGTAATCTGACGATGGTTCTGCGGATTATATGAGGAAACGTGATCATGTGTTTCTATTTCGTTATCCCAAGATTTGCTGCATAAAATATTAGAAATATGCTTTTACGATATTTTGTCTTCCTTACGTTCATTATTTTTTTTTTGCCTAACAATTTGAAATATTAGGTATTTTGAATTCGAGTTCCCAAAACTTTTATTGTGCAACTGCTCATGCCACAAATTTTTAGCACATTTTAGAATCGGAAGTGGCGAACAAAATCAATTGAAAATTAAATTGAAAATTAAAGTCGAAAATTAAAGCCTTTCACTGATGCATGCAATAATAAATAAAATCATCGAACACATTTTTGCGTTGCATACCTTGCATATATTATAATGCAACCAATATTATTTTATACAATTGAACTGCTTATATTTCTCCGCTTACATTTCATAATTCGTCTTCTTTTAAGATATAAGCGGAAGATATAAACGATACATCAATAAAGCAAGATTATTTAAATTGTATTTTAACCTCATATTTTTTGAGAACTTGCACATTTCGAAACAAGAATCATTTAGAATACAACCTTTGTCGGAAAGTTAAAACACAACTTAAATTGTTAATATATTTTCTGTTACTATTTGGGCATCTATTTGGGGCACTCTATTTGGGCAAGGAATAGTAAAAGTTATTAGGACCAAAAAGTTATCGAATATCGTAGAAGTATGACAGCGGAACTTGTTAATATGTTTTCTGTTACTTCTACTCTTGAGGAGTACAAATACCACTGCTATCGAATTGACTTAACCACTACCAAATTGACTTAATGGTATTTATGGATGGATGCCAAGATGCAAAATATCTCAACTACCAACAATAGTATCTCAACTAGCAATCAAGAATCTGTTTAATAGCTGCCAACCGGAACTGATAAACCTACTTGAAAATCTGTTTCACTGGCGAATGTCTCTGAGGCACTACCAGGTGCTGGAGCTGGCCCATTTCGAAAATCGTGCGTTGTAATGGCTTTCATTGAATTTGGTAAAACTAATGTTTTCAGCAGATCTGCTTCAATATCGCTTGCTTTTTTGTTGTAACGTGCTTCAATTCCCTTGGAAGAGGATACAGCTGGTGCTGCATATGGATCTGAAATATCAATCAGTGTTTTTATACTTTAATACTGTGTTCCATTCAGATCTGTACCTGTACACATCCGTTACATTACGATAATTCAGATTAACCGCTGATTGCGATATTCCCATTTTCCATTCCCCATTCCCCCAACTCAGTCATGAGCTCAAAATAGGGGATAAGAAAATAAAACATAATTCGAAAGTAGTAAATGAACAGAAACGTACGAATAGTATTCCGTGAAGCTGAAAATCAAATTTTAATGTTGCATTATTTCTAGATTTATTCCATCTTAGTTTAAATTTCAACTTTGTGCTGTAAGTTTTAAGCTAGGATTGAAATTGGATTTTAACCAACTTAAATACGTGTAAAGTTTAGCTAAAAATGTGCCAACCCGTTTCGTGGTAAATTCCTCTACTTTGTGGATATAACGCATGATGGCTGGGCCTTTGAACCGATGGACTACGAATTGATAATTCTTCGAATGGACTATCAAACCGTCTTTCGCGGTGTCGTACTAACTGGGAATCGTTAAATGCTGTTTCTTTAACGCTTTTTTCTGCATTTTTACGAACCTACAAGATTTATTTTGAATTTCTAGCTTAATGATTTTGAAAATAAAGTATAAAATTATCATTCCTAGTGCAATATCATGAAACAAAGCAAAGGCGTAATGGTGATAAAAAATATTAAGAAATTATCATACACAAATCAATACCATAGAAAGCGACAGAGTAATGGTATTAAAAAATAAGTTAACATTTATTAGAACAGAAATGATTTTAATTAAAACGCTATGGAAAACCAACAACTTACCGTATAATAGGAATCTTTAATCGAATCCTGCCACAATTTCCAAGCAGGTTTTCTTTCTTCAACCAGTGCACCACTTAAATCACTAAAATCCATTCGTTTGAACGGTGGCATATGCATTGGATACCGAGTGCTGTAAGAAATGGCAGATTATCATTTACAATGGTTGGTCCTTTCACATTCATAGATGTTTGATAGTGAGGATTTGGAATGGATACTTCGGCCTCTTGCATTGAGGAGAAATGTGTTTATGTGAAATTGTCTCTTAATTAGACATCTCTAAGTTCTGCATTTCTTCAACACGACTTGTTTCCTGTTATTGAAATGTCCTCAAAGTGAACGTTGGATAGATGAAACGTATGTAGTTTTTAATTATCCATATTAATCATATTGTTCTTTGCAAAATGCTCATTGCATAAAAAATTCTAACTTTTATCATTGAACGTTTCGAACTTTCTTTTAAAGTTCTGGATTCTTGATAGACTACCCTTACCACAAGGCATCTAATCTGCGGAAAAATTAATGAATACATGAAATTGTGTTAAACATCTAGTTATATCACTTTCTTTTGTCATTCTTAATGTGCACAATCTTAAGGTACTAGACGATATCAGTGGTACGGAAGTCTGCAAGTTGCTTTCGGTGAATAAAAATATCTCTTGCTAAAATACGTAAGTATCAAACCCAGAAGAAGTAGAGCTTATACTGAACAAAGCTGGCTTCAGATGAGGCAGGTTTTTGGCAGCAAAATCGTATTTACTAATAGATGATTTTACAGTTGGATGGTTGTCAGTTGCTGAACGTTTTGAACATCCTGCTTCCACATTTTCCTAAACAATTTTAAGGTTGTAATTTGTGCAATATGAATATTTCGCAGAATTTGTGCAATATGAATATTTCACATGATTATGTTCAATTAACAACAGATAAATTAGAACTGGAAAACAAAATCACTATACCAAAAACACGACCGGGGATATTGTTTTTTGAAAATCTTTATTACAAGTCACAGAAATGTAACCATAAGTCTCTACAGTTATAGAAAAGAGAAATATAATTGTACACCGTGATATTAATATGAACAGACCAAAAGAATAAGAAATCGCTCGGCTTCCATATGATGGACGAAAGAAAAGAAAGGTACCTGATCGGACTGTGTGTTTTCTATCAAATTTGGTATGTCGTCGTGTACGGTACTGCCATCCATTTTGTTTGAAGCTAATCAATCGTAATTGTACTCATCAGTCGTAACTCTCGTAATTGTAGTTGTAATCAATCGTAATTAATCAGTCTTAATTTGTTTAAATTTAAGCTATAGGATAAAAAGAAAATCATTAAATTCAAGAAAGGTGTAAAACAGGAATGAGGGAATTGTAGATTTCGAAACAAGAATCAAGTTAGAATATAACCTTTGTTGGAAAGTTAAAGCACAACTTAAACTGTTAATATATACTGTTACTGTCTACTCTATTTGGGCAGGGAATACTAAAAGTTATTAGGAAAGTTATTAGGATCAAAAGGTTGTCGAATATTGCAGAAGCCCGAAATTCTGTGGTATTTATCTAATCAAATTTTCTTTTTCTATTACTCATATTACAATCGTAGTAGGAGTTGGTATACTAAAAAGAAAAATTTGCGTAAGCAAGTGTTACCTGTGAAATTGGACAGAGGCGTTTTAAAAAGAAAAATAATGGTTGAAAGATGGACAGCTTCTAAGACGAATAGTATAGAATTGTCTCTTTTCAGGGGAGGGGAAAAAAAAAGATTACTGCAAATATCGCTAAAAAACGATCAGGGAATGATATAAGCTTTCCAGGATAATCATAAAACGGGAGATGTCAGAATAATGACTGGCTTCCATCGTGTAATGCAAAGGATCGGATATTTGCTGTTGTAATAAAATACATCTAAACACATATATATATATATATATACACATACACACATACACACATGCACACACATACACACACACATACACATACGCATATATATACACAAATATACAGTCTATGAAACAGGAATTGTAAGTTGAATTTGGTTAGGATATGTTCTTCATCTTCGGCATTTTCTCTCATCTTTCCTCTCCACTCACTTTCTCAATTTTCTTTCCGTTCTACACTTCACAGCAACTATTTCGAACAGAAGTATCACCGATCATTGCTAACGGCATTCGCTCTCCACTCCTAAACACTTCAGGCGAAGCATACATGCACACAACAAGTGATGTATCCCCGTGCATTCAACTATAATTGAAGTGTAAAAACTTCACTATGAATTGGTGTACGTATGTATATGTGTGTGTGTTGTATATATATATATATATATATATAGCTAGCTTTGCAATGTAAATTGTTTTTAGATTGGTTTACTCTCAATTTCCTAATTCCATATCAGTAGTCATTGATAATCATTTAATCACAGTATCGGATCAGTTATTTGCTAACGCAGGATCGCGATACATTTTGAATTTAATTCCATAATGACAACAATTTTAGAACTTCTGAATGTTTGTAATTTGAGTAGCCTTCATTGAAAATGAATAAATTTTAGATGTGTCAAATGCATTTCTTGAGCATTCTGTATTTCTAGAGGGACACAATTCTAAACATTTAATTCAGTAAAATTTTATATTTGGCATAAATTCTTCTCAAATCCAAATTTATGTGTTGCGCCAGTGTTGTAGTTTGAAGACTAAATCAACCAAATGGAAATGAATTTCACCTGGAAATAGCTATTAAGCATCACAGTTTAAGGTAAGTGTTTTAGTGCAATAGAGTGAATTTTTTCGAAGCAGCTCTTCGTATTAATAAGAAATCCCGTATAAACGATAAACATGGATGTTTTGATCACATTAAAAATCGAAAAAAAGCTTGCAACGCACTAATGTCTTCCTCTCGTCGTTATGACGTTATGGAGCAAGTCTTGACAATGATGAAAAACATGAGCAGTGTCAAATCACTAGAATTGCTGCTGATAAGGGATAAGTTCGAGATTTTTGAATAGGAATTAGAAATAAAGGAAATTACGAAATTGATGAAACTGAAATAGCCTTAAATATTCGACATGTTTTACAGTGCCATAAATTTCAAATATCTTATCTGACAAAATATTATAAACATGTAATTAATTGATGATTAATGGCAGGAACAAATTCGCTTTGCAAGGAATTAATTCCTGCCAAATGTCCGGCCACGGTATGCACGAAACAATTCACAAAAACCATCTACTTTCATGCTGAGGAATGCGACAATTGATTTACATCAATTATTTGTTGATAAACCGATCTATCGCAGTCCCTCACACGAACTGAAAAGTCACAGACTGAACTGATAGACTTCATAATGAGTAAACACAAACATCTGCGTCCTTTTGAATAATTGATGATTAAACAGTCTGAAATGAGTCACCATTTCCAAAATGTTCAAAAAAAATCAGAAGTCCAGGCGTTATTTCTTCTTCATATTCCCTGACAAATGAGGTATGATTTCGTCTTATAGTACAGCATCGCACCTCAGAACCTTGCCAACATCTGATCAAAATTATTTCTTAGGAATTTAAGCAACAAAAAGCATTTTGGAAATTTAATAATTCCTAACAAAAGTCATTTCAGGATACTACAGACCTCATTCAGAATTAATTTATTTATGAAGTTAATTTGTAAGTATGAAACGGCAACTTTGAAGAACTCTGGCAAAAAAAACAAATTAATTCTGAAATGAAATTCGTAGGGCTCTAAAAACATCTCGAAAGATTACAAACGACAGTATTCAGAGGCACAGATGACGTATTGCACCATTTTTAATAAGGAATCATCTGTGTATTCGAATTATGTCGTTTGTATATTTTCCGAATTGCTTCTAGTAGTCTTGCAATTTTTTTAAAGTATAGTTTACTGAAATTTCTCACATGAAACAAGAAAGAGCTTTATGGGCGACTAAACATTTACAGTGCATTTCGGAAAAATAAAATAATTTTGTTTTTATAATTGAACATCTCCAATAAACTGTGACATCTATAGAACATGTGATTAAAAGCAACTTCCTGGCAAAACTATATGGTAAGCAAAAGTTAAACAAATGTTTGAATTAGAAACGTGCGTTTACAAGGTCACCGTTGATTTTTTACAAGCGTAACTACGAAATAAACTGTCATCAGCGTATGCTAATATTGAACTGAGAACCAAATGGGCCATAAATCGTTTTACAATAATGATCAGACTGCCGCTGGCAATACTGATTGTAGATAACAGCAATATACTAGAATTAGCTGGGAGAACCATCATCGCGCTGAATTTCACGGAATTTCGTTTCTAAAACATAAAATTTCCACATACATTCGAAGTTAACTAAAATGAAAACACAAACGTAATTAGCAGTTAATGGAATAAACATTAAAAGATCACGCGAAAATAATGCCACATCACTTACCCAGAGTGGTTACGTAACGGTCCAAAGCATTGGCAGCCTCCTCCAGCCTTCTTGTATTTTCATCAACTTCATCGATTTGTTGCAAATATGGACGTAACGTCTCATCTGCAGAAAATTCTGCTGTCTGCTGTAACACCATGGATACTACACCAAAGATCTCTGATAACCCCAAACTACTGAGATACACTAAAAGAATTACATCTGGAATTCAATTCTGAGAGCTTCTCCGCAACATCACTCGCTACCTGCTTCATGTCAATGTAACGTTGAGTCGTAGCATTATTCATATCCTTCAACAGTTTATATTCCGCAGTGGTACCTAAAACAGACAACAGCGGGTATTCACTATTTCCTGAGATAGTGGAAATTTCTTAGAATGTATGGCTTCTGCAAGATGTGTCAATTTTCCGTAACTGATACCTTCGATCTGTCCTTGAAGATATGCTGCAACTTTATTATACATATTATCCGCTAGTTGCTGCACATGGGTCGTTACAATGGTCGAATCAGGAGTTGGCGAGATGTCCGCACTTGTCGAAGCCCGTTCATTAATCACTTTTGCCATACTCCCTACAACTCAGCTATCGAAAACTTCAAGCCTCCTTATTCAAATTCGTCATACGAATGATATGATCGATCATGAGACAGCATTCGCCGAACGAACAATCAAGATTGACACCATCCAGAGTACTAATCTCACCAATAAATAATGAAGTGTTGGAAGGAGCTTTCCTAGCTGTTAAAACAACACTGCTCAATTGCCCAACTCATTCCACCATTATTTTTTTGTGCAAAAATAACACCTGACAAAGATTCGAAAATACAGTTAAACCGAGCTTTCTCTTCTTAACATACCGAATTCATACATATTATAGTTATGTGGATCTTGAAAACACGAAAAGAATTATAAATGCAAGGAAAATGATTCAACCATAGGACAATATTAACTAAATTGTTACTTTTATGCGATTTTTACCATCAAAATGAACAATATGATGATCACTTCAAGCTTATGGCTCAAAGCTGTGAATGCAAAAGAGGTGGATTTAAACAACCAATTAGCGTTAGAAATTTGCTAAAAGGAGAAACGAGAAGAATCAAAAAAAATTCATGAATGTGTGCAGCAAAAGTAGTGGTTCAACAATATTACATTAAAATGATAAATAAATCTGCTACCTAAATAGCGGCTGGCTGATATGATGCACTCACGACCAGAAAGTACTGGCTATTCGGTTACTTGAGTTATTAATCAAACTACAGTACAATAAACGCAAAGATAACATGACGAAAAATAGCACATTAGCCATCAACTTAAGTAAGCTTAGGTAAACAAAAAGACACTTGTGCGATTACATGACTTTTACATGATGCAACATGTAGAACAAAGAGAAAATATGCCGCTGAAGTTTAACAAAAAAATTAACAGGAATAAATTATGCATCACAGTCAACTATTTCTGAGAAATATGTACCTCATGTTACAAGAAGTTAATCACACTGTATAACAACGTCAATCTCGAAACAAACAATGCACGGAACGATGTCGATAACAAGAAAATAAGTTCTTAAATAAATGAAGAAAATCACCATTTTGGCAAGTACTTCTCGTTTTATCCCGTACTTTCAGATATTACCCGTAAAATTGAGCGTCATCTTTACGGATCCCCAAATGAAACAAATGATACTAACCGAAGTGTCTGAAAAAAAGAAAAGTGAGTTTCATACATACAAAAATAACAAAAGATGAAAACATACACATAGAAACAATAAAAATGATGTAAAAGTAACATAAACAACATTCCCGCAATCAATCTGAAAAAAATTTTTTTTCTTAAACTTACAGATTATGTGACGGGAAGATTAGGAAGACGCAATTTGATCGGATTTCCTTTCGGAGTGTCATGGTAATGCTTTGTCAAAGTGATAACTCGATGTCCTAAAAATCACTACATTAAGTTTCTTCCTTAATTTAGTGTCTTTCTCTCTCTACCAATTCCCGTTATATATTATTATGCATTATTATAGAAAACTTTCACTATAAGACGCAGCACACAGTATTATTCCGTAGCTTCATAAAATTATCACACATAATTTTAAAGTTTCCTTTCCTGCAAACACATAGAATTATGGAACAAGATCAATTACTTGCAACTGCTTCTGGATCACTGCGACTCTTATGTTCCACAGAATTTGCTTCTATTCCACCGGATTGGAACTGATCAGAAGTTAAAATCCACCGTAATTTCTTCTTCGGAATTTCTTCATGTTCAATTTTTCCTTTTGAAAACTGAACACTTCCATCCAGGATTTCCACCTTAGCGTACTTCTCTATAGCAAGAACTGTCCTTTCACTAGCCTTTGGTAGTTCAGCACTATTAATGGAAGAAAGCATCGCACACTTTTTTCGGACAATATTTGAGTTGGCCTTGTTATACTCCATTCTGGGAACCGAATTCTCGGAAGATACTTTCTTGCCTTTATTTCCGCCGTTATCCAATGACTGGGTCTTGATTTGATAAGACCGTTTAATAACAGCATCACTGATTCTACTTGATTTTTTGCGTAAATTAGTTGTGGTTTCCTCTTTTGTCCAGGGATTAGGATACGGCACATATGTTTTGTTCGAGTAAAGTGAAAAAGGCCCAGCTCTGGTTTGCACTGAATCTCGACGATTTTGTGAAGACATAAAAAGTGAAATATGCTCCATGCGACTATGTCGTCCCGAAAATTCATGGTATTTCATCAGTTCTTGACATCGATATCGCGAACATTCACTGCCCGCCACATTATGACTTGTTTCTTGATGCGCATGCACTATTGATCGGCGCTCCCTAATTCGTGAGGTGAATAAAGGGAATTTTCTCAACGATCGTTTCGAATCTGAAATTTGACCTACATTGAAGCTATTATACTATGTAAAATTTGAGATCGCAGAATGCAAAAAAAAATTTCGACTCTACGAGATTTACGATAAAAGAATTTACAACTTTAAAAATGGCACTCCTAAGATTAAAGATTAGCGCGTCACAAGGAAACAAACCTATTACGACAATGAAAAACATTCAATTACACAATGATCGAATAAGCTTCCTACGAATAGATACACTTACTGAATACTTAGAATTTTATTGTGGAAGACAATAAACCGGGTCATGCGACACTTCTAACTCATTTCAGGAATGTATTACCCAGACCCATGAACGCTGCCAGATCAAAGGATGATTTGAGTTTCAGAATCGCACACGTCCTTCTTCTCAGTTATTTGCAAAAAAGAATTATTGCTTTTTCGGTTTTTTCTGCTTCCCAAACAGGAATAAATCATCGGCCGAAATTTCACGAATGTATATTGAATGACAGGAAAATTTGTTGGAGTTTCGATAATGTTATTTGTGTTGGCTTATGCATTGCAGCCTAACGAGAGGCCGTATACTTATAGCATTCTCATTTTCCACACCTCGAAATCATCAGTCTTCTTCAACATCATTTTCTCTTTCGAATTTATCAAGAAAGTTTCAGTTTCAGACAGAAAATCAACTTCGCCAATTCATGTAACACAGTGCGAGAATGAAATCACATCTGTTTCGTAGCATGTATAGTATTTCTTTTTCATAAAATTTGAAGAGCAAGGCAATAACTGAATCCATTCAATAACAGATAACTGAACTTTTCCGAATGGACAGCAAACATTGCAATTCTCAACTTTCTTACTTTGCACATTCGTAATTCACTACTTTCCCGTGTCTCCGACTCATCCCACAGTCAAGATCCAGATAAACAATCATTAACAATTTTCCATCTCGAAAGCCATTATTTAAATTCTTCGTTCTTTTGGTGAACTCGAATCTTATACATCAACCTATTTCTCGAAAAATACAAACTTTCCGCTATCATTCCACTTTTCGTTGAGATCGAGTTTTGGCATTAACAACGCATATAAAGACAACAATCATTAATGAATTCTCTTATTCACCACGAAAATATTTCCCCGAACCACTAAGCTCACCCTTTGTTCTTTGCGCTCTTTGTATTCTTTCTGAGCATGTAAAGCGTTCCATGGTTTCGTAATCCAGTGCTGTCTTGAGAAGAGAGTCTTTCATTCTCCTTGCACTGATATCTTTGTCATTTTCATAGCCATATGCTGCAGCATAATTCCTTGTTTTTTCATCCAGTCTTGCTTAAAAGATTATAAGAAACAACTAGACCAGCATTTTCCATATGCTCAAACTACAAGAATCAATTTTTCCTCAGCCTTCAGCTTTGCCTGCTGGAACTTTTAAAAACAATCCCATAAAATATTTCCATTCCGCCTTAATTGGGAGACGGCTGTAAACAGTAACTGGAGTGGCATTTTTCGTACTTTCAAAACAAATGGAAAATGGTGTAGAATCGTGTCGCTGAAATAAACTAAGGAGCACATATAAGCCTGCAACATTTTCCAATATTCTGGCGGAAATAAGATAGCTGACGAATACTTGTGGAATAAATGGATTTCCAAAGATGCAGCGACCATGTACCATCAAGCTTATCTGGAGTATCGTTGTGATGGGATGACCCATCATTGTTACAGTACTGTTCCGAGTCCCATTTGTCAATCATCTTTTCAGCTATACTCCATTTCTTTCGCGGATTCTGCTTTGAACCATGTTTTGCTTCATCAGTTACATCTGGATCCACGCTTGCAGCTAATCGTACAGCTTCCTCATCAACATCACCGGAAAGATAAGGCCAATCCTCGTCATCACCATATATTGGTAAAGCCGCTGATGATGCCAAGCTCGCATGGTTGACACTGACCCTATAAATTAACTTTTTATTTCCTTTCCCATAACTATTTGGTCGAACATAATAAACGTTAGTATGTAACACTGAAAATGAACTAGTCTGCGGAAATTTCAAACAAAAAAAGCAAACTACGAGGTGAAAACCATTCGTCTGTATCTATGCCTTGTAACATATCACTATCCATTCAAACTAATTTAAATCCAATCAATTTTATTGTCGTTACCTATTCTCTTCTTTTCTTGATGACTGATCTAAGCACATATTTCTTCCTGACTCCGAACTATCAGTGTCGTCTCCTTCGCCTAAAATTCAAAATCTATATTAATAGTGAGAACCACACAATAAATAAAACTTGATTGAGATAGCAGTACGATAAGCACGAACAAATAGTAAAAATATCCTTACAGCTATCAACTTCTAAAAGACTTGTGTCGGTAGCAAGTTCATCCGTATTCTCGACTCTTTTCACTCCACTATATCTTCCACTTCCATGAAAATCGCTCCGTGTCATACGAGATTTTTCGTAATAACAGTGTTTAGGTGATGACGTTTGTTTGTCATTCGGAAAACGATATCGTGCAATACTATCATGTTTCCTCCGATGCTTTACATGTGATTCTGACTGCGTTCTGGAGTAACGAGTTTGTTGCTTGATCTCTGATAGATTTTCGCTCTAAAATAGAATAACTGTTTGGTTGGTACATAACGACAGGATTAAGTTCTGCACAACTAATGGAAAAATTAAGATAAAGTTATTGATGAAAACCTTAAGTAACAATACAATGCCGCCAAGGATTGAATGCTAGCATATTGTAATTCGAATGAAAAAAAAGACCACACCGTGCTAGATTCCAACGATTCTCCTTCTTCATCCAGACAAATTAAATCATCGAAAATCTCTTCCTGTAAACATCACACATAGTACAGCCAACAAAAATGCAGAAGGAACGGTTGACAAATACAATCATTGATAATAGTTGCATTGTTATCCTCAAAGCATCAATTTAAAAAAACAAATGAAAAGTACCATTCTAATTCTGAAGCAGTTTCGTCTCAGTTACTTGACAACTTTCTAACACGGATCACACGACCGTATCACTGTAACAAAATAATTCCAAGTACAAGCAAAAACAAGTGAATCAATTCAAACATCAAGTTCACATGAACTCGTCGTATGCATGAAAGAATTAGACAGCGATATCGTCCGAACGTTGTTTGAAGGCAGCATCAATCCTCCGCTCGCTATCACTTATTTATGTAACTAAAGAAAACCAGGATCAGATATTCAGCGCAAAAGCCCGTGCCACAAATCACCCCAAAGTTTTACAGAATTCCCCAAAGTTTAAGGCTTTCAAAAGTTGGACATGTTTGTGAACGAATGTTCAGAAATGATTCCACATAATGTTCAAGGACCATTGCTAACACATGAATTTTTGTATAAATAAGTATTAAATGAAAGAAATATTGCTTAACTAAACAATCATTGGTTGGGGAATATGACAAATAGGATTTATAGCTGGAAAACTTAGGAAAGTACATTAAATGTTGAGTGAATAAGGTTATGCAGTAGCTTCTATGCCTTCAGAACCACAAAACCAAATTTTCCAATGAGAGTTCCAAGATAATTTATCTAGATATTAGCAAAGTTCAAAACATTAAGTGTGGAATGACTTCGAAAAGTTGTGAAAAAAAAAAGATTTCGTTTTCCTCCCGCATACAATAGATGACCGAGCACAAAGAATTTAACAAACATCAACAACAATTAAATCAGAAACTGTTCCCACGTAGTCTTAAATTGACAGCGCTTTAACGCTCATCTATGCGTTTATACGCATCTTGTACAAACCGCCCACATGGAATGCTTCCTAATACGCTGTAATAGAGGAAGAAATGAACAAAAAAGTTATTGCTATTCATAGCCTAATGCATGAATCGGGAACAATTTTGCTTCCAACATATATTCGAACGTAAGGAAGTACAGAACACTTGCTTTAAAATTTCTGATCCTAAAGGTTCATTTATTCAAGCTTCCAGAAAGGCTCGCCGGATTTCTAAGATCAGGATCAGATATCGTGGAGTATGCGAAAATCACCTATCAGAGCAATGCATCTGGAAAACATTGCATGGAGTTCCAGTTTGTAACGATAACGATCGCCGTTAAGATTGAAAAAAATTTATTTAGTGCGATGAAATATAGAAAAAACGTAATATTCCTGGTTTAGGACCAAGTAACACACATTGAAAAAATATCTATATTCTTCACAAAACCATTTGCAAATAAAAGCACAATGTCAAACCATACGAATTAACAAGAATGATTTAAAGATTTAAAAAACACTGTAAATAGTATCTTTTGTGAAACATTTCTGAAAAAAACGCCGTAAAATTCCATTATGATTAAAACAAAAATGAATGAATTCTAACAGATAATCAACGAACGACAGAAAACATATTAGTAGACAAACTATCGTTTTGCAATAAAAAAAATGAGCGAATCGTATCTGCATAATTATAAATGCAATTATACAATACTAGTGAAACATTTGCAAACTTTAGTCAAAATTGCAACCAGTGCCTTTGCTCTGCATCTTGAAAAACAGGAAAAAGGGTTATCCAATAGAAATATCGAGATCATAAATCCACACTAGATTGTACAGCTTCTCCTATATATGCACCCATACCGGACCCAATGGTGGTGCTTTCATCTTGCTGAAATCTAAACGCTTATCGAGATCCTCATCCAGTTCACCGATAACTGCTCTGAAAAAAATGGAAAACAATAACGAATTTAACGAATGAGAATTATATCAGCAAAATCTAACTATGGAATTTAGTGGTCTCTGCACTAGGAAATTTTAAGGATGCTGTCTCAGCTTCCATCATCCTTATTTCCGGAATAATATATCTACCAGTTGACATCGCTTTTCCATCTACTAAGCAAACACTGTTGTTCTAATTGTGCAAAAATTGCTACCATTTAGAAATTTTCAAACAAGTTGTGACTTCCACAAACCATATAAACAGTAGGATCAAAATTGACACATTCAGTACGTTGACCGAACGCAGCTTTATTGTATTTTTAGAGGATAAGATACTGAGCCATGTTCGATTCTTGGTGTCAAAATCAAAAGTGGCTATTGGTAGCGGAGTCAAAAGACACCAGATAAGCGATAACATCCCAAATGAAGCTTTTTCGGGAGTCGAAACATGCGTCTCTTGATCCTACATTTTGCGATGATATGAAAACATGAGTACCATGACCTACACAGTCAATTTTTTCCACGAATAGTAGTTAAAACTAACACATTATCGCCCCTGACAATATATAAACCAAGTGGTATTTGTTCAACACCCGCATCTTCACTAAAAACACGTTCATGCGAATCTTCTAGTACCAAGTTGATTGTTTGGTCGAAACCTTTCATTAAGCCAACTATATTTCGCCCATCACCAGTAATCACCGATATTACTTTGTTGATAAACGATTCCAGTGTTTGTGTCATACTAAAATCTGACCGAATGAGCGAAATGAAATGAACCGCGAAGAGATGCAAAAAAGTGGAGCAAGGAACACCATTCCAACAACAGCCTGATCGATGCTCCGCAAACTGGAAAATATTTGGATCAATTTTTCAAAACCGTTTCGGCAGTATGTATAATTTCCAATCAAATACTAATAAGTATGATTTCGTTATAACAGAAAATGAAATATTTCAGACTGGGATCTAAAAACTGAACTGAAAAAGATATTCCAGCATTGGAAAGATGAAATACTGGGACTCTTCAAACATTAAACCGAATTTTAACGCCTCCGACGGATCCCAGAGTTACCACAACACCTCCTGTCAATGATGATCAACAACTATGAAATATGTATCATCAATTTCACTTCCTACTCAAATCAACCTGACCACAGCCATTTTGCGAAAATCTCTGAGGAACATCCACCTTACTCGTAAGTCGAACTCAAATGAAATAATCATAAGTTTTTCTTAACACCTTGGAAACATCCTTGTAGGGTGAATAACCTTCGTTGAGGGTAAACAATAAAAAGACAAAATACACAACTCCACAACTTCCAATTTATCCAACACCAATTTGCTTCACAACTGACAACGTTAGCAACCACGTTCCATATTGTTAACTTTAGAAACAATGAAAGTGTTTCAAATTGAAGCGTTAGCGTAAGCGACCAAAATGAATTTGTGGAGATAATTGGAAGTAATTCCTGATACAATATGATCTCCGCATTTTAAAAATTACTACCCAAACGAATGCTTACGCCTCAAAAATCTATACACACACACGTATATATTATATATATATGCGTGTGTGCTTAATGAGCAATTTCATCAAATAGAGGTAAGTAAGTGTATCTTTCTCCTTATCATACTACACAAATAACAAATATAACGAAATATATTATTTAGTTAATTATTAGTTGAGCTTTAAAAGACTATAGGATAACGATGAAGATAGTTATTTACCTCATTGGTTATTTTTGCTAAAGATTCTCATCACGTGCTAAAATAAAAATAGAAAGTTTCATTTAGACAGAAAATATCTTCACATCTTGCAGCATCCAATGCTTTCTTTATGGAATTATTTAAATTGGATGAAGAAATAATTAAGTGAATAAGATTGCCTCTATCTATATAAACTTTGCTGCTATTAATTGTTGGAGAAATCTTTTAAATGTAAAAAAATAACGAATATAATCAATTTGAAAATGTGTATCAGATTCAATTTCATTGTCAGAAAAAAATTTTTGACGATCTGAAAAGATTCATGCAATATTGAAATATTCCAAAGGAAGCGTATACATCTTGCTTGAGAGACATTGTCGTAGAGGAAGGCAGTTAATTAATTGGACTTGTCGTTATAAAAAATGAGCATTATTAATTGATATATGGTGGAAAGTGAAAAGCGCTCTGCTGATTCCTTATGTCAAACTAAATTAGATCTCCAAATTTACTCATTCTAATGTTTATTTGAATAATTAATTAGATCTGTTGTTCCGAACAATGACCACTTGGGTAATATACAAATACAGCACAATGCTCATCTCAGAGCGCCTTTTTTTTAAATTGAATATTTGCATCTATCCTTATTACGTCTGATGAGACGTAGCATTTTCAGTTCGGTACAAACCATACTTTGCGTTATGGTGGTTCATTGGGCAGCGGTAGGTTATATAGGGGCATCAAATACGTGTAGTGATGTTTTTGCATATATTTTTATTGTTTATTGGCTTGTTTATTTATTCTTGGCATGGTTTAAGCAGTATATTGTCACATAAGTACTTCTCACAATAGTGTCACTATACATTACTTACTGAAGGGTAGATTGTCTCCACGATAATCTGTACTCTGGTCAATTGATCCCACCTTGTTTTCAAAAATGGATGATAATTTTCAGGATTACCACAAAATAAGAAGCCATTGTTTGCAATGAGCTAATGACAGATGACGAGAACATTCCCTATATTCCAAACATTATGTCGGTTTAGCGCTGGGCAGCGAACCGCATTGGGACTAACGAGAAATTTGGACGATGGAAGTGCTAATGTCATTTCCATGAATGTTGGAACGGACTCAAAAAGTATTGTGCAGCTGAAGGATATTGGTGGTAAGGAGATAATTTGTTTCCTTTGACAAATTCTGTGATAGTTTTTTTGTGATGCAATTGTTTCGTTACTTAGTTTGGGCAGTTTTTAGTTACTTCTTCAAACAAATAATGTATGTGGGGTTTCTTTGATTGCTTCAAGGTTGAAAAATGAAAATGATACAAATTTCGTGAAAATTTTGAAATTTTGATTTTTTTTTGAAAACACTGCAATAAATGAATTTCTATCCAATGCTATTGAAGCATACGAGATAAATACTGTAATGGTACCACTAAGCGCGATGATTCATGTGAGTTCAAATAATAAAGATATAGTGGGACCTGAGTGCGACGATCCATGAGTTCTAATAGTAAAGACCTCTTTAATTATTATATAATGTTTACCACATTGTTAGTTGTTAGTTCGAGTTAACATTTTCTGTGTTATTAGAGGTATCTGTAAGTTGTTGATAGTGTCTTTAAGTTTCAGTAGATTAATATATAAGAGACGATAATTTGTATTTTCTATATATTTTGTGACTGGAAACGTGAAGATTTCTGGAAAAGATAAGAGACATAGTGTTAATTTAAAATGTCTTTCAGCAAAAAAGGTACGATGGAAGTATAACGGAGTTTTACCGCAAAAAGCGATTGTTGGCCTATGGAATGCACTCACATCATGCTCTAAAAATCCGAAAATTCTGCAGTCTGAGGCTGACCAAGTGCGAATCATTTTTTATTTTTCTAATCTCAAGCTCATTTCTGTCAATTATTTGTAAATCGCAGTCATTTTCTATAAATATGTATAATAAAATTTTATCAATTTTTGAATCTGATTGCTTTTGGATAGCGAAATGTTCTACGCAAAAGAAAGAGCTGAAAAATTATAATCCAGTGATAGTGATTTTTTTCGTTGGTTTAATAAATTCGTATATGATTAACATCAATGTTCAGTTAGAGTTCGTTGAAACTGCAGATTTCATTTTCCGTTATTAATACTGCTACATTCCAAGCTAATATGCATTTGTTTTATTTAGTGATGTATAATTTGCTGAATAATTTTAATTACAAGTGTTCTCATAAATGTTTAAATGTTTTTTAAATTGCAGTTATTTTTGTCATTACGTGGTTTTGGCAAGTTGGAAAACAGATGTTGCGGTGATTCTTGTCATATTTCAGTCGTTTAATATTTTTAGCTGAAAGTAAAGCTGAGTCAACGCCAGTTTCCAGCATCACCAGAAGAAGTGCAGGAAGTACGTCGTGAAATTAAGAAAATGTTAGAAGCCGAAGGCGGATTTCCGGATCGTAATTCTGTCAGCCAGAAAATTGTTCGTTTCAATTGTTGATTTTTGGTTCTTAAATTTTGTTTAATTTTAATTTCTGTTTAAGTTAGATTGAATTCGTAAGTCAGTTAAGTCTTTAACCTTTTCTTGATTTATGGTTGGTATAGTACATTATACCAATGACAAGTGTTTGAAATTTAAAATCTAAACAAGATTGTAGTACTCTGTTAATTTATGAAATTTATTTTAGCTGGAAGCGTTCGATTTTGAAGTAAAAAAGAAAGTGGGTAAATTGCTGCGTTATACGAGGTACAATTGGAAGCCGCTGGACTTTAAAACGCGTGAACATGCTGCAGCTTATACATTAGCCAGGTAAATTCTTAATTTTGGCAGAGAACAATGGAAACCTTGGTTTAATTTCTCGTATGGGATGTTAATTTTGTCTAATCACTGATCAGCTTTTTATTTCATTTCTGAAGCATTGGACACTTGTTTTTGCTGCCAAAATATTCTAAATACATTGGATAGTTCCAAAAAAAATTAAAAAAATCATTGGTGTTTTTCAATTCACTTTGAAATGTTATCCAATTATTTCACTCAGTTAATGCTATTGACTACTCTTAAGCTTGTTTCATTGAATGAAATTTTATATTGCCACACTTTTAATAACCTCATTTAACCAATTTATTCCAAACATTCAACTCTGAAAAATAATAACTTATGAGAAAGGAGCCATATATCAAATATTTTACTGTTTTGCAGTTTTCAGATTTGCACCTAATTATGCGGAAGTTCATTTTGTATTGCAAGAATTCAAGAATAACGGATTCATCCCAGAAACAGTCTTAGACTACGGAAGTGGTTCTGGCGCTGCATTTTGGGCCGCATTCGAACATTGGGGAGAACGAGTCAAAAGTTATCAACTAATCGATTCAAATGAAGAAATAAGTCAGTTTTGCATGGATATTTTAAGGGTATGTTTGTTATTTCTTGTTAGCTTTTATATCTTCATAGTTTCTTATGATCTTATTTGATAAATTCTTATCAGTCAAAAAGCTGGGATATATATATATATGGTGTTATATGCTCTTCATTATTTTAGGGCAGTGGTGAGAACAATGGACATCCATTTGTACATCCAAATGTTAGTTTCCGGAAATTTCTGGCGCCATCATCAAATAACATTTTTGATGTGATAATCGTTCATCGTTTTCTTGCTGAATTGGCTTCCGAAGAATCACGTACTGAGTTGCTAACAGATTTATGGAGGCGAACGAACAAGTGAGTCGATGTAATCTTCAAGTTGTTATGTCTTTCAATGAGTAATTTCAAAAATATTGAAAAGAAAATTTAGAAATTGTTTAAAAAAAGATTTGTGGTAGATAGGGAAAATTTGAATTTTTCCAAAAAGTCTATTGTTAGTTGTTATCAAGGTATTTGGTACTGATCGATGGAAGCTGTAAAGGTGGTTATAATGCTTTGATGGAAGCCAGAGATTACATCCTTATGGGTGGATGTGAATTGCATCGAGAACAAACTCGACAAATCCTGATGGAAGCAAAAATATTGAATGAAGAAGCAGAATGTATCTTGACTGATCAGCAATTATCGAACTATATGCGTTACAATCTTATTAAAAATATGGTACGCTTGGAGTGTTTGAGATCTGAGGAACGGTGTAGTGCTTCAAGATTGTAGCAGCGCATGTGCAATTGCCACATCTTCTAGTACGTCGGCAGTGCACTTGTATCGATTTAGGTAACCAATCGACTATAATATCACTTTATCTTGTTGCTTGCCAAATTATTATCTCCATAAATTCATATAGAAAATTCATATAAATTCATATAGAATTCATATTGTTTCACACTAATTTGGTTTCAGCTTCCACCAAACACAGTTTTACCAACCAGATTAGAGCCTGGATATGTACTTGCTCCATGTCCACATGACCAAGGATGCCCGAAAAATGTGCACAAAGCAAAGTTAGTCCCATTATCAGCATGTTCAAAATTTGGTTCCCTTGTTCATTTCAGTTCAGTTAACTTATTTTTTGCTTCCACTTCACTTCATAAGTCTGACTAAACTAATATGTTGCTTTCAATAAACATATTTAGCTAAGTCAAGTATCTCCTGCTTCAGAGACGTGTGCAGTTTCTCAACTCGATGGAATGTATTACGAGCTGATGGACGAAAGCAAATTTTTAATACTGAGACAGGGTCATTTACTTATGTTATTATGGCCAAAGGAACAAGGCCTCATCAGATGCCTGAAAGTAGACTTCTGATGGTTCGTTTATTCCAGATTTAAACAATAAGGATTTAAAGTTGAATCATTTGTCCTTTCCTGGCAAGACATAAACAAGGTCTTAAAAAGTATTTTTTGATGCCTGTACCTATGATTAAAACAGGCAGGTATATACCCTGTTTATTGGTAAACCATTTCTTCTGAATTTTGTCTTTTGTATTACTTAACTTCAGTTAAAACATGGCGGAAGACATGTGAATTGCACGGTTTGCACACCATTTTGTGGAATACAGCGTTTCACAGTATCCAGAAGCATGGGCAAAGTTTACAAACTGATCAAAAATGTTGAGACGGGTCGAGTACTGCCAGTTGAGGTTGCTCTTTATACAGCTATTTTCCCTATTCCGATCTCGCAGTTAACGAAGATAGATATAAGGATAAAGCACCTGCTTTCATGTTTATGCACAGTTTTAATTTAGAAATTTATTAGATAAGTGAAACGTTTAATAGGCTTATTGAGTTTTTTGTTCAGGTGAGAACTGTAGGATCTGATTCGGAGTTCGATGTGTATGAAGAAGCAGTGGAGGAATTTATGGAGGAAAAGTGCGTTAAAAACATAATGGAGAAAAAGCCCTCCTACAGCTAATTTGCTTTTTTTGTGTGTTGTTTCTAATTTGTTTACTGCTGATTTTTTTTGTATGATTTTTGAGTTTCGTTATGCTATTCATATTTTCTTACTGTACGCAGCAAAGTACTTGTATTGCAAATACTTTATTAATAAATGATAAAGATTTCCACGCCTATTTTACCTTTAAAATCAAGCGTTTTTTGTTTCCATTATGAATTTCTTATATATCGACAAAAATAAACATTTTTAAACATGAAATTCTATAGATTTTTATTTGCCACTAGTCATAGTTTAATGATTTTCATGGCAGTTTTTTGAAAAATAATTGAAAAAGAACGACTGCGTGAACGGAAATAATAAAATATCGCTAACAAACTGAATAAGATTGAGAAAATCAGGTTGAAAAAGTAAGTATATATTTGACATCAAATTATGGTGACGATGCAGCGTGATTCAGAAATCAAAGTAAAAGGCAAAACAAATCCACTAAGTCTTCAATTATTTATAGAGATGAGGTTAGCTCGTCATTTCCATACATTTGTTTTGTCTGGCGATTCAATTTTAGTATTCGAAGACATTAAATTGTTTATGGAGATTTGCCGCCATGACCATAGAATAAATTAAATGCTTGTATCATATATAAACATAGTTTAAAGATATCGGGTTCCAGACTACTTTTTTTATGACAGTGCATAAAAACCACTGAAATGGAACAAGCAAGTGAGGATTCAGAGGATAAATCATCATTTGACCTCTTCATGCCCATATCTAAAAAACAAGAGTATAATGTCTCAATCATACAATGGATATGAAAGATACAGACTAGCATGGCAGTATTGCAAGTATTGTCAATGGAAACTAGAATGATCTCGCGTTGCAGTTAATTTTATTAATGTACTACTGAAGACGATTTCCTATATAACACTTTAGAAACAGACTTACACGAATGGTGCAGTCCCAGCTTGCAGTGCATATTGCAGTTCCATCTGGACTTGTTCGTAGACACGAAATCCTATTTTCATGACCGTATAGAACCGAATGGCGTACACATTTTAGTGAATCCCATACACCAACGCGATAATCACCATAACCAGCAAAAAGTATGCGACCTAAAAGTTTTTTTATTATAGAAAAAATTGAGAAATTAAAATACGTTTAATGTTTAATGTCTAACCTCATTATAATTAGGAAATAACGCAATATCTTGAACTTTAAGGTCTTAGTGAATGTGACATTTCTGAATTGTGGTTTCTTTATTTAGTCCGCTTTAAGAAGATTAATTACTCACCGCTCAAACTAAAGTCGACACCGTTCACTGGAAACAAAACTGATTCTTTTTCATAAACACATACCTGTCGATCAGCGCGTAAATCAAACAACCGGCACTAAAAGTAGAAAGCCTAATGTATTGCTTATACAAGATTCAAAATCATCATCCAAGAAATGCAATACAGAAAGAGTTGACAAATACGAAAAATGAAATTAATAAGAAATTTACTGAAGCATCATCTGAGCCGGTAGCAAAGGCATCACCATTTGGATGGAATCTAACTGTATTGATGTCTGCTTCATGTCCTTCGAAACTCTGTACACACTGCCCGGTTCTTATATCCCAAACTAATGCATGCTTGTCTGCTCCCTTAAAACATAAATCGAAATTTTTAGAAAATATGGAATATCAGCAATGAGTAAGAAATGATTTTAGACACAGATGTAAAGCGAATTTAATCAGTTTGTTGATTTACTCTCGAAAAACAGATTTGCTGAAAGACTTAAGTTCCTTTTCTCAGAAGTTCTTTCAAATGTAAACGGAATGAATACCACAACAAAAATCAAATTTACTCCAGAAATAAAAATGTTGCCAGTATCGCTTTTTGGAACATCAATTGCAAAAACATCACCAATGTGACCATGAAAATTTTGAATCATCTGACCGCTCTCTACATCCCATATGGCACATGTTGAATCACCACTACCAGTCAGAAGCTGTAAGTGGTCTCAATATCCTCTCTTTATTTTAGGAAATAATTGGAGTTTTAACTGATTTTTAAGGAGAAAGAGATGTTGTGCGTAGCATAAAAGAACAAGTTTTTAGTTTTAGCTATATAAAATAAAAAAACCTCACTAAATTATCAGATCTAAGGAAGATACAGCATGACATATAGCTCGTGTGCGTAGCAACAGATCGCTTTTTTTGCAAGATATCATCTTCAAAGCTAAGTGGCACCACGGAACACTTATTATCCAAACCTCTAAAATCAATGTGTAATACTTTATACGATAATAGTTTCGTTACATAATGAAGACCATTTTAAAGAATTTGAAAAGAGAGCTATCATTTTGAATTCTTTAAAATGCAAACTAACAAAACTGTTAATTTAGCTTATAATTCCAAAAATTATTTTCCCCTATCAAAGCTTTCCAATTGCTTCCTCTGAATTAAATCAGTTTTGACGACATGAAAAAAATAATGAGATCTAAAAATGGAGTATTCGAAAATGTCGAAATACCCGCAAGCAATCATTTGCGCACTAGGAGAATAAGCACAGGCCATAACCCATGTTGTTGGCATAGTTAACGCGTGTTCCTTGTTTGTTGTAAAACCATCCCAAACAATTACTTTTCCATCCTAAACAACCTTATTTAAAACTTAACAAGCCAATAAACCTAGCATTTGATAGCGATCTTCAGTCAAAAGTTTTCGTATAAAATTACATGTTCGTATCTTTGCCCAAAGATATTTTTGTTTTAAAGTGTTGAAAAAACATTGATAATAAATTACGTCTTTCTTAGTTTTCTTTTAAATTACAATTGATGAGGAAGAAGAGCAAGGACGACAGAGTTAAGAGTACAGAAAATTCTCTTAACTCCAATAACTAATGTTTACGTAGTACCATTTCCGTGCAGTAATCCTTTACAAAAGTTCATTTTTCTGAATTCAGAAAAATATGGAATAAATCAAGAGGCTTGTGTTCCTTGCAAAACAAACACCAGAAACGATTAACTTAGATTAACATGGCTAATATGGATTTCAGATTTTGGTATTGACAACTGATATGCATGCTCTATATATGGTAGGTATGAAAAAAATCTTTCAGATATGGGATAAATATTAATGGTGTATTCAAAAAGAAATTGAATTCCACAGTTGAAAATTATCGTCCTTCGTTCACATCTGATACGAGAATCATCAAAGTGTATGAGAGAAAAACCGAAAATCCAAAAAACAAAAAAATGTCGATAGTTTACGATCATTGGGACAACTGGAGCTAAGAACTTAGCGCTTCGAATTCGGAACATCAAACTGAATATGCCAAATACTTTCGTTAAAAAATGATCCAGTTATTATTATGGAAACAAAAACCTGTGAAGAAGAAACAATATGTCTCTTATCTAAGGACCAATCCATGCAAAGCACTTTCCCAGCATGTCCTTTCAATATACGACGTTGTTTAATGCTTAGCTGTGTTAGTGGTTCGAGACTCTGGGCTGCTTGTTCAACTAAAGTAAATATATTTCGGAATTTGATTAAGTGAAATACAGCATAAACCAATACTAATACTATTGGACATTAAATGAATGAAATATTAAAAAATGAAATAAGAGTTGAAATAATTTTTTACCATACGCCAAAATTTTCCGATACTGTAGAAAAATTTGCTCAACAGGAATACAAACAAAAATATTTAAAGTAAACAAATATTCTTTAGAACCTACTTGAAACATCATTTAGTTTCCTTCGTTCTGCTTCCAATTTTTTCCGGAGATCTTCCGCTTCACGGGCAAGTACATCGACGGTGTCTGAACTTCTAAACTAACCAAAAGTCTACAATCAACAAACGTTTGCAACAAAGTATAAATGATCTATGACTTAGTGAATACATCAACAAAAAGCTTAACGTAAAGAGAGTCAGAAAGTGAACAAATATTTCAACCTTGCTCCAGTTTCTACAGCAACAGCTTGCACAGATGCAATGATTTTTGCGGTAGACGGCTCATCCGCAGCTGGGTTTTCTTCCTTTTCAACTAAAATTAAAACAAACAAGAATACCAACCAATAAAAATAAATGATAATCATTTTTATGATCAGCTTATTAAAGAACAGATCCAACAACTCTTTCGAAACAATCCCAGACTTTCCCGTAGCGGAAATAAAATCTTACATCCATAATTCTTCCCATTGAAATTCGACTTCTTTTTCTTTTTTTGTTTACTTTATGACCATTTAAATGACAAATTTTGTAACAAAAAATGAGACCTGGAATACTATGTTCATCGCTCATTTTGTTAGAACAGAATTTGAAGGCTAAAGCATAATCACATGTTGGATATTTTTCCCTTCCTGAAAAATATAATAAAAATGGATAAGCCATGCCAAATAAACACATTCTCCAACATTTTCTCAAAAGTTAATTCACTAACACGATGCTCAAAACCAATAAAAGTATCAGGAAGTCAAAGAGCCAAGCTAAACTAATGCATTGATTCTGCTAGGCCACAATAAGCTAAAATCTTCATCTATCCATCCTGTATCGAGTCGAACCAAGTAGCACACTATGACTAGACAGCAGTCTAATTTTGAAAAAAGAAAAATCGCTCCCTCAATTTATAGCATATTTCAACCCGATTCTTTTGTCCAGTATTACGCTTGAACTTTTTAAACGCATCAAAAAAAGAATTTCATCTAACTTCTGTTTTTCGTAGTATTTTTCGGAAGAGAAATTTCATACATCTATCCTCATTTTAATGTTATTTATGGTACAGCAAACGAAAAGACTTTCATCAGCTTATTGAAGAGATCATGCATCGCACAAATATCTCAATGCAAAGTGACAAACATGAGATACTTTTTATTTGTATTGCTCTATCAGTTCTCGCACGTAAACTACAATAAAGTGGTATGTAATCATAATGATGAAACGTTCCTATAAATTAATGATGCACATTTAATCAGCAAAAAAGCATAAAAGCAGTCATTCTAAAGAATATTATTCAGTTCATTTGCTCTACATAAATCTCAGCAGTCAATCAAATTACAAGTATTACGTTGTCTAATGATGTACAGTTCTAAAAATTACTACAAGTTAACACTTCGAAGAAGTCCATCCATTATTGGCTTAGATTAGAATATTCCAGTCTAAAAAACCTTATCGTCTTATCAATCATTGACCATGATGTACTAGGAAAAGATAATTCTATTCTTCCGCATTCAAAAACGAAATCTTTCGCTGCTGTCAACTGAAACAACAGCCAATCCTTAAAAGAAATTAATCACCTCTTAGAAAGAAAAAAAGATCCTAAAGTAAGGAGAGGAAACTTTCAGCGATCAGCTGTGTTCCTGAATTCCGCCATAAACAGAACCCATTTTTTCCTTATGTATAATCCCCTGTACATAAAATATCCCTCATGCGACCACATGAGGTTAATCAGTGATAACGTATTTTATTTACGGAATGATACCTTTCATTCCGACAGCTCAACAAAAACCATTGCAAGCTTGCCAAAGCCTGACCAGGAGAATCATTAACTTTAGGTTACGTAACAATGACAAAATGAGACAACGCTTGTTTAAGTCAGTAAATGGGTTTTTCGTATTATCACTGCTTGTATCACCAAATATCCACGTATTTTTAAATTTTCATTTGTCTTCTCTCGATACAATCAGTTGAATCAGATAAAACTAGTTTTTACTACTGTCACCAACTAACAATGAACACAACAAAGATGCTATCTTTTTCTTCTAAAATAGAATAGTAGAGCCAAATTCAATCAGTGCTACGTCGATATCATTATTATGAGCAGTGACGAGATCCTTGTGTCTATTACAATTGTAAGTTTTCAAACTCTGAAAAAATATCAAAAAATTTATTATATCATTCTGTTTTATTTTTATCACAAGAAAATGTTTTTCCTAGAAATCCTCTTTCTCACTTGAATTACATCAGATATTAATAGAGAATTGGTAAGTTTGATATTTTCGCCTTTTGCCAATAACACTTCATTATTTCTATCTGAAATTCACTTTATTTGAATTCAGCTAGATTTTCTCACGAAACCCAAAAAGAGATTATCACAACCGCATAAATGTTTTTTTGACATGAATAAAAGCATCATCTGAACTAATGTTCCTAATTTTTTACAGACTTAATGCTTCCAGTAAAAGCTTCTCGATATCTAGAATAAAACGGTTGAGAAGTAATGCAAAATATAATGCTAACCAAGAAAGTCTTACTTCAACACTAGTGACTACAGCAAAAGCTTTGAGGATTTAAATCTGTCAACGCAGTAACATTCTTAAAGTGGCATTAAAACATCAAAAAAGAGACAACGTGTTCTAAATATTAGATAATTGTAATACAATCCAAAACAGAATTTAAACAAGACATATCAATCTCGGGAATAACAAATCGATTTAAAAATTAAACGCAGTAAGAAGAACGGAAGAGAAAAAATAGAAAAAGAAGAGAAAATGGAAACTATGAACAATAAATTTTATACAGTGACCCGTTGAGTGACGTTTTGTTGAGTGTTCTTGGTTGACTGAGGTTGCGTTGGTTCTGGCTGAAGAGGTGGTCGAATTGGTGCTACGCGGTAAAGAGGCGAATTTTCCAATTTCTGGCGCAAAATACCCGTTAAAATTATTTCCACATTGTGTACAGCTGTAAAAAAAAGTTTCCTTTTTTAAAAAAAGTTCAAAGTTTCCTCAAAATTAAAAAAAATCGAATTCTAGTCAAGTGCTAGTCAAATAAATCATAAAAATTCTAGCCAATAAATCATAAAAAAATAAAGAAACTTACGCATCCCGCAATCCGTTAAATACTGTAATAAATGTACATCGCTGTCATTGCCAATTAGCAGCAGCAATGACTCGGTCTATAAAATTTGTGAATCACAAGCAAAACTTGGAAAAATTAAAATTCAAAATTCAATAGTAACTAGTAACATTGGGTAATTGTTCGTTCAATATTGCAATTCAACAAACAAAATAAGTGAATAGCAATTACTTCAATGCAATGTATAACATATTGTGGTTGGGGTCTTTCTCTTAATACAGTACCTCCAGCAAGTTCAATCAAAGCCAATAATTCCTCATAAGACGGCTCAACACTCGGAGTCAAGTAAAACGTTACATCCTGAAATACAGAAGCGATTCAATTATTATGAATGCGTGTTTTCAAGAAAATGAAAATACGAAAAAAAAGCAAATAAAAATGTTTTATCTGCAAATGCATACCTGAAAAAGTTTCCGATACCGCGCTTTCAAAACACTATACTTTAGATTGTAACCAAATACTTTCTCATTTTCATCATCACGAGCGAAATAATCCAGTGAATCTGTATTTTAAATTGTGAAATAAATGAACTCCAAATTTAGTAATAATCTTTTCGAGTGGAACTAACTTTTGAGCACACCAAGTATAGTTTTCACTGACTTTTCAAAACTTTCCGAAACTTGCCTGGAATAACACGGCAGCGGTAACCATCAGTAACCCAATTCGGCCCAACAACGTTCTTGCCTAATGCTATTGCTTCCAGAAGCTTAAGTGTGCGCCACAAATTAAGCACTACCAGATGTGTGCATTCCTGCACTTTTTCAGTTGTGACACAACCAAGAAAACGTACTTTCTGAAGAAAAATTCTGCTGTTCTATTTTAATATGAAAAACATTAATTCCGCAATAATTCTTAATCACTTCCCAGATATTATTTGAATAGCATTAGAACTGATCATAGACTAGAATTCGATCAAAAGCTAAAAATTAAACAGTCAGAAAAAATGTCATTTAACTTTAAAAAACAGGAACAGACTTTTCCCAATGCATCCTTTTCTTCGGGAGTAAAACCGCTGAAGCATACTACTGGAACTTCTTTGAGGGTACCTATTTCAGACCTTCTTGTTTCAATTTCTTCATCGGTAGGCGGCGGAGTTGTCATGCTATAATTATTCGAGTAAATGGAAAAAATTTTTATTTTTCCTTAAATTCCAAACTTATCTCTATAAATTTAAAGTCTTGCCAGAAGCTCACCGAAATCGTTTATTTGGAAAAATATTTTTATCATTTTCCACATTCCTTTTAACTTCCAGTGCTCGCTGCCACTGCTCATTTGCAAATAAAATTGGTATTTTCCATGGAACTGAAATAATTTGTTATTATGTGGTGAATATCAATAGCATCCACCAAATAAAGATATCGTGCTTTATGGTTAGTATTGTCGAACAAACATTTGTGGGCTTGAGGTAAACTTTAATGTTATTCATCTATTTTTAAAAGCGAGAGTTAATTTCATACATTAACCGCTTTTTGGAAAAAAATTTTTGCCCTTACTTTGCACTTAGCTTCTAGATTTATTTAAGCTTTTCATAAACTTTTGCACAAAGAATTTGTCTCACTAGTAATATAGTGAAAGGACCGGAAATTCAAGTTCCAGGATGAAATAAAACTGATGAAGCTTCCTGAAAATTCCATTTGCATCCCCATAAAATTTACACAAGATTAAAAATGAAAAGCAGAACGGCCTAAGACAGCAAGAGATTAACTCACTTAGAGATTTTAAACAAAAATGAATTTAAGCAAAGCACAAACATAGAAACTGCTTGCATGCTTCCGAGTAATGTTCCATATTATAAGGTGTCGCATTCGTATCCGAGATCATTCCCGGAATAGGACTGCAATTTTCATTTTCACTAATCGCATTCTTGATACCCAAATAAATCTCAACCAACCACTGATATGTTACAACTGAAATACCCATTTCGTGACATCTTTCTACTTTCTCGCCTTCAGATCTGAAATAACAACTGAGTTACTTAATTTACTTACTTTACAGTATTGCGAAACAACTACTTGCATCAGGTAACACAATAACCACATTTCAGGTTTCAAAATTTCTTGTTAAGTAAAAAATACAAAACAACACAGCCCTAAATGGAGTTGTGAAGCTTCGCAATTCTAATTAACCCTAATTAGAATAGAAAATTTTCAAAATAGAATAGTAAAATAGAAATTTTCCTACGTTTTTGTGACCAAATAATGGTTATGACTAGTAAGATGAGGAGTGTAGCGAGCTCCTATGGCAGTAATCATCATCCGCACACCACATCGTTCATTGTCATTGAAGCCATTTATTGCTATTATCTAGAAAATGGTAGTTATTGTATGAAGAATATTAAATTAGGAAGAAATTTAAAACAGACAATCACAAAATCAAGAAATTCTCTCAAAACTTTCAGAGTGTCTCAGTGTTCCAAATATGTCATCGTGCTTTGCGATTTCCTTAAATTTTTCTTGATTCTCCCAATCTATATTGATAATGTTTCTTGAATTGCAAGATTTCTTTAGCAAATTCAATTAAATTCATACTTTGCCAGCAGCTGGTCTGTGATTATCGGTCCAAAAAGTTGGCAGATGAAAAACACGCCAGGGTGCTTCAAGATGTTTTTTGGTGAGAACATCATTTAACCAATGCAATGTTACACATCGCTTACCCCTTTTCAATGCCTGTAAAAGTTCAAATTGATTTCATGTAATTATACACTATCTTTAGCGATATAGAAAACAGAAAAAAAATGGCAAGAAAAGCCACTAGACATTCTTTTAATACATAACAAAAATGAGAGGTCAAGCAACGTTAAGGTCATGCATTCGAAACGATTTTATATCATGTCAGATGTGTAAAATGTTCAAGTCAACAAACTGCTTCATGAGAATTAGATTATATCAAAACAGATCACAGAAGCATAAGACTGAAAAACTTGTCAAATTTGTACTACGGAATTATAAATGATAGTTGGTCGAAGTGATGTTAATTCTCATAACCTGCTGAACCAATGGATGTCGCATTGATTCGCAAATGACATGGGTTACCCGATCGCTGTTCACATTGTTGTAAGCTCGTACACCGAACTCGATTTCGCCACCATGTAATCGAACAACGGCACCTATTTCCTGTACATCTAAACGATCCACAAGCACCTTCTCATGCTCAATGACCACGAAGAAACAACCAACAAGACACATATCTGATTGCACTGCAATTTTTCACTCTTGAAATATTCATATATCTAATTTTGGAAAAAAACTTTCAAAACTTCTATAGTTGATCTGCAATTGATCAAATCACACTAAAAGTAATACCACTCCCAGCAACATTTGGGTCATGTCCGTAGAAAGGCGTCGTTTGCTGCACCATACGGATATGAGCAGAATTAACCGCAGGACTACCACTTGGTTGCATATCTACTGAAAACTTGATCAATGTATTCGCAAAAAATTTTAAACTACAGCAAAAATATATTCTTAATCCTTTAAAAATTTCGAAAGCGTCAGATATCTCAAAAATTTTGAGACAAACAAACTGGTTCCGAAAAAATTTAAATTAGGTGAAAAAACTCCAGACAACATTTATTTCTTTAAAACTAATACAAAGTCCACAGAAAGTGCAACGAGAAATAAATGACAAAATTCATTGAAAATTAACGTACTATTTGAAATACTCCGTTGCAATGCAGTATTATTAACTACGGGAGATGTTAAACCACTGCCAGCAGCTTGCGAAGCAGCACCTGGAACTGAAGCTTGAGTTGGAGACATTAGCTGGGGTGAGCGCATATCGTGACCAGATGATGTCTGATAGCATGAATTTATAGGAGCAGCAGCAGGTGCTTGGCTTTGCACTGCTCCTGGCGCTGAATATCTTGCTGTAAAATAAGCTTGATGAATAACATAAATCATTAGTTGATCACATGATTACTTCTTGAATAAATCCAAAATAAATTTTTCTTGATGAGGAATAAAAATAATTTTCATGGTTCCATTTACGCATAAAAATCGAAATTCTCTCATACTAATAAAAATAAATCCGATTTTTATAAAAAACTTCGAGGACAATTCTGTAACTATTAAATTTGTTTTTTTTTTATTTTTAAATCAAATATATTGTTAAAGCTCGTCAGTTTTGATTCGTTTCTAAGAGAGAAGAAAGAACAACAGGATACCCCAAACATCTTGTCAAAATTTCACTCAATGACACAAACTTGATATTCCCTTTTTTGCAAATATAAGATATCTAGCAACAATGATGAAAAAAATTCTTTTACCACTTTCTGCAGAAAACAGGCCAAGAAGGCCAAATTTCCAGTCTCATTATCGATGCAAAAAAATATTTCTGATACTTTTCTTGATGTATCTCCAATAATTTCTCTACTGCTAGTAAAATTCTTCATTACAACGGATGTTGCGGAACTATTCATAAGGTAATAAAAGTAATATTACAAATCTCTGTGGGAATTTGGAAAATCCGAGGTTTGTAACTTTTTATCTACTTCCACAATAGTTGAATCAAGCTTTCATCTTAATTTACATGGTGCGAGTTGAGTCTTTTATTTTTTACGGAAGTAAGGATAGCATACCGTTAACTCACTCAATCTCTATCCATAGACTCATATATTGATATTAAAAAATAAAACATTATTAAAAAATAAAATATAATAGCAATTCTTTCAAACCCAAATTTATATTCAAATTTAAGAAAAACAATATTTGCGCACCAACGGGTGAGTATTGCTGAGGTTGCAGATTTGATTGTTGATTAGTTGATGCCGAATTTGGAGCTGGATACACTGCAACAGATGAATTGTTAAGACAAAAAGTAAAAATAACTTTTCACAACAATTATTTGATTCATCAGATCCATCAAAGCATTACTTCTAAATCAATAACTTCCCATGAGCCTGGAATTTCTATTAGTGTAATCAGTAATTTAGATTAGCAAACTCTATATGATGAATTTGTACTTGACTAATCTCACTAATAACGTCTGATTATTAAAAAACATTTCCTTGACCAAAGAATAATAATTCAGATACAACATTGTTCTGCGAACCATTTCACTGAACTAGACAAATCATAGTCATTCAGCAAATCAGCCAACACGATATGATTATCATATTAATATATTTTAATTGATGAAGCAACTAAAGATTTAAGATGTAGCTACCAATCTGTTTGCAAAACAGTAATGAACAACATATAATTACTTTGCAGATATTGCTGAAAAGACAAAGATCATATAATTTTAATTTAGTCTGTAAATAAAAGTGCAAAAAGGGGACATGTCCTTCTTTTATAATGTTAATCACGGAAAGAAACCGTCGTACGGATCTTAAATTTGAATTACTAATTTGTTTGCACAGAACAATCAAATTCAGAAATGAAAAAGTATAATAATGCAAGGAAAGATTTGACATGTAGGGAGAGAAAAATAAGCGCACTTAATTAATAAAGCATTCGTTGGAAGTATAACACATCCTTCATAATCTCTAGTAGTAACAAATCGGCTACCGAATTCATTCGTGCGTATCTCTTGTGCATTGCACCGCTATAAATGAAGGCCTAAATATCTTCAATACCTTACTGTCGAATATCAGTGAATATTTAGTCTGCCCGCAAACGCTGTGAGGTCGTAAAAGATAAAAGAATGTAATCACCGATTATTGAAAAATTAACAAATAATCGGTGAGTATCACCAAATGCAAATAAATATTTTCGCTAACTGGCTTGAACTGAAGGAATGCTCATAAATAAGGAAGAGAGGTTTGAATTTTAAATAACATCCAAACTACATTACCATCTTCGCCAAAAAAATTTTAACAAACGAATTTTTGATAGTAATTGCATTGTATTTATATGTACATTTGCCTGAAATCACACTTTAAAGAACTTACTTTTCAAAATACTACCTTAAGAGCTTACTTTTCAAAAATCGCCTATATCTTCGCTTTCCATAAAGCACATCGTGAAGTCACTCTGAAAACATAAGCAAAAGATTGTCTTTTTGCTTAATGCTAAGAACAAACGTAAGTTACCCCACGTTTTGTTTAACTTTTTTATTCTTATAACATCATTTGTTTTTTCCTTTATTTGAGTGGAAAGTCTAAAAAAAATTAAGAAAAATTGGTATCACAATAAAAATCCAAGAAAATATGAAGAGGAAGCAATGAGTGAATAAGGACGGTAATGAAGAAAAAAGGATATCTATCTAACAGCTGGGTATAAATATGCATTTGATGAACTAAGAGAAGAATCTGATGATGATATCCCTAATGTGGAGATGAGGAATGAAGGAGGAAGAGGTTGTTTTCATAACAGCAGATGGCCGCGGAGATTTTGATGAAGAGGGTTAATATTGTTAGTCAGTTATTCTTAACATATTAATGCTCCTGGTCGATCTTCAAATAATTGTTATGTTATCAATCAATGCATCATTACTGCTTAAACGATATACGTATGAAATTTGTTAGTCTATTTTGCTTGATTTTTAGGTAAAAAATGGTCTTCGATAAGAAAAATATGTGTAGGAAAATCAAATCCCGAGTTGTTTGTTTTTTACATTTCTTTATGTTCCAGAACGATTCCTTTTAGCAGTAGTAATCAGGGGAGTTTCTTAAATAATTATTCGAAGGTGAAGAACATGTAAACAGGACTGGAGAGGAATATGACCAACCAAAGAATACAAATTGTGTTGAAAATACGAAAGCATCCAAGTTTTCAGTGGTGAAATAAAATTGATATGAACGGAGAGGAAAAATGAAGTAAAGGTGGAAGAGGGAAGTGAAGAGTTGGAGGATTGATACCGCAAAGAAGTTTGATGCGCTCACTCACCGTGCAGTTACCGTTAACAACTAACAGAGAAGTACTTGTCAAACAGTCAAATTGATTGAAAACGAATTTGGAAATTTAAAAGAACAAAACGAGAGAGACTTCATTATCTTACAACAGTAAAGAGTATAAGGCTCCGCTGCACTGTTGTTACCCTTAAATGATGATTACACCATAGTTTTACGTTCCTCTAAACAAAAATTTGCCTTTGATTCCGTTTTGATGTATCAGCAAGATTGAAATCATTATTTCTTCAGACAAAAGAGTTACAGTCCTGCCGTAATCTTCATCAACGTCGTCAATAGCCTCTACATTTAAAACCTTAATGAAATGGAACTATCAATGGAGACATGCTATTAATGGAGCTGTACAATAAGTCGATAAGATTGTATCGAAGAAACAGAAAGGATGTCTAATGAATTCCCGAGAAAAAGTTAGTAATAACATAATGCTTGAAAGCCCAATGAATTCTTGTCTTATTTGTCGACTCATATGATTTGCCAGATTATAATGCTTCACTTAAAGTTTAAATATATTCCACTTAAGTATCATCCGCTTGTACTGCTTCAGTTTTATGACATTTGGCAGTAAAACAAACAACTATGAGCCAGTAGGGAAATCAAATTTATTCATGGGAGGCGAATAAAATGAGTGAATTGAAATAGGATAATGGAAGCTCGAAAAGGAAAAATGAGTCCAGACTAGATTTGGAACTGAGAAAAAGGAAGCATTGACGGCAGTAATAGGCGGAATGGAGCAGCAAAAGAGGTTATGGAGCTGCTGTATAGCTTGAAGGCATTTGAAGGGGCAATTTTATTGCCCTAAAACACATATTGCTCCGATGGTAAACGAGCTTTTTAGTTGGCATTGGCGTCAGAGTATTGAAAAGCAGGGAAATGAAGGAGGACGAAGAGTTATCAAACAGATTCCAATCTTTAAATACACTAAATATATAAATACTGAAATTGAATTACGCAACCAAATAATCAACTAGCTTCTTAATTTTCATTCACTTTACTCTTTATTGTATTTCATTCCGGAGAAAAGTATCCGAAGGTTTTTTCAATCATACTAATTTCTTATATCGAATATATATATTATTTCCTTGTATGTACATTTGCAAACATTATGCATTTTTCGAAAAACACGGTATTAGTTGATTTCAACTTCTTAACCAATGATGTGTGGTTTTCGAGGCAGGAAATATGATTACTAATACCAATTTCTCCTCACCGAAATGTAAAAAAACATCTTTCCCAAATATTATGCAATTCTTTGAAACAGAATTTGTTAATTAATAATCTTGTTCAACTCCTGATAGTCTCATGGGTCAATTTCTGCATCGCGAAATGGTACTAAATGATAAGCTGCTCTCAATAAATAATAAGTGATCAATTTTGGTTTTTTAATATCACCATCAAATAGGTTGCATTCTATACTACGGCAAAATCTTCGGAATCTTCCTGTTATGCTAAGTGGATTTCGCGAGTATGCTCAGGTCAAATGAATGGAATAAAAAGCTTTTAGTTCTATCAAAATATCAAAATTTGCTGAAGATCACATCAACAAATCACATTAGCAACATGACATGCAACTTCTGAAACTACACATACCACGAAGGTTCTCCTCTCTCCCCACTCTTCAAATTTTTTTTTGCAAATGGAATGTTTCAAATGAACTGACATCTAATGAACATCGCAAATAACTGATAATTAGCGCTAATAATTAACTTCTCAAATATAATTGAACAATATACTCTTTTGAAAGGTTTCATTGATCGTGTAACAACATAGTCCTGCTAAATAATATGTGGACTTACGTTAGACTACAACTAATAAAGCTAACTACTAAATAAATCAACTATAAATTACTAGTTATAATTCCAAACTTTCATGACGCATTCTCTCTTACTCGTTCATCCTTTTACTTTCTCACTTCATCTTCCGCTTCATTCATCATTGCGTCAACAAAACAGATTGAGGATTGCTTAAGTAAACAAAACTGCTTTCATCTAATACAAACGTTAGTCATAAGGCGATACATTTAAAAGTGAACGGAGATAAGAAGGATTACCAACTTTCCATTGACATGACGTACACGTTAACCAGAATATAGGGTGTAGAGATAGTTTATAGAAAGGTAAAAGATCAAAGGTGATAAGGACGTGTTCGACAATCTGCAAGACAAATGATCACTTTCGCCTACCAATTATATATACTTTATTGTGCAAAGCCAATTTACGGAGCAATAATTGTTGAAATTTTTGGATAAAACAAAAAAGAAAGGAGAGGCTAAAAGGATGCAAATAACGAAAGCTCCAAAAATGTTGCTAATATATCTAAAACACTAAAAGCAAAAAAATTGAAAGGCGATCAGATGATGAAGACGGCTGTCGGGTTATCAAATGAAAAAGTATTGTCAGGAAGGAAAGGATGATGAAAAGCGCATATTTCCTGATCAGTCACTCGAGTTCGACAACAGGCCATTTATCATATCGCATCCTGAAATGCAATCTCCACATTCTTTATGATGAGATATAAAGGCAACCTTCGCTTCTCCATTCTTTTAACCAGTTCCCTTCATCCTAATCATTGTCTTTGTTTGAAGTGCAAATTTCTCACTAGCAAACACGCTTCGTAGTTCATTTAAAAAACTAATTAATTCCAACATCATCAGCATAATTAACCGATTTGAATTACAAGTGTGTGCTAACATTAAAAGCCGCAGCTTTGAAAAATTGGTGAAGAATGAAATGCTGAGACTGAAACGAAATTTGGTTATTTTCCTTTATCCTCTCTTTTCCCCTCAATAGAGGAGTGCACCTGTTACACACTGCTTTAAAAGAAAGACAAATTTGGAATTATAAATGTGCCATTATTTCCCAATTCAGCTTTAATTCATCCTCAATTTGCTGCTCTTCATTCAGATTCAAATTTGTTTTTTTTTTTGAATTTATCAGCATTTAGAATCTTTTTCATCTTTTTTTGAAACATTATTTAATAGCAAGAAGTGAGCAAAGTACTGGATCGAAGTAAACTGACATTTAACAAACCCAAGGTGACATACTTCTTTAAATACATTCAAAAAAAAAAAAAAACAAATTGAATCTGAATGAAGAGCGACTATTTCAACATGATTTATACAGAATATATAAGAAGCACAAATATGATAAAAAGCGATAAGGTGAACTAATTAGATCAGGAGTAGAATATCATAATATACATTATGATATTCAAATTACAATGTCATAATATGTAGCAGTAAATTATTTTATTTGTATATTATTGGGATGAATCAGAAAAACCAGATGAATAAAAGATAAAAAAGTGGAGGATTCGTTCAATGCTAATCGTTTTAAAGAGCAGATGTGACTCGGTGTCGCATTCACTTTCACTGTAAAAGAGGACAACGACATACTGACCTTTCTCATACTCCAAACACATATATACATACACACACACCCTCCCTTAAGTATTCCATCGCGGTAAGTGCTCGCGCTTCCCTAATAAATCTAACAATTGTTTTCCTCCTACTAAAACGTCGAATACAATCCGTCCTCTTCTCCTTATTCCCCCTTCCCCTCAACATGACAGCAAATAGTCCTCATGCATTAAAATAATTTGTGCAAATTTTCAAATACTCCGAAGATATTTCGACCATCTCCTATACCATGATATCTCATTTTTATTTAAATTTAAATTACAAAGAGGGGAAAAACTGATGCGAAATCAGTCCATTTTGATAATTTCACAAAATATGAGAAATAAGTGTGGAAAAATATCGGGATGATATATGAAAGTGAAAATAGGAGTATGACAAGGGTGGAAAGAAAATAATATTAAAAATGGAAAAGGCGTCACTGCCACCAGTGAAACATGGATAAGCCAACATCACCATCTTCACAAATGACAGTTACCAGCACCACACAGATAACGAGACAATACTTGAAATAAAAGTGCCGAAAGAAATGAGTTTGTGTTTTTTCCCTTTATTCTTCGACTAACTGAATAATGTGTAATAAATTGCTGATGAAAAAAAAGGACTGAAAACATGTTTAAAAAAACAAATTTTGAAACAGCAGATGAAGTGATAACAGATGATTGAAAGGAAGATTTAATGGCTGGAATTTGGTGCAGCATTCAAGAAAACCGTGAAGAAACACTCTAACGAGCAGCTGCTGCATCAGTAATGGATATTCTGATACCATAAGACGTCGTGTCAAAATCGTTTCGAATATTCAAATTAGGAAATTGGAGCAACGTCCAAAGAAAAATATGCTGTCGATAGACATCCAGCACTTTTTTCGTCAAAAATTACCGATACAAATTTTTTATTACTTTAAGCGAAGCAACAAAGGCTATGAAAAAAATAAGATTCCAGTCTTACAAGTGAAAAATAATACAATTTGGCCATCAATTTTAGCAATTTCTCAAATATGATGTAATTTAACAATGTAGATAATTTAAGAGAGATTAAGCGCTAATTAATCAAAATTTAAAAATTTCGAAAGCTTAGAATTTCAACTTACTTTGAACTTTTGACATCATATCATTCAACGTTCCAGGACTTGGCAGCGCCAAAACTTCTCCCTGCTCCTCTTCTTTCAACATTAACGACAAGTTTGATTTGGCTTCTACCTCAGCTGGTGGTAGAATTTCCAAAGTTTTAGAATTAAGGGCAACTTTGGTTTCCGTTGAAACAGCCGTGCCTAATTCCAAATTAATACCGATTTCTGTATTCGAATGACTGAAACCGATCATATATGCACCTTTTTCTTGATTGCAAGATGAGCAACTGGCATCCGATAGCAACTGCCACAGCTGGCGCAACATTTCATTGTCTTGTTGACCATTTTTTGTTCAAATAGTATCTATCAATATTTATAGTGGCAAAGGATCAGAACAAGGCGAGGATGCGAACCTTCTTCCTCAAAAATAACATAACTATTCGTGGAAGATAAACCAAAAGTAACGTAGACTATTAATGAGAAATATTGATATCCGATGATCCGAAAGAGATGTATTAAAGTTTCCCAGTGAAAAATAATTTCTAGGCCTCAATTCTGAACTACTATGTTGACTCATTTCGCTGAGATCTGGATCAGGAATTAGAGAAAATGCGGAAAACTTAGGGGAACTAAACAGAAAAAGAAATTTTAATCAGCTACAACGCACGATCTTAACAAAAGCACTTAGGAGTGAACATGGTTGGCCTTTTGCGGAGAGGAAGAAAGGAGAGAAGGTGAACAGGAGAAGTAGATGAAAGAAAGCATTATCTTCATGTGAATAGGAAGAGAAGCCTTTGTATAACGCCTTAAAGTCCAAACACGAAGGATTTGAAAAAAAGTCATAATATTTTCCAACTGAAAGCTTCTTTTTAAATAAACCTCTCTTTCCTCTTTGAAATTTATGATTGAATAATGTATAAGCAGTAGGGAAAGCTACTGCAATGATATGCTTCCATTGCGTGTGCAAAATGAAAAAAAGAAATTGGATCTTTTTCAGAGTAATGAGAAATGAACTAAATATGGCATAGTTCGACAAAATTGAAAAGTAGTAGGTGGAACAGGCAGACAGTGAGCCTGAAATTCCAACATTATACCAACAGTATGTATGGTGGGAATTTTAATAGGAAAGGAAGCAAATTTGGCAAAAATACAACATTGGATTCGAATGAATCGGAAAATAAATCAAAAATAGCAAGATGAAGAAGAAGAAATTAAAGAAAATTAATAGTAAGAACAAGAAGGAAGAACGAATCCAAAAACTACCGAATGTCGAAAAGGAGTGGATTAAAAAAATAAATAATGACAACTTATAATCTATCTGATAGCTTCCCAGCAAAGCATTGCTTTAATATTTTAATAATGAATCTAAGAGTGGGTATGTCTATATTGCAGGACTTGTCGCAGTCTAATGCAGGTGCTTAATAATCCATCCACATATAAATACTGCGAGTAGGGTGGGACGAGATACATACTTATGATTAGGAGAAACACTAATGATTTCTTACAAAACATCATCAATCGCTCTTCTACCAATCATTCTATGACTTTCTATGACTAATGTAAATTCTGGTGGTATATTTTATGAATATTTCAACATGGAAGGAAAAATGGGAAGCACGTCTGTACTTTGACATGGATAAAAATGTTTGTGGAAACTACAAATTGTGGAACAAAAATTCAGGATGATGTTCTCGAAGTTCTGCAGCAAAAAATCAAAAATAGTTCAATTTCCAATTCAAACAGTTTGTACTTTTATCAAAAATTCATGTCTCCGGAACTATAAAAAACCGAAATTGAAGCAAGAAATTTTTTCGCAACGCCCAATACTCATAAGCTTGGATTACTTTTAAAAAAGACACCGAGAAAGAAGAAAGTAAAAATTAAAAATTTGAGATAGAAATCGTTAAAAACCAACTCTGTAAGCAAAAAAAAAACAAATTCTTTACACCCTTAACTCACAAACAATGTTAGAATCAAAATGCGATGAAAACTTCAAGATTTCCACTTCATTATATGCCATAATAATATGAACATTGAAGCAACTTCTGGAAAACAGTCGCCGTAAATAAGATGACTGCCATGATACCGATTCTATAAATGCACTCAGTAACAATCCGATATTTGCTGATGTTTCAACATCAATTTCAAAAACTTGCAACAGATCAGAAATGTTATAAATCAATAAAAAATGATATTTCGGCAATGTTATATTGCTATCGGAACTTATCGAATTGTTAGGAAAGAAAAGGTAAAGTTCACCTCACTCTTTCAAATAAGCACTATTAATAGCCATTGAGTTTAGCTTGCTGTTCTAAAGAAAGAAGGGAAATTATTCGAAAAGCCTTTCTATTCTCAAATGTCATCAGTCCTTCAACGCCTGTATGCCCGTATAACGCGTGTAAAAAAGCTATTAAAATTTTGTCTGAATAAGCGGATAAGAAGACTGCAATTATAATAAAAGCCGTGCTGCTTTTTTTGGATAGATCTGTCCTATTCTAAAATTAATAATTAAAAATGGACGAAAATGCAAAGCAAAGGAGAAAGGTTTGTGCAAGACAATAAACTAATGAAATTAAATTCATCGAAACGCACTGCTTGCAATATTAAATACATTAATATTCAATCCTAAAAGCACATCACGGCAACCACCAACAGAATGAGGAAGAAAATACAAAACGACTTTTATTTACATTATTAAAAATATACGACAGTCCTATTACATGAAGTTCAATCCCTAAGCACTTAACAATCTGATCAAATAAAAAGACGGATCTGTTTTCAAAAGCAGTAGTAGAAACATTGAAAGACTTACCAAAGAATATTCACAAATTTCTTGGTTGGTTAACTAAAGAATTGGGAAAATTTCCAATGTGTATATGAAAAGAAAGTAAATTTATCTATGACTCCGCAGCTGGAGACTTAAGACAGTTACACTATTATTAGAAGTTATGTACTATAAATACGTACGACAAAGTCATCCAAGATCAAGCAGTTTTCCCAGTTGATCTTTTACAAAACGTGAAGAACATAATTAGTTTTATATACGAATAAATTTATTCAAAACGGTGATAAATAACACGACAATAATAAATTTGATAAATAAGATTGCGGTGAAATGAAAGATACTGAGTACTGAAAGGCTAATTCAACTTATCTGCTCACATGACACCGTCAAATCTCGTATTCTGAAGTGTCGTTCCTAAATGGAAGAGAATTTTTTTCTATTCCAAAGCACAATTCAAACATCCGAGCCAATAACCTAGATGGACAAGCTTCAGATGTCTTAATCAACTTCCCTTTCTCTGAATGGCAACTCTGACACAGTGATTCATTTCAAATAGCTAATCACTTCGAGAAGAGATAATAAATGTAAGTCAGTGTCCATATGTGTGTATTTCTGGATATGTGCTGTTTGTATAGAGAGCAGAGTAGCAAAGGAGGTTCACACCTGAATTCAATTATGAATACGTTAATGAGCTTTCAGAAAATGCATTTAGAGTTGTTAACTGCCAACTATTTGCGTTGATGAGGCTGTCCCTAAGGACTAGAAAATTAACACCATTTGTAAAATGAAATGGGACAAAAATGTATGAAAGTGAAGGGGTGGAGTGTTTTCATTAACAAGATCTTGCGAATTCTCACCAAAAAACAAAAAACAGTGATATACAAATTTAAAAAAAATACAGAATTAATTCAATTAATATATGCATATTGCATAACATGTTCAAATCTTATTTCCTCATTCATCATACTCATTTTTTTCTGAAATAATCTTCCTTCAAATAACCTTCTTAAAAATAGCCTTTCCTGAAATAACATTTCCTTTTGCTAGTTCTCATTTTTCAAGCATCTGATTTTGAAACAAAACAATAGTAGAGAATTATTCGAAACTGCTATTTCCTGATGATCATTTATCATAATATTTGAAAAATATCTTAAAATGTGGAAAACGATCCATGGACCTGTCATGTATATAACCATCTGGATTTCAGCCCAATACGGAATGTCAGTCAACACTCAATAAAACGACACATGGCAAATACCACACATAGAACAAATACACTACGATTATATTAAATGATCAATCTATAAGATGGACAAAAAAAGATAGAAATACTATAACTATAAGTAACTATTAAAAAAATTAATTAATTACATCATGTAATTCTCCTTTCGCATGCCATGAATATGGCCTTACAAATTACTAGTCAATGGCAAAGTACTAGAAAAATTTTTGACAGTCAAACTAATACTTGCTCTCAGGAACTGAAAACCATATATCCTGGCACAGTTTTGCCACTGACTAAACAAACATCTTTAGATTATTTCAGAGCCTTACTTTTTTAAATCGAGTTTTTATTTTCAACAACCATACTAATATTACGAATTTTAATTTTCAACAATCATATTAATATTTATTTTTATTTCTACTTGCGTTTTTTTGCAAAAAGTAATCATACAGTACTTGCGTTCTTTTGCAAAAAGTAATCACACAGCTCTATTATTTTAAACGATATGTTCTGACCTGTCATTACAACGATAAATGAACTAGGTTTTGCAGTATTTTGAACCTTGTTCCCACTATTTTGTGAAAAAGCCTACTTGAATAACAATATGATTTAAAAGTTTGGAAAACATGCTAAATGTGCATTTATCTATGAAATAGAAGCAATGATCTATTCTATTATGAATTGAAACGAATTATGTTCTGACTATTCTGCACAGTTCTGACTAAGATAAAAAGCAAAATTAGATTTTAAACAATAAGAAGATAATACAGAAAGAAGTGAAAATGGATAGATCATACAAACTACAGTCTGTGTTTGACAGTCAAAAAACTTCATATACAACTAATTACAAGAGAAACATAAAATTCCAGTAATTTTCCCAAAAAACAGAGCATTTACTACTTTCAATATAGCTGCCTTCTTAAAAATGGGATCTTAAACCTCAACAGCTAATTTTATTGGCTTAGAAAAAACCTGTATTGAACTATTTGAAGACAAAGAATTAATGTAGTTGTTCCAGGTGACTGTTTATATACATCATGCGCATTCCTAAAATGAGTCTCCAAAACTTCAAGGGAATCTTTATGAAAAACCAACTGACAAAGTTTAAAATAAGCAATTTTTCATGAGATATTCTATCCACCATTTTCAGACAATCGATTTCATCTAGCTATCTTTTTAAACTCTGAATATCGCTTCATCAGTCCAGCTCATCAAACCACCAAAACGATAAGTTTTCGAGCTCAACGTCAAATTCTCCGAATTCAAACTTCAATTGATGACAAATTTTGACTTTTTAACTTTAATTTCTTCAAAGCAGAACAGATCCAACGCTTTTGAAAAAACTCTATCAACCCAAATAATTACGCTTTAAATTTGCTAACACGAGAGATAACACTAAGAAAACGATCCTAAGTGTTACGAAAATGATTCTAAAAAAATCGTCTTATACAGAGCAATTTTGTTGCTGCAAAATAAATCATTAGTTAAAAGCCTACTTCTGTTAATCTAATCCTTAGTTCTATTTATGTGATAAGAATATCGAAAAACTCTAAATCTGGAAAAAAATTACTACATTCATCTTATGATGACAAGTATTCATGGGATAAAAATCAATTGAGAAGTTTAAATATAGCTAAATTGTAGGAATGAAGGGAACTAACACTGATAAGTAGGCGAGGCAGACAACGACGACGGTTGGTTGCCAATGTAGGTTCTCACCGACAGCGATTGTGGTTGCTGCAATCATTCACAATAATACAAAAATAAAAGATTTGTTATTGATAATACAAATTAACCAATTATAGTAATACAAAAAACCCTAAAATAGTTTTAATGAAACAACTACTTCTCAAATTATCAATGGAATAAGGAAATGGTCCTCCTATCTTTCGCTTTTTCCCTCTCAACCTTTTTTTATTTAGCTCCAAAAAGGCAATGACTTGGAAGCTTGCAAATAAAGAATATAAAGGGTATGACGCCATAAGAGACAATTTTAATAAACTCGTGCCCATATAATCACTAACTATGTATTTGATGGTTCGCAATTCTGATAATTATATTGTGGATCAAATATCTCTTGGTATTATTCGATCTTCCAAACAATAGTTCTAGAATAATCCCGCTCTCCATTCCGTTTGCAATTAATTAATAGACCACTCTTTTTTGAGAGGATCTATCTTCTCTACTATGCACCAGATAACTTTCAATGTCGCAATACGAGTTTGGTCAGATATCTTTCAATAGTTTGAAATTTGAAAATTTATATCTAGCACCTATAAAATGAATACTGGTTGATAAAAAGTAATAAAACAACCTGCTGATGATAAACTGGAGGTTGGACAGGATATTTTGGTTGCTGCTGTCCTTTAGACTGATAGCAAGATTGTGGCGGATACGGAGCAGATTGTGGTCCAGAAGATTGTTGAGAAGCGACTACTGGCGGCGGCGGATACATAGTTCCTCGGGATGCTGGAGTAACTGGCGCTCCCGAAGCACCAGCTGGAAAAACATTGGAAGATGAAGGATGCTGACTGCTTTGTGGCTGCAGCTGCGACATACCTGGTGGATATCCTAAAACAGAGTAAAATACAAAGTATCTGCATAGGTAAATAATTTGTCATAAAAGCGAAACATTTCAAAGGATGGTAATATCGTATACAAGATGAAGGAGTGATGTCATTCAAACAGTGCATGTGATAGAGAATTGGTAGAATTTTAATTGGTAGAGTGGAACTATAGTCAATAAGGCAAACATTATCAGTAAAGATGCAAAAGCCAAAAAATTTAAGTCAATTTAAGTCGGGGATCTAAATCGATAAAGAAAATACATAAAAAATAATTCAAGACAATTTCAAACATTCAGAGTCAAGTGTTTTTTTACAGCCGCTTTCCAGTGAATGAGGAAAATTTATGCATATACCCATAACGAATAAATCTATGATTTAATCTCATAAAAGAAAATGCTATCACGCTGCAAGATTTTCGTACGATAAAACATAATGATTATTATAAATCTTCAAAGGATGATTAAAGTGAATCGTCTAAAAGCCAGCTGCTCACTTGAATAAATCCATTAATAACACTCCAATAGTTTTAAGATTAAAAGTAAAAATGTTCAAAAAATAGAAAAATGCTGAAGTAGAATTTGTATCATTTACTACAAGGACATTTAAAAAAATGTTTACGAAATGAAGTAGAATTTGCATCATTTACTACAAGGACATTTAAATAGTGGAGATAGCAAAATAGTTCCAAGGAGCATTCTTTGAATCTCAAATCCTGTTCTAAGATAAAAAAATATGCTTAACACTCAAGTGGATGATCTCTCAAACTCATCTCTGTAGAAGCAATCATAGTAGTAAACAATTATACAAATTTTATGCAGTTTGCTCAGTCTTCTTCGAGGCTTCCAGTTTAAATTTGGGATTTTAATCGTAATTGAATCTTTAATTCACTAACCATTAGATGATTTATTCATAAAGGAAAAAATGTGATATGTAAAAGCAATATGATGATGAAATTAATGGCAACTGGCATGCAGGTGAAAGAACGGCTTAACAAAAAGTAATAATTTCAGCGACGAGTATGTAACTCAGGTTGGGTAATGAATTTACCAACAACTGAGTAATATAGGTTTGTACTAAACGTCTCTTTCTGTGAATCAAGTTTCTGCAATGATGTGATGAAGTATAAAAGTCAAAACTACATGACGTGAATATTTCAGAAAAAAAAAGCCTTCAAGGAACGACAAAGGAAACGGGAGAGAAAAATAAAGTTTTGAAAAACTAAAGCAAAGTCAACACATGACCTCCTAACTTAAATTATTCCACTCATAAGCTGTTGCTAAAATGTATAAGTTGCACTGGAAAACTCATTTCCATAAGAGGAACTGGAACGCATCTTGATGTCAGACTTCAGTTAATAATCGGGCCTCTGCAAATCAAAAATTAAATTACTCGTTCACACTGAGAACAAGAGGAAAATATGATCACTTTCATAAGTAGGCTACGAATGGATTTTTTTCACAACTCGAAAGAAACAAATCAAACATATGAAAATTTTTGGAGCATTCTTTTAGTCATGATACTTTGTTTCTCTTTTTTCACTCAATCCAGAAAGAAACAACAGGAACTATTATAACTTGCTCCTTCTGTAACTTAAATATTCAGAAAAGGTGTTAAATTAAGTTGACACATTGTTGAACCCTAGATGCTTTCTCACAAATGAAAGCAACGTTCCTTCAATTCGAACGAAGTTCAGATTCTATTTCTTGACAGCTATACATCTGTTTCGCACTTTTCCCTTTCTTCGTACCAAAGTCACTGAAGTCAATTAAGATTTTGATAAATCAAATGGGATCATTGAAAAGACAGAAAATGAATACCACAACCACACCTTAGTAAAATAATCAAACAAGTTTAAGTACTTTGCAGAAGTAAAGCGCAAAATTCAATTAAGAAAATTTCTGAAACAAACTGACTGCTAGGACCATATACAAACACAACGATGGCTGCATTGTACTCTGCAATCACACAGTGTCAATTATCAATTGCATTCTTCAAAAGTTCTTGTAAATTTAGGAATAATTAATTTTAGGAATAATTTGTAAGTTTTGAGGAAATTAGACAGCTGCCCAAAGCTTTACCTTTAATTATAAAATTGCTAAATCGATCTGTAGAAGTCGCTCGATACTGCTAATAAAAAAGCCAGGTTTGCATCCTTAGAAAGATCAACCGAGAACTAAAAGAGACTTGCAGATCTGAGCACGACGAAAAAAAGTAGTGCCTCAAAATAGTGAGAGAAGAGGTACTCTAGTTAACCATGAAGATCAAGAAAACATTTATGGAAAAAAGACGATCAGTGTACAGTTAGTTATGATGGAAAACAAGTAGCAATTTCGACCATTTATCATATTATGCGTGCTCATTTGCACGATTCCATATTTCATATCAAAACTATTTATTCAACAATATGAACATATATATTTGATGAATAATAGAGTGCAATTTCTTCTCTTTTCCAGTAATTTCAATTATTGATGATTCATTCACGCTACCTTGGGTTTGTTATACTCTGACTATTTTCATAATGTGGACCAGCTAAAGTACAATTTAGACGTTAAGTATGCAATAGCGTGGACCTACAATCCCGTAAAAAACCAAATTCGAATTTAGGTTTATTTTGAATAGGAATGACAAACAGAAACAAAAGTAGTTAAAATTATTCACAAAATTATTTCAACGTTTACCACCCAATGTGACGGACAAATGGTAATGCTTTAAAAAATTTGATACGTGTACGAAGAACTTCGAAAAACAAAAGGCCAGAAGGTTTAAAAAATCAGTCATGGAAACATTATTCCTAAAAAATTCGTAAATCGTTGATTTCTAATATCTTACTTGCGTTTTTCAAGCAACATAGTTAAAAATCAACACAGATAAATCGATTCGCAAGCTATCCAACTAATGAATTACGGAAAAACATTCATCATGTATTACCACAAAAAAATGCAGCTAGTAAAGCTGATGTTTAAATAATGCATAGATCTATTACGAGAATTTGAATTTTTGAATGTGATATTTAAAAAAAAAAAAACAGAATTGAAAAAAAAGATTTACATCGAGTCGACATCAGTCAAGATCGTATTTTCGCGAATTTTAATCTTTTTTTAAAACAGGTAAAACTCATCGAAGAAACCAAATATAAGATGCTTAATGTTTCTTTTCCCTCATGAAGACAGAGTCAAATAAATATGACGGTTGTTAAGCTTGTTTATAAAACTATCCTTAATGTTTGTTCTTAATTTTCAATTTGAAATTACATGTTACTAGTGATATAAGTAATTCCTTCTTTGTATTTACATTAAATAAAACACTCAAGTGTAACTGAATTCCGGTGCTTAACAAATCAAAATATCTATAATTTTGAATTTGAATTTGATTGCATAATTTTAACATTAATGAAATAAAAGCCTCGCTGGAAACACAAAAATAAAGAATTCTGTTTTATCAAATTATCACTAAATTAAGGAGGAATAGAGAATGACAGCGTAAGAGCAAAGAGATGGAACACACAGAGGAACGGAAATGACTAAAAAAATTTCAACGAATGCTAACCTGAGTATGGAACTCGTTGTACCATAACACGATGCACCGGTCCAGAACCAAAATGCTATAAGGAGTAACGAAAATTATAAGAGCATGAGAATTGTAGGTTAGGTATTTAGTAATTTAACATAAATTTGAGTACTACCTGCTGAGCTTGTTGACTTGTCCACTGAGGTTGTTGCATTTGTGTATGACATGAATATTGCTGTTGTAGTGGACCTACTGTTGGCATTCGTGAAAGATATGAAGCACAGGGAGGCGAAGGTGGTATGTGACTCGATGGTATTACACCTATTTTGGTAACTATCAATTATTTTTTACAACTCATCAAATTTATCACCCTATTAAGAATAAAACCAAGAATTCATAACAAGATGCTTTCCGCTGAACTGTTGTCGTTTATAACAATGCGGTAAACACTGCGATACAAGTTCTATGGTGCTGGAAAGCTTTCTGCTTTATAGCCGCGGAAAAGAGAAATAATGAACGCAGAAGTTACCGCTGAAAAAGTTCTGACACAACTACTATCAGTTTCCTAACTAAAATTTCCTCTATATTTTTTATTTTTTATTATCTACTAACACGGACTAGAATTCAGATGAAGCACAATTTAAATAAAAACTTAACCTGCTGGACTTTGCAAATTTGCTTGATAATGAACGGGAGTTTGTGGTGGTTGTATGTACGGAGAAGGAGAAGCATTTGAGGAAGGACGACTTATGAACGGCGAGGGTGGCGGATGCATACTGCTTGGACTTCCCATTGGGCTACGTACTGCAATAAACTTATATTTCAATATCTAGATATGTCACCAAATCGAAATTGTAAACGGTATATGAAAAGCAATTTTATAATGCTGAAACAAGAAAAATTTCAAAAAATGACCGGGTAAACACATTCCCATCGGTTGTTGCACAGGAGTACGTGTAGCACTTGGAGATAACAAAGATGAATCTCGCATTGTACCTGAAAAGATGAAGACAGACATGATGGGTTAAGTGGTTGCTTAATAATTTTAATTATTAAGCATCGTTGACATCTATTTATTTTTTAGTAACACATTTTTGACAACTGGTAAAATAGCAGATAACACCACTGCTTAAATCATGCTGCCACTAAGCTGCAAAGCATATAGTATTATCTAAATCTTTATAAATTTTACCCGGTAATCTGGGTGGCTGCATAACTGGTGTTACTGAAGAACTTGAATTGGCTGGTACTGAACGAATATTCGACGAAGGTGACTGAGAAGGATCAGCAGGTGAAGGCGCCCAGTACTGCAGCATTCAAGAGATAAATGAAAGAAATAGAAAAAACTGAATCTTAAAAAACAGAATGAAAAGAACCGGAAATTGCATAAATTATAAGAGTTTGAATTATAGCAAATTCACAACAAGACAAATTTTCTGTGAATCTTTAATTGGCATGAAGAGAATCTAGTTCTGTTCATTTGACATTAGTTTATAAATAACACATAGAGATTGCTTATAAGGAGATTCGACCTGCGTTTGACATGCTGCTTGCTTATCGACCACCATGTCCCTCAGTCTAAAAACACTGACTGTTGAAACTCATATATTATGGAATTGATTACAAAATTGTGAAGTATATCAAAGAAATAAAGGACATTTTACATTCAAATATTCCTTTGACATCTAAAAGAGAGCTAGCATACTTATCTATCGTGGATATATATTTATGTATAAACCAATAACAAATACAATCTAATCAAGGAAGTTTTAATGCAAACCTATACGGATCAAGATGTCCTAAAGGACTTGTAGCTTCATTTACAAATGACGAACTGTTGCTACCCGGCGCTGGTGTTGTTACATTGCGCATTTCGATCATCTGTATTTGGATACTATCAATGGAGCTTGTGTTATCATACATTTCGATCATCTAATGGGGTCTATGCTGCTTCATTTTTGCAACGATTGTAGTTTTGTTCCTGTTCTCAGCAAAATAGAATATTCTACAGATCAGTGCAGTTAGAAATACTTCGTAGTTTACAATTACAAACCTACATATCAAAAATCAACATTTGAGAAAAAACATACGGTTTCTGACTCCTTTGAAGTATTCGCATCGTTGTCAGAAGTATAAGATGTTGAGCCTTCCATTATTTAATCTAAAATATATAATAATCTTATAGCGAGATATCGATATATAATAATCTATCCGGAGCTCGCATTACACAAATGTAACTCCGCACAAACTGATACTTTACAAGCTAATTCAACATTTAGACCACCTATTTATTTCCCTACTAAAGATTAGCAAAAAAAAATAGAATTTCTTACATTTTAATAATTATTCGACAACCTGTAGATATGCTTTTCAAAATTTTCAACTGGTAACCATGCCTAAAAAATATGCATAGAGCCGGAATGATTTAAAATTGAAAAACAATTTCCACTACCTATTCTACACCATAATTTAAAACACGTAAGAAAAGCGTACAGAATTACCATTTATAAACCTTTCTATGCACTTCAAAATCTGGTACAGAAAGTGAAGAATGAAATGTTTTATGTTAAAATGATAAGATACTAAACGATTGTTATGAAACAGTTCATATAGATAGTACATATATTAAGTGTTCATTTCTTTGTTCAATTATCATACAAGACATTTTTTTCAGCTCATAAGATGAACAGCAAAGCACACATAAAATAATTCATGGATTTCCCAAGGGTCTCACTTCTTTGTTGATTATTACTTTATATAACATTTCCCTATCTATATTTGAAGGTAAAAAAGTCTACCACCTTGAGTGTTAAGTACGCATAATGCAACCTGACTTTAATCTTCAACGATATCATTTTACTTCCAAGCAATGCTAAAGAACTAATGCTTCCGTAAAAATCTTAATCGACAGAATCCAGAGTCACATAAGGAACTTTCGGGACAACAACCCTCCCTCACGAACCACCTCCCAAAAATTATCACTCAATCCAAATGCACCAAAATTACCCCTCCATTGCGACCATTCGTTTTCACAGCATACCAATCGATGAATCTTACAGTTGCACAAGTAGCAATCGTGCCAGTGTTTCTTAGCATGTTGCAGCGTTTGGGTTTGGCCGTGAATGGAATGATGGAGGTGTGTGATGGGCGTGTCGGTCATTGTCCATTTAGGCCAAGTGATCCGTTGTCTCCAGATGGGACAGTCAGGAACATCAGGAATTTATTTCAAGAATGTTTCATAGGCTGTAAAAACTTTTCTAAATTTTTTTTGCAGAAGTAGCTATACTGATACATAAAGTAAGTGACGTTACTGAATATAACCAGAGAATCTGCTAGAATTCACAGATAGGTTTAGTGATTTTATTGAAGCCTTTTTTCCACTTCTTTTTGATTCATTATTGCGTATGCTTATTGCGCTGTCATAAGAGATGTAATATATTCAATCATGGGATAGTATTTTTTCGGATTTGGAAGTACCGTTGCTAGCAAAATGTCAAGTAACAGAATTCGCGATGTACCTAAACAGCGTGCTGCCGTCCGACAGGCCATAAAAGCTGAGGATGAATACGAAGAACATTGTCGAAAGTGCAACTGGCCCATGCTTCGTGTCAATGTATTATTAAATCCAAATTTTACTACAATTTGTATTCACTGTGTGTAAATATTCATAAACAGCTGCATATTGACAGGCTAGAATTGAGAGGTGAAATGAAAGCAAATTTATCAAATTTCGTCATTCATTACAGGTCAACTTATGTTATTGTCCCAATTTGATTTAAATAATGCTGCATATTTTGTGGTCCTGAGATTTTAATGATATATCTGAAGTAAGGGATACATTTCAGATAGATATTGTTAAATTGGAAAAGTGTGTGTATAATGGTTACACTTATGAAATGATGTTGTTTGTGACCGATATGTATTCAAATTTCGTGTTTGCGAGAGCACTTCCTTCAGGATTTAGCATGATGCTACTTGTGGAATATCTTTCGGATATTTTCAGCACCTTCTCTCCACCCAGTTAGTTTCTTCGTGTGTGTGTTTTTTGCAGCATCCAGATTTTGAGGCGTCACGTTTTTTGGTTTTAATATGATTTTATGCACATTTCAAGGAAATTCGCGAAAGTTTTAGACAAAAAATTGCTTTATCTATTTCTTAATATTTGTCTATATCATGCAGGATTTATTTCTTGACGAAAATGAATCTTTTCTTTAGAATTGTTTACATCATCCAGTGACTTGGTCAAACTTGCAATGACGTTTGTTGAAGACTTATACAAGATTGAAATTTTTCATCTTCAAGGAGAGGTTTGTTTCCATTTATGAAATAAATACGAGACAATAACTTGTTAGTGATTTTTTAGTATAGTTTCTATCTTGATGTTTGCATACTTTTATCTACATCACATTTTTACTAACAAAAGTCAAAATTGTCCATCATTTAGTACTCTGCATCGTTTAGTGGTTGGACTACGTGTTATGACTTTCATTGATTTGTCAGAAGACTGCCACCCTTTGTTTCTGTTATTTCCTCCTTAGGATCTGTAATAAGGATTGTGCAGTAGAATTAAAACGCATCAGATTTTTTTAAAGGAGTCCTTAGTTAATGATTTCTGTGTACATCTGAACAAACGCGCCGCAGAAAACGGCTTGACGAGTCAATGGGTAGATATTTTGCCTTCTGTGGTTTTTGGTTTCAATCAGCGAATTCTTGGTGATAAATTAAAAACACCTTTTCAAGTTAGTTATCGTTCTTTTTATGTCTATAATAGTGTTGCAAAATCCAGAGTCTTAAAACTTTCACAAATTTCCGCTCTCTCATTTTGATTTCTGTTTTTTAAAAACTTAAATTTCATTGCTTCTAGCTTATGTTCAATAGAAAACCGGCGGTCGACAGCACTCGCATATATGGATAAATGAAACGTTTGCGAATATTATTTTCTTTGAATTTTTTATGAAGCTTTTTTATATATGCTTTTTTTTCGCTTGCCATTAATAATGCAATAAAGAACTGATTTTTGTACAAACACTCTAAATTTCAAGCTGCTTTAATTTTCTTTCTTCCAACAACAACTGCCGTTTAAAGCGATGATTTGATCATAATTTTTATCGTTCTTTAAAAATGGAAAAATTCCCAAACAGATCTTGACAGCTTGACTTTTCATTTTGTAATATTCATTCCTGACGGCTGTCTTACAACCATGATAGCATAAAACTGCCACGAATCCACTAATTTTTTCGCGAAATGCCTGTGTTATTTCTTTCGAAAAGGTTCATTGATTTTTCCAGCTTTTATTTTTTCTGAATTTTCATGACGAGATCAGTTTGGTGATAGTACTAAACGGTACATATTATATAATGGCATTCGACTGAGTATTTTGACATATTAATTTTTCCTCAGCGGTTTTGAAAATTATATTGCCATTATTTTTTGATATCAAACTAAGGCACTAACCTAACTGGTTTCAATTTAGTTCATTTTTTTTTCCATTACTGATTTGATATTTTCAAACCTCTTTTATTCGTTACACTACTGCTATTTTATTTCATTTTTTTATAAGTGAATAAATACGCTAACAATTTGGATATGAAAGGCGGATGTTTCAGTCCTACGAGTGTATTAATAACACCTGAAATATCTTTGCTGTTTATTACAGTGATTGGGTTTCGTTTGATATTGATATAAGGGGAAGTGAATTCCTTGATTAAATTTCTTTGTTTTTAGTATTAGATTTGCAATCCAGTTGTATGCGTTATCAGTTTTTTGTTTTGTCTCAATGATGGTAAGTAGATAATGAAACTCAGTTTCTTTACAAACTGTCACTAATGTTGAAGTCGTTGATGGCGCTGATGTGAGGACTTATGTTTGTTTTAACTAGCAAGAGTTGGAGCAAAGTCTTTTCGAGAAGGGAAAATATGTTGATGACCTCTTGATTAAAAAAGAAGGAAGGAGAAACTATTAACAGAAAAGATTAAAATTATAAGGGTTCCTATTGTTTGATTGTATTGTTGACAAATCAGTTTTCCATCAGATTTTGAGATATTTAGCCATTCAGTGTGGCAGAACTTACTGGATACTGCCTAAAATATAGTGAAAGCATTTGTTTTTCTAACACACTGGTTAAATTATTGTTTTTTTCATTTTTCCAGCATGCCATCTTGATTTGCTTAAAGCTCCTGGAATACATGTCACTTCACCGAACTGTTGCACTTCTCGTACACAATGGATATGAAATTAGCAGATTCTGAAATAAATTTGTTGGAAGTAAATAACTAGGAAAATTTTGCTCATTTAAAATGAGAAAAAAATAAAGATGGTTATATATGTCTTTATACTTTACTGTTTCAGCATCTCGAGATTCCAAAGTTGACGATCAATTGCTCACTATGGCTTTCACGTTTGCTGCATTTTGTTATCTTTTTGCTCTATTTGCGGTGGCATTTTGCATTTTCTTTGCCATATTCACAGTAACTTTTATATTATACTTTCGAGAGTAGGATTCGTATAATAAAACTAATATGCAAACTTATAAATATTACTTATCATGAAGGATGCAATAATATGAATACCGCATTATGTTTGCTTCTTCATGGTCGTGAGTGTTACAGGAATATTTTGGCACGGGTGCAATCGAAAATTGTTTTTTGTTACTGTAAATTAAAACGCAAAAAAATTTAAAATTTGATTACCTTTAGTTTTCTGCTCCTTTTTCTTTTCCTTCATGGTTTGAGTAGAATAAAGATATACAACAATCTTACCATTATTCGTGACCATCTAGAGGCAAATATATAATACTAAGATATGAATGCTATATCACACAACAATACGAATGTTTTTTTTTGAATGAAGAGTATTTGCATTTTATTCTTATTTCAGGTTATTTGTATCGACGAACTAAAGACAGATTACAAAAATCCAATAGAACAGTGCAGTAGTTTGAATCAAGTCTGTTTTGCTTTTCCGATAATTAAAGAGTTATTAGGAGTATTAATAGATCGGGAAACTGAATTTAAATGAACTGTATTAATGTATTAAATATTAATGTGTTAATAATATCCTGCAATTGTTGATGCTAAACTTATTAAGAAGTATCATTAAAGTTGATTATTTAAAAAAATTATGTGCTCTTTATAATTTTGCTTTTTTATGCGAAGTACTATATATTCTTTTCCATTTTTTGAAGTTTGTAATTCTTAATAGGTTTTTTTTAGTTGGTTTTACCAGAATATTTGCTTCATTTCATCCTTACATTTCTTTTCGGTTTATCATTTCAACTTGGAGGACTTTGCTGGAACATACCACTTATTGCATATCATGTTCACAGGTGTATAGTTCTTTTATTCTATCATGGTTTTTTTTTTCTGATTCCTTTGTGTGAATTATTCAAAAGGAAAAAACAATGATGCCTTCTTCAAATTAATCCAAATTGAAGATTTTTTAAATATATTTTTTTCTCAGATATATTCAACGTCCTGTCATGACCGGACCAGGAATATACGATCCGACTACGATTCTAAACAAAAATGAACTTCAAAAATCACTTAGAGAAGGCTGGATAAAACTTGGATTCTATCTCACATCTTTTTTTTATTATTTGTACGCCATGATATATACGATGGTTACCACTTCTTGAGGAATAGCTGTCGTAAAAGTAACGCTTATCCTTAATCTACGTAACAAGTGGAAGTATAGCTATTTGTCTCATCTTCAATAACTTGTGTTGCAAGTTTTTAAAACTGTGAAATGTTTTTGAGTGTTGTACTTTGCATTTATATGTTTTTATGAGTTTGAATTCTGATGGATTAATTATGAAGCATACGTGAGAAAATCCCATCGTTGCAATGAAATTTTGAAAATACCGCTCATACTTTTTTCTGTCGGCTTTCTTTAAAATTTTTGTTTATCAAATTTGCTAGAACACGGTGGGAAGCATATTGTACTTATTGCATACTTAACTAACTGCAAAAGCTTGTTATTCGATCTCTGCATTTATTTTGTTTTAACTTTCTATTGTTATTGTTCGTTTATTAAGCATGAATAAGCAAATTGCTAAATGTTCATTTCTCTGAATGTACAAACATTAATTATGTATCTTTGTGTTATGAAGATTTAAGATAAAATCGATCTATATTATATATTACATAATGTCATGCATCTTTATATTCTGAGAATTGACCGATCAATTCGTTATAATTCTGAATTTCCTACAACTTGCAAAGTTATAGCTAGGAAATATTTCAAACTTTACACCTTTATTAGAATGATAAGAAAGGAAATTGAAAGAGATTAGAACTGGGTGAGTGTTAGATGCTAGACGATTTTCTTGATCTTTAGGGAGTACTCTTATGGTTTTCATTGATGCTTCTCAAAGTCGTCTATTAATTTTAATTATCAATCACAAAGAGAAGTTTCAAAGCAAATTTATTCATCAATTTAAACTTCCATACATAAAAGCATTTATAATTTGATTGGATGATAACAGCAATGATATAACAAATGACGAGCATAACAGCAGTGATGATGGAATGTTCTCTCTCTCTCTTTTTCTCTCTCTCTCTCTCTCTCTAGAGGGCATGACGTTTGCCACTATGTCCATCGACGATAACAATGATGGCGGAAAACCTGTTAAGAACGACGAAATTTCATTTCACTGTACAGTTGTATACTCATACCTGATCTTCACAAAACATGTTAACAACATACTCCTCTATCTATTTCTCAATTGTTGTTTCTCTAATACTTCTGTTACATTCACTAACCATCTATTTGCTCAAATTTCTTATCTCACTTGATATAAGACTATAATTTTCAAGTTTTTTTAAACTTCTCAATTAATGATAAATGTAGCATTACATTGCAATTAGATAGGATTTATGACAGTCCTTAATTATTCAAAAATTTGATGCAAAGTTTTAATGTAAGATAGTTTGTTTCAAATGTTATAGTAGTTGAAAGAAAAGACTATATGAAAAATGTTAAGCTATTAATTTCAATTGGAATGGAAAAATTTACCGTATATTTACAGTTTAGTAACAAATTTATTGGAGAGAGCATTATATTGCTAATTAAATTTACCAATCATTTTTGAATACAAAAGATAATTAAAAGCTACATGAATAATTACATAACAATAACGATAATGTAGCATATGCTGTAAAATTGTTATTTCTTACTGAATGTTTGCAATGGAATTCATAAATCGTTTGCAAATTGCATCGATTTATATACTGCAATAATTAGTCTTTCTTTTCGAACTAATCGTATTATCACCTGAAGGGATATGTGAAACGAATTTTAAATGAAAATTACAAATTATCATAATCTATCAGATGATCTCCAATAATCAATTCTTTCATCAAAAATTTGTATAACGTGTATCAATGGAAGTTAATTATTGTAATTAGTACTGGTAGTTGAAAGATTTGCAAAAAAAAGTGACATTTTCCAATTTTTCATTATTGTTTTGTTTGCAATGTCATTGGTTTACTGTATTGATCACTCAAATTTAAACATTTCTTCAAAATGAAAGAGGAATAATTTGAGCCTTATCAAATTGATATTGTTTTAGTCAGAGAATTAAAAATGGATATGATAGCTTATTCTGAGATCATTTCAGATGTTACGTTTTCTTGAAATTTTTACGCTATTTACCCAGTTAATAATATATATATGGCATTGATAGAGTATAACTAGAAAGTAAAACTGTTCTGGATAACGTTATCAATGATACGTGCGGAAAGTGCTTGTCATATTATTCATGTTTTCTCATTATCATCGGTGGTACCTGACGTCTTATCTGCTCCAAATTGTATCCTTTCATTTAACGCTCATTAGCACGACAGTAGCAACTATATTTTCTGATTCACTGGATCAATGTCAAACTCAATGTGTTGACCGAAATTTGGTAAGGATTCCACTTTTCATATGGAAGACGACAAATAATAATGGGAAAAAAATATTTCACGTGCAAAAACATCTCACGTACGTGTCGTAAGTACCATGTAATCATCGCTAGAATTTTCAGGTGGTTTCGCTCGCTCGTGGTGCAGTTGAGTGGGACACTTCATTATTTGAGATCAGTCTAACTCAGCGGATTAATGCAGTAAGACTTGTTTTAATGGATATTGTGGAGCAGTTAATTATAATAATGTCAGGAGTATCATGTCATAAAAGATCATAAATAATAACAAAGGAAATATGTTAGAAGATCTTACGTACGTGTAATGAGTTTGTATAAAGTGGAAAGTTATTTCATTCCATTTCATTCAAGTGGATTGAAATTCTATTTTTGTTTACGTCCTTCACTCAGTTGAATTATATCAAACTTAGCGAAAAAAAGTGAATTTGAAGTTACCTAAGTAATATAATAGTACGAATTGAATAGTTGCAGTGTCACAGTGGTTGTCAAGATTTGGAATCAATAAATTCGACTTGCTCAGAGCGCTGTGTTAAACTGATACCAACAGATAGTTGTATACAAGGTTGTCGGGCTGTTAACAACATTTTCCTTCATCATTTACAAGGTGAGGTCAGTTTTTGCTTAGCAGCAATAGCCGTTTAATTGGACGCTCCGAAGTTCATCCAACTGTTGAGGAATTCAAGTTTTCTCGTTCAGCCAGTAAAGCAGTTAGCATTCCTAAAATTCGAATATGTGTGAACAGTGTAATTAATTGAAGGGTTGCTGAGTCATGCGCAAGTTGCAATCGGAAATGATTCACAGATAGGTGTGAATACAGTTTGGAGTTTAAGTAGTGATTATGATTCAATTATCAATGACATTTTGGTGGATGACATACAGTGGGCTGTTCAAAGTCGTCCGGCTAATGTTTCGCTACCGTGGGATACTACAGTTTTTGAAAAGGTAAATTAAATTATCGAAAAAATGTAGCGAGTATTCATAACAAACTTTCAATTATTCTATGAAAGTAATGTCTCTAATCTATATTTTGAATTGGCTCCTGAAACTAAAATTAATCTAATTTCTTCAAATTTCGAAAATTCTTTCAGGCATTCAAAACTGAAACTCTAGAAGCAGCTGTTACCGTACCTTCAGTTTTTGCCGAGGAAATTGAAGTCATTTTTTTCTTTCGCACCACTGATTGTCGATTTTAAGTTAATTACTACATCTAAATTTAAATTAAATCTAAATTTGAAATTTGAATCTAGATTTAACTGTGGTTGGAGAGATGCGGTTATTACAAGATGATAATCAGTATTTCATTCATTAAATGAATTGCTCTACAGCTTCGATTATGTGTATCGTGGCGGACTTATACAATCGTTTCTCCTATACATCATCTTCCTATCAACGACACTGATAATGTCAATCCATTGCCACCAACAGTTATTTCACATTTGCAAATATCAGTGAACAGTTTTGCAATTTGTTGGAAAAGCGCATTGAAACGTTTGTACAAAGTATGCTTTTTTTGATATTTGATATTTATTCCAGAAATAGAATCGACGTACTAAAAATTTCTTTTTAATAGGTCGAAGTTTAAAATATCGGATACACTATCTTACAGATTTCGTTGTACTCACTTGATGGAATAGAAATCTCTACAGCGCTAGTGGAAAATACTTGCTATTTATTCCGAGAAGTACCCATCGATAATTGTTGTCGCGTTGAAATTAGCTATGCAAACATTGATACTGCTTCTGTATCCATACGAGTTAACCTCATTAATCAAGGTTACTAAAAATACATCAAACCTAAATTTAAGGATTATGCATGAATTTGGTTGAAATTAATATAGCAAACAAAATTCGTGGAATTTAATTACAATTAATTTATGTTAAACTTATTATAGAAGGAAAACCAGAATCAGCAGCGCAATTGATTTTTACGAATGGCACTTCTGTGATGAAACTTTACGACATTGATGATTACGCCGTGCTTAGCGATCCAAAATTAATTCCGTTCGAATTAAAACCTGGAAGATCTATTACCGGTAATTGATTTATAAATTTCCATCTTATATGATTATGTGATCACTTTCATTTAAAAATGGCACGTGGTATCAGCCGCCGTGTGTCCAAGACATAACTTTTAATCACATTATCACAAGAAAATTATTTGAACAATATAATAATAATAATTCGAATCAAATGTCTTAAAATATTGCTCTTTGCTTCACAATTGTTTGCAACAGTTTAATGACGAATAAAATCAAAAAAAAAGAGAGAAAAGAAATCACTATACTTCAAAATAAACATCTAATTTTATAGCACTGTGCTCTGTATCAGCTGAACGATTATTGATTGCATTAGATGATGGCAGCATCTACTGGTTAACAATTGATGATGATGATAATATATCAAGCGGAATGTTACGATTACCGGATGGTACAGCAATTGTGCACATGGATGTTGATCATGTACAAGGCGCTGTATATGCTGTTCTATTTAAAAAAGGAATTCTAAGGTAGTTTATTCTAATTAAAATTAGAATAAAATTACGCCAAAGCGTAGATATATCAGTAGTGAAAAAAAATGAAAGTTATATTTTATTTGACAACTTTTTATTCGATAAAGCGATTTATTAAGATCTATTATTTATCATCTGAAAATGAGCTATTTGATATCTTAAAATTTGAATTAGAATGAGATATTTCAAATTTTTCTTTTTAAAATTTATTATAATTAGATGTGGCTTAATGGATTGCCAAAATTCGACAATTTTAACAACAAATACAATTAATTATATTGAATATATTTCGATTGATTCATGGAATGGGTGAGAAATTTTTCTCATTAATTTGTTAAAAAGTATTATAAATTATGCAAATTGAACAAATATAATTATAATAATTAAAATTATTTAATTCAAAAAAAGAACAAAAAAGAAATTTGTTGCAGGCATATATATTGTATTCTAAATGGTGGCGAGGTGCTCTCAATACCACTATTTCCGTTCGATGCTCCGCATTTTCTGCCATTTTCGGCAACAGAAAAACTGCCCACTCTTGCATTTGCAATTGAAGCAGAACCGGAGAATTCAAGATTTATTTTGCTCACACAAACTGGCTCAATTTTAGCAATAAATATTGTGAATCAATCAGTTACTGATCTCCGGGTAGATATTGAAATGAACGGACTATACAGTGAAATCAAAAAGGCTCATCTTTTTGGCGGACGACTGTTTTGGACATCAACAAGTTGTGGTGATACACATGCCTGGGATAGTTGCTTGTACGGTGAGGAATATGATGTCGATAAAAAGGTTAATATATTTTGGTTAAGTATAACAATTTTTAACTGAGTTACTAAATTAAATTGATGCATGTTAATAATTTCATTATTTTTCTATCTCAAATTATTTTTGTTCACCTAATTTAAAGTTTTTTATATTTAGAAAATACATTTGAACCGCTATTTATACGCGGGTCGAGTTGTTGATTTTGTATTCCTACGTGACAGCCCAATGCCAATAACAATACCTCCACCAAGTAAAATAGGCCTTATAACAGCTGATAATACAGCACGAATTACATGGGAATCTCCGATATTATTACCATTTCAAGGCATTTTTTTTCAAACTTAACAGTTTACCTATTTTGGTACCAAAAATTTCTTTTAATTTTCTTCAAGAATTTCAAACAAAAGTTAACTTTTATTCCATCGAAATTTCGCCGAAAAATTCGTTTCATAATTAATGCACGATTTTTAAAGTTAAAACAAGTGTCAAATTTTAGCACAAAATGCATGGCGTCATTTGCTCTATGAATGTCGCTTAATTGGTGACGAAGAAAATAGCAATACAATAACAGAATTTACACAGCTATCTGACACTAATCTCTTGATCCCGATTTTTCCGGGTCTTCAATATCATGCATCTGTTCGAGCTTGTATCAATACCATATGTTCCTCATATGCTAATGCTATCAATAATGCATTTGCTCCATTCACTGGTACAACATTCTATTTCATGCAACATTCTTTAAGAATTTCAGCAAAGCAGAAAGTATTGATCGATTATCCAATTCATTGAACTCTTCATCATAAGGATTGTAAATTTTAATTTTTTTTTATTATGATAAAACTTTTGTTTATTTAATTTTTCAGAGCCTTTATTTATCGCATTTAATCAAACGATCAATAGTAATATAAGTTATTACGATATGCTTGGTAATCCAATTGAAAATTACACACTGCGTAAGTTTCTTTTTCTGTTAATAAATAAAGCTAGCAGTAGCGATAGTTGATTGTTTGAAGTATGGAAGAATATTTATAGTATAATATTAAATAGTATTCTATTTCTCATTTTGATTGAAATAACCCGGAATAAAATCTGTGAAGATTCATGGTTTTATTTTATTTTAGGTGGTCCAGTACCGATAGATGAAACAACGGTATTTGCTTATGATATGTTGATGAAATCGCTTTATATTGCTAAAATGGATAAGGTCGTTGAATTTATTTCAATTTTTTTGAATCAATACTAAGCTATTTTTGAATATATTTGATGGATTAAATTAAAATGAATAAGTTGAATTGCAGAATATAATAATTCGAATACATAATGATGGTTCTCAGCAACATTTTTTGGATTCAATAGCTGTAAGATTCATGACAGTAATGTCACATAATGCATTAATTATTGTAGCATCTAATTATTTAATTGTATCATATCGCTTAACATCAACATTCGACCAAGAGTGAGTGTTTTAATTATTCTGCCAGATATTAAGAATCCTTTTAGTTGAAATGAATTAATTCATATTTATTTAACATAAACAATGATCAAAAAGAGCATATACCAAGTATAGCTGTCACAAAACGAAAAAAAAAAAGAAACTAAAAATTTGCAAAACATTTTTAACTTTTCAAATTAACAAAATTCATTAGCTTTTCAATTTTGCAAACTTTCGTCGAATTTAGTACAATATTATATATTAAATAAATGTATATAGTTTATAATAAGTGCTATATAAAATTAAATGACAAAAAATGGAATGTATAAAATAACTTATTTACCTTCAAAATAATACAATCCGTCCTTTTTCTTTATTTTTTAGAATTATACTTTTTAATTCTAATGAAAACATTTTCAGAATCTATTCTTGCGGATCTTTTAGTGGATGTGGTGAAGTTGGTGGTTTAGCTGGTGATGATGAAACGGGTGATGTTTTCTATCTGATTCGTTTTCCAAATAAGACGACAAGTTTATATGCTCTTAATCAAGATATTCGCACATCGTATTTCATCGCTTCATCGCAGGATTTCCCCATGTTCGCTAATACTATTCAATTTTAGTTATAAAATTAGATATTTTAAATGCAAATGATGATTTTAAAATTTTCACGAAATACAACGAATACATTTTAAAAGAATAAAATTGCTTGGCTAATATCATTAAGCCTGAAAGAACCTCTCTGATATGGAACCGCATTATAGCTTGGACGTATGAGTTGTACTGAAATAACAAACAGTTTTTGGTTTTCGAAGAAATTGATTTTTTTTTGAAAACTTTTTAATTAATTGTGTATCTGAAAAATACAGAATGAACAGAGGCTTGTTTTAGATTACGGCAGTTAATTGTTGTTAAAGAGAAACTGGTATTTATCACTGATACGGGTGAAGTTGGCGTCTGTGATAAGAAGCTCGGTTCATTAAACATTAATTTGGCTCTCAAGAATGTAGCACTTGTGCCAGTACTTAATTTGGATTCTATAGAACCAATTAACTTCGTTGGAGCCTTAACAACAGATGACGCCACTGCTAGAAATACGCTTATATGGGATACTGAACCAATGTTGCCAAAAGGAAAGATCATTTTTAAGGTTTGTTTGCTTTTTTTAATTCTGTTAATATTTTAAAAATACAAGCGACAAATAATTTTACAAGTTCTATAAATTTTGCAAAAAAAGAATTTTTTTGTAATATTTTAAAAATATATACAAGAAATAATAGATTAATATTATTTGAGAGTTTATCGATGCAATGGTCATTTTTAAAAATGGACTCTTACCATTAATATTTTATGTTGTCAAAGATTATACATAATCACACCACATGAAATGCTGCGTGGTAAATTTTTCAACTGTCACAAATAGCCTTTCTATTTTCCTTTTACATTTCATTCAGTTTATTGTTATAAGAAATTGAAAGATTTAGATTACACTGTACAAAGAACATTGGGGTCGCGATCGTTTTGTGGATTATTCATTATCACATAGCTATACGATCAGTGATACATTGCTTGATCAATGGCCATCAAAACAAAAGTATGATGCTGAAGTAGAAGCGCTAACTGCTTGGGATTTAATATCAATTAATGAAACTGATCTAATAGCACCAACTAAACCACCAACTGCACCAACAAATCCCACTATTTATGCTACACAACAGGTCCTTTTTTGTTTTCTCACTCTCATTTCCATTTATGCCTTTTTTTCCTTCAATTTATCTAATTGTTTAGAAGAATTAGCTTTCTATCTCTCTTTCTCAATCTTTTTATATTAAACTTTAATAAAATTTAGTAATATTTATCGATAAGTTACAGAAAACGGTTGATGGTGCACGGGCATTAATGGATTTATTCTGGGATGAACCAATGGAATGGAATGGTGAAGCATTAGGTTATTTGATTAATTGTACGGTGGATGATTTAAATGAACCAATTGCAGAGGTACCTGCCACAACACGTTTCTACTCTTTTAGTGTTAAATCTGGAAGTGTTAGTTGTGCTGTGGCAGCTCGTAATGAACCAAAACTTGAAACATATTCAGAAGTTGTCACCATTGATAGCAGTGGTTAGTAATATTTTTTATGCAATTTAGGGAAGATTTTTAAAAAAAAGTGGAATTGAACATTTTATTCTATTCGTTATTATTATTGTTTTTTTTTTAATTGTAGAACCTAAGCATTGTAATTTGAAACATTTTACCATAGAAGAGAACACATTAAAAGATAACTCTTGGAAAGATTCCTAGAATTTCCTTCATCTATTGCATCACGTTTTAATGTACCCTCTTCTAATTACCAGCTATTTAGCCTCTATCTAATTTATATGACATCTATCTAACTATTCATCGCAATATTTTTACTTTAAATTATAAATATTTTTAGAATTACGACCACTTGTTCGTTTATTTGCAATTGATTCCAACAACAATGTATTTTCTATCTCAAACTGGTCATCTCTTTCATCACAACTATCAGCTCGTGCGAAACGACAAACTCCATCACTATTATCAGTATGAATTTTTTAATTGATTACAAATAATAATAATATTTAAATTCTTAAATTTTATTTTCAGATTGCAGAGCAATCAATAGCATATATTGGTAATGATTTGTATTCGATAAGAAAAGATTCAGATTCGACGCAACCATCTCTACTTCGTCTTGATCCTAATAATGTGGAAAATATTTTACATAAGGTATGTAATCATTTTGATTTCAAATGCATTAAAAAAAAGATGAAATACATGAAAATTTTCAGGTTTTAATAGGCGGTGAAATTGATAAAGCAGATGCAATGACATCTGATTGGGTAGCTAATCGTTTGTTGTTCGTTTCAACAGCACGTGTGATGCAACTACCTCTTGACGCCATTCAAGTACCACTTTCTATCATTATTAATAATTTATACAATTTATAATTACTCATAAATCAATGATTGTATGAGTAATCGTTCATTGTTTAGTGATATTCATTATCATAATATATTATTGTGATCATAATGCGTTATCGAATTGTTGTGCTTTTTCAACCACGAGCATAACGCATTTAATATTATCGAAAATTTCAGAGTCTTTCGTTGACTAGACCACATCCTATAATGAATCTTTCATCAGGTGCTGGTGATGCGAAACAACTACTTTTCGATCCATTTTCAAAGTTTATTTTATCTCTTAATTTTTTCAGTGATAATTTTCCTTTGCTGAAATAATGTTTTTTTTTTTTTTTTATTTTCAAAAATTATTTCCTCTAATTAATTTTAGCACAGGCTTTTTGCTTACGAAAAATGGTTCGCTTTTTGCATTGGATTTCAATACGGGTGTAGAAGAAAATATGGCCCTTAGGTTTTACTTCTTTCTTTCCTTTTTTGCTTTTTAATAGAAATATAAACTGTAACCACAATTTCTATTATTTAATAAAATATAGGAAATCGAAATTTAAAGCATTATTTAGGTTGGAATGTCTGAAATCAGAAACAATATCGTGGATGATGGCTGATTTCGTCTGGAATTTGGCTTCATTACCGGCGATTTATGTGCTTACTTGGAATGGTATGGTACGAGTTGATCTGACATCTGCAAAATGCGAAGAAATAAAATTTGAATGGGAAAAATTTGGAGGTACGCCCACACATGCTTTCTCTGTCTCTCTTCTTCTTTAAAAGATTTAAATGATAAGCGAACATTATCATAAAATATATGAGTGCAATTTTTAACACAACTAAACAATTGAATCTTTCAGAAAAAGGACCTAAGTCAATACTATCCTTTGCAATCGCTGATAAATTGTACATTTTTGTCACCTCTTCCATACTTGTTGTCTATGAATTGGGTTCTTCAACTGCAACACCAATCGCCATCAATGGTTCACCTCTCAAACAAATTCTTGTTGCCACCCAGTCTACTCAACCATTTCCTGGTAATGTATATTTATTATATGCATATATATATATATATATATAGGTGTGTATCTCAAATTATTTGTTAGCTGATACAGTTAGATTATTACAAATATCGACGTTCGAATATTATTAAATTCAAAGAAAAACAGGAATGCTTCCTTTCTTTTTCAATTCTCTATTTCTTATCAGAACGATAAGAAACGTCACTTCTTGTTATATATTTTTGCGCTTATGATGAAATTATATAGCGATCATTGAAATTAGGAGTTGATTTTAAAAGATCTACACATGTAATTGATGCTCTCAATAGGTGCTCTTTTGAAAAGTTGTATTGCATTGATGATTTCAATGACATCAAAAAAATCATTCATTTTTTCCTATCTATTTCAGAGCGATCTTGCTTTGTCTTACCACCAGCATCTGAAATTAAATTTACAGTACAAAATGAAGAACGAAGTGGAGCATTAATTTCGATTAATGAACCTCAATTGCCCGATGTTTGCCCTGTATGTTTTATCTATCTCAATTTTTATCATTTTTTTTTTTGCTTTTTTTAAGTCAGTTAATTTGCTTCACTTTAGGGTATCTCATTTCCTCCGACACAGTACGAAGTTCGTTTTCAACGAAGAGGATCTGATAAAATTCGCAACATTCACAGTATTAGCAATATTCTTCATGTCGAGAATGGTATTTTGGATAAAGAAGCTGAGTAAGGCGTCTGAAATCAAAGTAGCTAATTAGTTAAAATAGTATTTTGCTGTTAAATCAGCAAGTTCAGTTAAAAACCTAATTTGATCTGATATTTGATATTATTTGGAGTGATTCCAGTAAGAAATATTTTGATTTGTGCTGGATAAAATATTTTCGAATTGTTTTGAGTTAGATGATTATTGTTTAAGAGAAAAAAACGATATATTTTTACAATATGTTTTTTTCCTGAACAAAAATTATTTTTCTCCTAAACAATCGCCATCTCTTATTGCTACTATTTCAGCTACGATATATCAGTCTCATGGTTTAATCGATATACACCAGTATCAGAACCTAGTGCAACACAAATGCTTCGCACCGGTTATGGTTTTCCATCATCACCGCAAGATCCAGCCGCTTTTGCTTTGACTCCAGATGTTGTATTGCTTTACTGGAAACTACCTGCAAAACCGAATGCACCAATTCCTGAAATTAAATATATGGTATGCGGCTGTTTTATTTCATTTCCTTAGCTTAAGCAATAACATCGGTGGTTGTTCCCTATTATTAGTGGTAAAATTCGTATGAGTTATGAATTAAATGGCAGTACTGAAATGAATTTGTCAAGTACTATTTCAGATAAGTCAGCTTAGTGCTACACAATTTTCACCCTCAGCTATTGGTGCGCAACAGTTTGAAGGAGTAGATTACGCCTCAACGCCATCAGATGTTGTTTCCTGTCAGAACGATCCCTGTTCTGCTAAGATTTCCAATCTACGACCTTCTACCGACTATAAATTTTGGGTAATTTCCATTAAACAAAAGCGCTAATATGAAATGATATGAAGTGAACATATAAATAATATTTAAAAAACAAATTATATATGTATGTTTTATCCATAATGGAATAATTAAATAAGAATGCTTTAGTTTTCGAGTTTTCAATAATTTAATTCTATTATTTATCGCTTTATTAGTGTTTATCTGCTCAATTAAGCAAGAAGAAGTATGAATTTATCTTTTCCATCTTGTAATAATTTTCAGTTTAACATAAATTTAATAATGAAAAAGTAGCATTAAATTTTGTTTTACTTCTCTAATACATCATTTGATCAAATGTAAGTTAGATTACGAATTTAGGTACGTGCAATTCATGAAAGTCATCTAAACATGCAATTTGTGGATAATATGGAAGGAAATTCTATAGAAGCATCGGTTCGTACGAAAGATATAGCTGGAACATTACGTCTTGACAATATTACTGGTACTGCTGTTGTACTTCGTTGGAATTCACTGGATCCTGAATCTCATCCGAAGCGTATATTCATCGAATATCGGATTGTATGTTACATTCATTTGCTTTTATAGAATAGAATACTTACTGAGAAAAAAATATCAGTAATTAATTTTTAAGTCATATAAAGTTATTTATAAAAAAACATGCATATATGTTAGTTTTATTATTCATTTTTTGTTTTTTGATTTTTTTTGTCATTGAATATTTTAGTTTTTTTTTGATTAATAATAAGATTAATTTTTCTCAGATAATTATTAATTTATTAATTTCTTTAGTTTTTAAGGTTGGAACGGATGCTATTTGGAAATCACCGTATAATGCATCATTCGAAGGTTCTGCAAAATCTGTAACTGTAGTTATACGCGCATTGCATTCAGCTACCACTTATGATTATCGTTTTGCAGCTGAATATGCGGATAGCTATCGTTATGCAAATTATGATTATTCGTACAATGAAATATTTTTGCAAATTTCACAGCAATTTCGAACAAAACGTAACATTTTCTACTTGGGAGAAGAAAAAACATAATTAAATTTAAATTTAAAGAAATGGTTTTTTTTTTGTCTCCTCTGAAAATTGGATATCTCTCAGCTGGAACTCCATCAGCTCCAGCAAGTATACGTCTTGTTCAAGAATACAACGAATGGATTGTGCGTTGGGAGAAGCCATTAAATGATGGTGGTTCACCGATCACTTCATATGCACTCGAATTTAGGTTTACAAAATTTTTATATAAAATTTGGAAGATTGAGAAGTTCCCTCAACATTTTTTTTTAATTTGTTTTTTGAAGACCAGATGAAGATGTTGAATGGGAAATAGCTGAACGAGGATTAGAGGGTGACTGTTTATGGTGGAAACCATTGAGAATAAATTTCCTATCTGAAGCAGAATTTCGTATTCGAGCAGCAAATTCAGAAGGTTTCGGTGCATATGCATATTCGAGACATCACAGCGGTATTGTTTTGGGGAATTTATTCTTCAATTTAATATTCAAAATTTATTTCGGAGGTACAAGACATTTTCACTAATTTAGTTTTGTTATGCTAATTCTCATTATTATCTTATCTTTTTGTTGAAAAATTTCTTGCATCTAACTTTCAGATCGTTTAGGGGAATCGCGCACTCATTCGTTATGGATTATAATTATTACACTTTTGATTGCTATCCTTTTACTAACTACTGTCATTGCCATATTATTTGGTATGTGTTTACTTTTATAACTACAATTTCATTAGTAGCTAAATTTGAGGATGAACTTCTGATTTTAAATTTCTCAGATATTACTAGAAGGAATAAAATAGTGAAATCAATAATATTAATAACAAAGCGAATACAGTGATTTGAAAAAAAAAGAATATATCATATTTTATTTTAGTGTATTATCAACGAAATGACAGAAGACGCAATAAAATTCGATTGCAAGATATAAGTTTGCATGGTTATACGAATTCAATCAAAAGAGATATTTTGCCTGCACATGTTATCAATGATCTAAAAAGTATGTCATGATTTTACTGCTGAAATTAACACTTCAATGATTTTTGTTTTGATGAAATGAGTTATTTTCAGCTATTCCTCGGGTATCGAAAAACAACATCAGTCTTTTACGCATAATTGGGAAAGGAAGTTTTGGAGAAGTTTACGAAGGAGTCGTAGATGGATTACCTCAGTCACTTACAAAAGCAGTTCGGGTTGCTGTCAAAGTTAGTTTTAAATTTTATATTTCTACTTCAAACATGAAATTCAAATTAATAGCTAAGGAATGTAATTAGCTCTTTCTCAGATGAAAATTCGATTCATTTCATTGTTGTCATTAAATTTCGAAAAAAACAATTTAAAATTTCAGACTCTGAGAAGCGGATTCTCTGAATCAGATCGAATGAAATTCGTTCAGGAAGCAATTTTGATGAAGTAAGTTTTTGCATTTCTTTTAATGAAATATAATGGATTCAGAATTACAATTATAATTTACTAATTCAAATTTTATTAATTTTAAGCAGTTTCGACCATCCCAACATTGTGAAATTATTGGGTGTATCACTGGAAACAGAGCCATATTTTCTGATTATTGAACTTATGGAAGGCGGTGACCTTCTTGGATTTCTTCGTTCCAGGTTTGCTCTCACTTCTCTCTCTCTCTGATCTCTTTAATCATTTTATAAAATGACTAATATTTAAATAATATCTGAATTCTGCAAAGTTTTTCTTCTCGTTGATGATTCATTTTTAGCCGCCCATCTGATTGTCTGCCATCACAGCTTTCGTTATACGAACTGATAGGAATGATGGTTGACGTAGGACGTGGTGCCGCATATTTGGAAATTAAAAAGCGTGTGCATCGCGATCTAGCGGCTAGAAATTGTCTCATTTCTTCAAGGAATTTTAATACACGAATTACAAAAATAGGTAATAATTTACTTCTTAGTTTAACATAAATAATTTTTTGGAAGAAAAATAATAGCTAAAGTTTAATTAATTTCTGCTATCTTGTTTTCTTTAGCTATTAATTTTCCTCTCAAAAAATATTTTTGGTCACTTATTGTAGCCGATTTTGGTCATGCTCGTGATATTTATACCAACGATTACTATCGTGTACATGGAGATGATTTCCTGCCATTACGATGGTTATCACCAGAATCAATTAACGATGGTATTTTCACATCAAAAAGTGATGTATGGTCATTTGGTATACTACTGTGGGAAATCTTAACTCTTGGACAACAACCTTTCTCAGGCAAAAATAATGTACAGGTAAAGTTCTTTGAGAGAATGATCAAAATTTGATTTAGCTCAACATGAAAAAAGCTGATTTTCAAGAAAAGAAATACGTTCACTCGAAGTTTTTGATTATTTAGCTTCTTAAATTAAAGTTTTTTATTCTTTGTCTTTGCTTACTGCAAAAAGCGATAAAAGCTCAATGTTTTTTAAAGCTGTTCAATTTATAGAAATTTCGAAAGCTAATTAAAAAATTATTTTTATTAACTGTAGGTGATGTCCTTTGTGAAAAACGGTGGGAAACCGGAGAAGCCACAGTTCTGTCCAGATGAAATGTATGTAAATTCATTTGCTCTTATTTCTTGATGTATTTTATATTATCATATTCATTTATTGTGTATAAGTGATTGGTTGCTTACAGTTTTGCTATTGTGGAACGTGCTTGGATTTATGATCCAGAAGAACGTCCAAGATTTGCTGATCTTTTGCCAGAGCTGGAAGCTTTACGCGGTTGTCCATTGTATCAGGTTTTTCAGCATGCATTATTGATTTCTGCTCCTTTTTCCTTGTAAAACATACTCGAATGCTGTAATAAATTTAAATATATCCTTGCAAAATTTAACTCTTTATTTACAGAAAGATGCACCATATCCACCGAACTGTTCATCATTGAAAACTGATTCAAATTTCGAGCTTTCGTTTAATTCTAACATAAGCCGTGGAGAAAGTGGACGTAGTGGAAGTGTAAGGTTCGATAAGAGCGGTCAGTTTGTAGCAATTTGAAATATTAATGGATTTTTTCTTGCAATTTACGAAATTTTTTCACACATGTCAGTAGAAGACAGTTTATGTTTGCTTTTCAACTCAGTTTATTTTTTTCTATAAATAATTGTTTTACTCTTTTTCAGATAATCCTTCAGCAAAACAACAAGGCCGTCCATCTATTTTAAGGTCGCTTCGTAGAGAACGTCCGAAACAACCTGTATGGCGCTTTTATATTTGTGATTTTATATTGACATCAAGCAATTTCTAAAAATTTGTATTTTTGGGATAGAGATTTACATCTTTTGAATTTTAGTCCAGAACGCTATTCCCAACGCTATTATTCCATATCTAGTTACAAAATACTGCGAATACAAAATATTGTGAAGTACATCGTTTTAATATTATAAATTTATCATACTGCAGCCCAGTTTCGCTGATTTGGAAGCCAGTAATCGAAAGTCGAGGTCAAGGAATAGCGTTACGAGTGATATCGATTCATTCATTCGGGGTCAAGTTACTTTTTTTTACCTTGGTTCATATCAACTAACGAACAGATTGAGCTCTTTATGAAGTGAATTTATATTATTTGTAATTGCCTATGAATTAATTCAATGATTGGTCATCACTCATAAACTAACTGAAATTTTTCTTTTTAAGATTGCGGCGAGGGATTTGATAATAACACTTTCATATCAAGTGGCTGTTATGGTGAGATATTTCATTTACTGAAGTACAAAGGTGCCAATAAAATTTCGAAGTTATGAAATTTGCAAATTTTAGAGGTGCCGAAAAAACCACATCCAAAGAAATCACAGAAAAATCGACCAAAGCATCGAGCACCTAAACTATCAAACTGTTCTCCTGTATCGTCATCATCGGCAAGTCCTCATTCTTCTCCCAGAACTCCGTCATCTGGTGATAGTGACATTCCATCAATATATTTTCGGCCAGCACGAGTTAGCCGAGTTTAAGAACTATTTTTTCTTTAGTTGACATTATTCACAGCGACAATAACATCGGTTTTTTTGTATTTCTTGGTTCACTTATCACTCTAATTTTCCATCACCTTCATCCTTGTTTTAGATTTTAGGATGAGAGATTGTGGAAATTAGTGGGGACGAAATTTAGAATTATAAGTGGCAAATTAAAATATTTTTTTGTACGCAAATCATTTTCTTCCTCTCTGTTACTGCATGAATTTGCCTGCGTATTTAGAATTTTAAAGATGTTCTTTTAAAAGAATTTGATGACATTAGCAGTCAGGTATATGTCTAATTTCAGGTGCTCAATTTATATTTTTTTTCACTTGCGTTATAATCAAAAGCTCTGTTGTGATCAATAATCTAATAGAAATGGTATCAATGTAGAAATTGTGATAGTTCGCTCTATAATAGCTTTTGTTAAATTTCATATTGATTGCATTTCCGTCCTTTCAAACCCATTCATTTTTCTTCTGTAAATAAAAAGTTTTTGTTTTTTGCTTTATTCTACTTTGCTGAATTCCTCACACATAAAAAGCAATATTAGCAGTTGAAATTATGTTTGGAAGCGCCCAAAGTTCAAAAACTTTTGTTCCACTTCAAACTTTGGTAAGAAATATACACATTTCTTTTATTTGCCGTAATTTCTACTTTTGTTGCATATAATCATTATTTTAAGCATTGATGTTAGATTTTAACGTCATAGTAAGCAAGTATTTTCGTCATAGTATTTTCGAAACTTCTTCACGCAAGAATACTTCTAATTAAACGATTATACGACCGGTTTGTTCGGTTTATACGAAATTATATAATCGATGTAAAGCGGTCCTGTTCAGAAGAGAAACGAAACAAATAAATTACCTGAGATTTTTAAAATTATGAAGGCTCTCGATTAAGTTTTGTAATATGGAATAAGAACTCTTTAGATTTAAAACTTTTTTAAAGAACTTTTTAAGTCGAAATAAACGGTATTCTGATGAAGTAAATGAAATTGCTTCGCTTGAAAATTTATCTCTGATATTCGTTAATTTTTTGGTTAAGGAAGATAGGAAATCCTAAAATGATTACTATGATATGCATGATGAATGAGGTAATACATTTAGAATGGGATTTTTTATGATAGTAGATAAATAACAGGCATGCATAAAAACAAAGTATAGCCTACTCCCTCCCTAATAAAACAAAGGCTTGTAACAAATAAGTACAGTTAAACTTTTGTTAAACTGTGACACCTATATTAGCGAAAAATTAATTCAAAATGATCTAAATGATCCCTTACTTCATTTCATACTAACGAAATTAAAGAAACATTGTAAATTTAAACTTATCCAAACAAATTTCAGCTAATCTCTCATGCTTTTCTCAGATTTATTTCACTGACTTCCTTACGACTGCTCCACGTTGCAAACATTAATTATTTGAACGATGGTAAACAATAAACTCTGCTGGGAATTTTTTGTTTCAAGTTGAAATTTCAGTAGATTTCAAGAATGAAAGTAACATATACTTTCACTAGAACTTCAGGAGAGCTTATCGAAGTAGCGCACGTCTCCTTTTCCTCGTTTTTTCCTACCATATTTTAAACATAAGCATAGCAAATTTCCTCACACTGTAAAATATGACTAGAAATTTGCATCAATGCGCTCATAACCGCTAACCCAACAGATAGCAAGCAGCTTAGTCTTCCGACCACTTGCAATAAATGCCATTTCACGATACACATCACCGACACTATATTTTTGCATCATTCTGTTTTCCGTCTTATTATTGGCACGATGTCACTATTTTAACTCGGAAATCTGAAAATTTGCACAAATCCCCGAGACAGAAACCCTATTGCGAAATAGAATTTGAGTCAGTACCCTCCTGCAGTTCATGCATTTCACAAGGGAGGGATAGATTTACTTCAATTGGATTGCCACTGTTGGGCAATCTTTTCAATGCTATTAAAATACATAGTGAGACCTTTAACTCTGTAATATTATCTCAACTCTATATCATTACAACATTGGTCTAATGAATAATTTTCAGTTAGCAAATTATATAATAAATATGACCGTTTACGAATGTAAATATAATAAAAGTCTTCCTTTTTCCTAGAAAATTTTTCCCACTATCAGGACGACAAATGTAAGAACAGTCCAAAACTAAAAAAGGGGAATGAAATCAAAGACTCTGATGTGAAAATTCAACCAGCTCCGAAACACATTTGTGCATTAAAATCGAAGCAAAAAAAGCATCACACTTTGCAAAAAGGTTTTTCCGATTACTCCGCATGAATACTTCGATTAGATTTAATCTTCTCTACTATCAGATTATAAGTGTTCAGTATATTTTGGGCCATAAAAAGTTCAATTTTCCAGTTCAGTTTCAGAGAAATTCAGGAAACAACCATAAAGTGGATTTTACATCTTTAACAGCACCAACAACAATGAAACGCAGATTAAAAAATCATTTGAATATTTTTCCCTGATTGAATATCTTTCCATCGAAATCACCCTCCCACATCAAATATTCATTAACAAGTTTCTTCGTCTTTTCATCAGCAGGATCTAACTTCTTCCAATCGTAACTTTCATAATCAACCTTAAAACGATAACACTTGAAACTTTAGATCAATCTCAGATCATCAAAATTTTGCTCACCTCGAGAAATTCATTCAACAAACCTGCCAGTCTGGTGAGAGCTTAAACGCTAATTCATGTCCTCTCCAAATCCAAATCCCCGATATTGTTGAATTGTTATCGGTACCAAACAAACAAACTGATGCGAAAGCATTTTTCTTCAGTTTTTCTAATCTTTGGAACATCCCTGAAAACTCCAAACTTACAAATCGTGATTTTTCACAACGAAAACAACTAACTCCAAAATTTGTAGAATGTGACATATAGCTTTCCTTATTTTTCGACTTATAAGTCTACTTCTTCAGTGGTTTCTTTGCAGAATTTCAAACGCATAGTTGTAAGCATTAACCAATTAACCAATATCCCTAAATTCGCTACTTATCAAATGATAGCTAATACTGCTTAAAGGTAAATATGACGTTTCAAGTAAAATACCATATTCTCATCCCACAATAAAAGACTATTTACCACTTATAAGATTACAACTCATAAACGTCAGAGTCAAATCTTCGGGGTACTTATATTCAGCGAACCAAATCGAATAATTCTCCAAATCAAAGTTGTCCCAAAAGTAAGGCACTGCTTTCGTAGCCGTATCTTCGTTGGAATAAACTTTCTTGAAAGAATCCATCACAAAACTTCTGAAACATATTTTGCAGTAAAAAGATATTAGAATGAAAAAAAGAACCAGCTGAATACTTTAACATGGAAATCAATCAGCATTTTCGTGGAAATTTCTACCCTTTAGGCATAGCAGCGAAAGGATCAACTGATTTGGGCTCCTGAGCTAACGCTTCATCGACAGCATCTGGTTCATCATCATCCTCGTTTTTTGTTCGTTTGGTCTTTTTATCTGAATTTTTCGCATTAATCTAAGGAACAAGAATAAGCATGAGAAAGAGCTAGAAATAAAATATTTGAAAATGCTTCATTCGCAAATTCACCTTCTTTCTGCTGTTCTTTGTTTTGTTTCCCATGCTGTTCCTTGTTCTTTCCATCTGAAACATGCCTCATTACAGACTAGAATGCACGCAAAAATTCGAATACAAAAATCTTAGAAGAGCTTTGAATATTGGAAAATTACGAACCTTTATGACTAGTACGTTCTTTCGATAATTTTGCAGATAATTCTTTGAATTTCGCAACTGAAAAATAATTTCTTATTGAAAAAGTCTGCAGCATAGAAAATATATCAGAAATCATTTGTCGCATAGAAAGTAGGCTTACTAGAATCAAACAATACAAATCGCAGCAATTCCTATCGCTAAAAAAAGGATAATTTTCTAACAATCTACAAGTAGAGACCAAAGCCATGACTAAAATTAGATAATGAACCAGCTCTAGCAATATTTTACACTTACTATCAAATTTGGGAACTTTTACGGCAAATTGCACTTCTCCAAGAATGTCTTTAACAGGTTTTTGATTAATTATGGTTCTGAACCAACGATTGACGTTAATCAGCGATGCACGCGTTGCTTCATCCAAAACATACTGAAAAGTGAGAAAAAACACTTAATACTGACTTTTATTTTATGCACAAAATAATAAAATCGCCTCACCTGATATGCAGGAAGTAAATCCATCGCCACAGAAATATCAGCAAGAGACATCCTTTCTCCAACTAAGAAAGTTTTTGATAGGAGCAATGTATTAAAACACTTGAGCTGAGTAAGCAATTCTGTCTTTGCTGCTTCTAACATCTGGAAAAGCTAAATAATAAAAAACATATCTCACAAGTAAGAGCAATCCTAAAATTAAATCATCTCTGTCATCAAATATTCGACTGTTAACTGACAGCTATTATAATAAACGCCCTTCCAGTTTTTCTGGAACTTACTGGCGAGTAGCAACAAAATCTAAGCGCACCTGAACCATGCTAAATATATTACGTTTTGAAATAATATAGCCTAATTTGTACTATTGCATTGACTTCTTAGTGATAGAGAACTTTATCTTCTGCTGGACCGAAAAGCAACGGAAAAATGAATGCACCTGTACCTATATTCCTTACTCAAGCAGGGAAATAAAGCATTAGTCATATATACCTCGTTATCAATATGAGCAACTGAAACGCTCGGTAATACGTAACCTAAAACATTTGGTATTAGGTGTCCCTCAGACCACTGCATCCACTGCAACACTTCGGAGCACTGGAAATAACCAAAATTAACCTATCAATGCAATAAAAAGAAATACCGAACAAGACGTAACAGAGAGGAATAATGAGTACATAATAAGCACTAGACACCAGAAATAGAAATAGGTCATTGAATTGGAAAATCATTTATTATCCTAACATTTGCTTCCTTCATTGCTTCACCTGCCAGATGAAGCATAATTGCGTCAGCACCGAATAACGTGATATTACTATCTTCCATTGCTGGAGTCTAAAAAAAATATCTTGCTTCAAAAAATTAAACAGCAAGGTAAACAATTTTATTGAACAATACACCTCTTTCTTATCACGAAAAAATAAGAGAGATGCAATATTTCTGCTTAACAGTAAAATACGATTAAATCCAAGAAATACATCGATAAACCAACCACTCCAAGCGGAAATTTATTATGTGGGGGCTTTTGATCTAGCACACTGATATCCTTATTCCCGATTTTGGCAGCAATCAGAATTTTTTGCATTCGAAAACTTTTTGGAGACCCATAAACTTTCTGAAAAAGCAATATTAATAATCATAATCATAACTGCTATCAATGTGACAACCGTAAGTATAAATGGAGCGGACAACATTGAACTTACACAAGGCATTTTCGCTGCTAAAATCCACAAGTTGAAAGCAAATCCTGAAATGATCCATAAAACATTTTTTTAGAGAAAAATAGACGAGGAACAAGACACCAATACAGTTTGTAATTTCAGTTGTCATATATGTATCTAGTTTGAATCAAACAACACGTTACTAACATAATTCTTCCGTAAATGAAAATTATCTTGCTGGTTTCCTTAGGGTAGAATGAATGTTTAACAATTATCCTTCCTATCGTTTGAAGACAAGAACACATTAACATTACCGCGCAAGAACAATGGAAAATTTAGAAATCACGCACTACTTCTGACCACCTTTCATACAAGTCACGCTTTGTGATATATAGATGAACAAATAAAACCATTTGGTAGAAGAATTGGATCAGTGTAAGGCTCATACGTAACCATTTTTAGATGGATCTAAAGAAACGTCCCTTCCATACACTTCAAACCCCTCTGCGAGTTCTCCTAACAAATAAACCAACAGTTGCTCGATCGGTAGGCAACGACGTTGTATTTCACGCTACCCTGACATGTACGGAATGAAACATTTAATCTTATAGTTCGTTTGTAAATGTTTATACAAATGGCCATATTAGGGATTGACATAGTTAAGACTGTTGAATATTCTCATTTTTTGAATGCAAAAGCAGTGAAGAATGATGGATGTCAGAAGGTGATTGGTGTGAATATATATACTTGCGTGAAGAGGTAAGACAGAGAAGTAGTGGTACTCCCTCCAATTTGTGATCAATATGGCCGTACGGAGAGAGCCATGGTGTTCCTTCCAATGCATAATATACAATGATTGCTTTTTCTTTCATATTGTTCTAGCTAGCAGTTCATAGTTATAGATCTCTCCTAAACTTCAAAATTATTCATAAAGAAATTGTTCCGAAGAGAAATCCGCGTCCTAAACTACTGCTAGTTTGATTATTGCTTGGCAGTTTTTTAGGGAGCATAAATAACGTACTGAAAATAGTTAAAATGCTTAAACGAACTACTGATTGGATTAATGCAAATCGGATACTGCATGAGTTAAATAGGGGAATGAATTTTTGGATATCAAGTTCGAACTTCACCTGTTAGTTATTATTTTGTAACAGCTTTGTTGATGTATTCGGGTGAATTCGCAGAGCCACGTCTACTACATTCCAAAGGATTCATACAATTGTGCATCGATAAAAGTGCTACCGACGACACCGGGGTACACAATTTTCTCTATTGCTTCGCTTAGCTTTTATCTAGATAAATTGTTTTCATTGTAATTATCAAGGATGTTTAGTCATTCCATAAAAATTATCTCTTGTAAGTCCAGATTAAATATGATGCCTGATAGCTTGAGATAATAATGCTAAGATATTCCTTTTATTAGTCAAAGTATCCAGCGATAATCGTTTCTCTCACAGTATTTTCTTGACTTCTTGACCTTCGTGGCAACTCACAAACGTGAGATGTTGGTAGTTTCGTAGCATTTGAATCTAATGAGTGCAACTTCATTACTCCTTTTCTCTGTTCGTTACACTTTCAATAACAATTGGTTTAGTTCTTCCGAAAAAGCTTGAAGGTTTATGGAAAGAACAAAAAAGACTGAATACTTCCACTTACATAGTATCATCGGCATAATATTTTAATTAAATCTAAAAGTAAACTCATCAATGAGTCAATCATATTCCGTCCTATATAACTATATTACATAAAGTAAACAATTAGATTGCAGTCATTCTTATCGGTTGGGATTGATGGTGACGTATGGATTTGGACAGGTGATGAGCTGGATGAAGCTGAATACTATCCTAAAAACATCAAAGGAAGAACGCATTGCGCAATAGCTTGGCATGTAAGAAATCTTTCAGCGTATTTTGTTGGAAGTGTGCAGAAATCATAAGTCAAGGGTTTGGATTTGAGTTCGGAACTTTTAAAGTTGCTTAAAAACTTTGGGATTTAGAGATTGGTTTTTCGATAAAATACAAAATTTTTAAGTCATTGAATAAGATTTATTCTCTAATTTACAACGCAGCGATTCCGTTGTTACTGTTGTCATCTTTGATTACTAGTTATCATTTATCATTATCATCACTGTTTACCAGAAAATAATTTTCCAGAGAAATGACGTGTATATCGGATATACAAGTACAGATGACCAAACAGGTATCCAAAAGTCAACAGTTTCTCGTTTTGAGAAAGATTCCCTACAATTGATTGCACCAATAACCACTTTTTCACTGGATTTATCTAGTATCGATATATCAAAATCAGGAAAATTTTTGGCCGCTGGTTCTATGTATGTTTATTCTGAACAAGTTATAATTTTCAGTACTAAAATTCTTGTAGTAGTTGTTGAGTTTAATATATTTCAGCCCGGTATGTTTTGAATATAGTCTTTATATTTCCTTCTTTTGCAGCGATCATGTTTTGAAATTAATAAATCTCGAAACAGGAGATATAATTCGTTCTGAAGCAGATGGGCAGATTATGTGTGTTGCAATTAATTCGAGAGATGAATATTTGGCTGTTACAGCAACTGATGGAATGTTACGTGTTTTTGACATAACATTACCGAAAGGTGAGGTTCCTGAACCGATCACTGTTCGGATTTGTTCGCGTATTATTGACATGAAGTAAGCGATTTTTTCCGACTTTAATGAACGATATAGGTTTTTTTTGTTCAAAAGTAAATTTTTAAGTTAAATACCCGTTAAAAATTTTTCTTCCAGGCCATCTTGCTCTAGACTTCAACTATGTTGGGATCCATCCGGCGATAATCTCTTTGTTCCAGCACTTGGATGTGTTAAAAAATTCTGCAAGGATTTATTTAAAGAAACAACCAAATTTTTTGCACCATCGAATTCATATGTAATTCATTCATATTCTCTTCACTATTTCATTTGCAATCTATAATTTCATAAAAGATGAGCATTTGATAAGGATTAGTTCAAATCATTCAACGAACTAAAGAAATTGGAGATCACTTTAGAAAACTAATGACAAACCGTAAAGCAACCAATTAATATAGTTATCGTTTTTAAGGAAATGTTTAGTGTTTGCTGTGTGTCGTCCTGCGGAACATACTTGGCCTCATCTGCCATGAATGGCTCAATTTGTGTTTGGCAAGTTTCGACCGGTGACCTGTTAACATGTAGTAAGTATCAGATAAATGGACAACCAAAAGTGATTTGTACTATGTTTTGGCACCACTTATTGCAGGATACATTGTTTTTCGCAGATACTGAGGTATACTGCAACTTGTTTCTTGGATTTGAGTTTTTTAATTCTTAACTGGCTAATTATTTAACTAATATATGATCTGGATTTGCTTTGCAATTACTTGGTACGATGTAAAACTTGTCTTAACACTTCGCTGTATATAGTTCCTAGTCATATATTTATTGAAGTGGGGAAGATTTTTCGAAGTTTTTACTTGTAGGAGCATATATGTTCTTTAAGTAAATGCACGAGGAAGGTCACTTCGGGTGGACTTAGCAGTACAGACTTGGAATTGCAAAGCGGAAGAAACAAAACTGTTGCAAATTTTGACGATGACGAAAATTCGCAATGTATGTAATATTTATTTAGTCAGTTTTTGTTAATTTGCTTTTTATCAGTTTTTTAGATCTTTCCTATTATGACATGAAGTTTCATTTCTTTTTTCAGTATCCGTAGATATAGGTTTTATAAAAAAATCTTATGGATTTGATGAGGAAGGATCTTTCCGTGGTATCACTGATGCAAGCGAAAAAAATCCTCATATTTTTACAACTACAGAACTTTTAACTTCATACAAACCACTGGTTGTGCCGAAAGCTTTTGTGACTGGCTCTACCCCTGAACATCTAAAACAAAGATATTTGGTAAGTCTTTTTTCAAAAGTTTCTGTCATATATTTGTAAAGATTTCTCTTTAACATTATTCTGGAAAGGTAATGTTTTGCAGAAATGGAATCGGTATGGTACAATAGTGAGTTCATACAACGGAGATGACGGAAGAATCGAGGTGTTTTTAATTTTAAAGTTTGTAAATTAGTATTTTTAAGCATTATTTTAGATCCTGTATCTTCAGTTCATTAGTTGAAAAACTGATGCAGTTTGTTGCTGTTGTTTTTTTTCCGGAATTTCTTATTAGATAAAAGTGTACATAGGTGCATAAAAGAAAGATTGGAATACATGAACGTCATATTTGAAATCCGCAGCTTCAAGAGCGATATTGGGACTAATAATTTCCTGATATTCGGAACCGCACCATCGCTGCTACTTCCACACTGCTTTCAAAATTGTTATAATTAGTTAGGCAGTTGTTAATAACATAGTTATTATTCAACTGAAGCAGATATTAATTCAGGTGAGACCCAGTGTCATTGAAATTGGTCAACGTCAAGCATTGATCTTTTGTTTGCATGCTTTTAAAATTTTTATTTTTTGAGAGAATAAGGAATTACAGATAAATTGGCACGATACTTCGATACATCCGGAGATTATTATGGACAATACAGCGAATTTCTCCGTCGGTGACATGACTGATGAAATTGTTGCATTGGCGTCGAAAGCCGAGGGGGAAAGTTTAAGGTCCTCTTTGCTTTTGTTCTCAGAGTTTCAGATCGCTTTTTTTTACTTTCTTAGCTTTGCGAAATTATACTGTTGTCGGGAATGAAAAAATTGAAAATCATAGCAAAAGGTAGAAGTAATGTTTGGAAAGATATGAATGTTTGTCACGTTGAAGCAGGTTTTATTAAAAGTATCTTTGTAGTGAAGTGCAGGTACATTGTATCAAAGCTTGGGATTATGGTTCAAGAGAATGGGGCGTAACGTTGCCAAAAGATGAATCTGTCGAAAATATAGTCATTGGAAAAACATTTCTTGTTTTGGCCACATCTCAACGATATTTTCGAACATTTTCACATGCTGGAACTCAAAAAATGGTCTTTTGTTATTCAGGTAGCTATGTTTTTTAAATCCCTTTTGAATAGTTTTTTAAGAAAAATGAGTATGAAGTAAGATAAATAAAATGGAACAGAATGATGCCAGTATTTCTTTTTAGGGCCGTTGCTTACAATGTGTGCATTCAACGATATGTTTGCGGCTGTAGTGTTAAAGGGTGGTGCTTATTATGAGGACGATGAACCGCAATTTAATGTATTTTTTCGAGTTTTTTTTGACTTTTTTATTTGATCAAGATTGGTTCTAAAATTGATTTTGCATATAGGAACTATTCATTTTTAATTTAGTCTACAGCAAGTGTTTACAAAATGAAAACTGAAGGCTGGCATAACTGTCAGTCTTTGGTACAAACTGTTCCTATCAGTGTGAGCCGCAATGCCAAATTGGATTGGATTGGTTATACAAATCGTGGAACATTATGTGCAATGGATAGCAAGTGTACGTTTTCTTGCTAATGATACATTTATAGTAATTAATTAGGACGTTTTTTGTGAGCTTTTAGATAAAATTAAAATTGCTAAACTGGGCTATGGCGTTGTCTGCAGTTAATGAATATATTTCGATCATTTAATTGAATAAATGTGCTCAAATTTCTTTTAGATTTTTGTTTTATAGTTCTTACGGATGTTAGTTACTTGAGAAAGTACTCTGTCGATTTTCTATGATTAATCAGATTCAAGTCACATCTGCTCAGTATTTTATCGAGTAAGTCTGATTTCAGATTGCTGCCGGATTCTTTCCTCCAGCGGCATTTGGATTCCTGTTTATGACTTTGCCAGTAGTCTTAGAGCTAAATCAGACCACATATTTCTGATCAGTTTTATGGATTACCCGCACTGTGAAGTTCGTTATGTATATTGTCGAGGAATGAAATATCCTTTAGTTGAAAATCGTTCGGTTCCAGCCCTCGTTAAGTGGCAACTTCCGCTGTGCAATCAGGTATACTTTATTTTATCGAAATCATCACGAATTTCCCTTCAATATGTAACATGAAAATGAATAAAATTTCCGTCGAATTTCATTGTAACGCTTGGAAAATAATATTCGTTCTTTTTAAAAAATAATGATTATTCACGAAAAGTTTTTACTCAGGATTCGGAAAAATCGAAACTCGAAGAGAAGCTTTTATTAGCTGAAATTCGGAGATGTGCGTTAAACAGCGACGATGAAAACGAAAAGGAATCCGAACTTTTGGTTCGCTTTTCTCATGTTCTTTTTGTAAAATTATTTTTGAGAGAATTATGCATATATTATTTAAAAATTAAACTTGTTCGATGTCCCGAAAATTTGTTTCAGTTTATTGGGAGGAAACTTTTTCCCATATTTCTGTAAAGTTTTATAGGATATTTCGGCGGCGTGCACAAAGGATGTTGTTCGATTATTTGCACTTGCATGTAAAGCTGATCGTCAGTGTCGTGCAGCCGAATTTGCCACATACACACATTCTGGACAAATTATTCAGTCTATGTGCAATTTCGCTTCTAAAACGCGACATCCTTTACTTGCAGAAAAAGTTTGTTTAGTTACTTCGTACTTGTAATTAAATTATCATTTCATTTCCAGTCAAAATTATGTATTTTAAGATTAAAATTAAAAAAAATAACAACTTAAAGTAATTTTTAATGATTTGGTTGGATCTTTTTTTCGATAAGTTGTTGATGACAGTGTAAAAATTTCTCAGTCTTATGCCTATTTATAGGTTGCTGAAATTGGAAGAATAAATGCTACCGCAGAAAGAAAGAGAAATATCCCATCAGAAGATGGGGAAAAAAATGATTTTTTGGTGCCCAAACGATTAAAAAAGATGGACAATGAATCTGTTAGTTGTGCATGAAAAGTATATTATGCATTTTTCAAATGTTTTGAAATTTGTAATTTCTTTAAGCAAATTTTGTTATAGGAGTGCATCTCAGATGAAATCGTGATCAAGACTGTACGACAGGAACCGGAACAAGATGAAAGTGAACATATGCATGATTTAGAATTGACTCTGAGTAATAAATCTTCCTCACCATTCTTACTTCCTGTTCAATCAAGGCTACCTTCTAATCCCTTCAAAGTACAGTATCATTTTGCTATCCAAAAAGATATGATATTAGTATTATGGATTCCATATCAGCGTCTCTCCTTCAGTTGATTAATTAGGGAAAAGCCTGAAAGTTAAAGTTTTTTATAATGTTACAGTCTCTTATTTATGATTATATTTTGTTCGCTTTAATTCTTGAGCTACATTTTGCTCTTGGTTTGCAGCGTAAATCTGAAAATATATTTGGTTCAAATCAAGACAACTTTTTCGATTCATTAGCTTCTGCGTCTACAGCTACCTTGCGAAAAACGAATGATAATACTAGTGGTTGGATGAAAATGAAAAGAGAGGTTGTTTGGAATGCAAAAAAATTTCATTTACTAAATTTCAGTTTACATATTCTTATTAACTGGAACCAATATGTATAATTAAAATGAATAAATTTTATTGTACCACTGAGTCAATTTCCTTCATATTGCGTTCGCTATAATTTCCATTGCAGCCATCAAAAACTCGACAAACTTCACTGTCAGTGAAACATATTGAAGAAAAGTAAGCTGTCACTTTTAAGTATGTTATACGGTCCCAAGATTTCTTAATTCAGAATTAAGAAATGCATAAATGTATGAATATTTTTGATTTGTAAATCAAGCAGATATTGTAAACTGTAAGGTTTCGTCAGGTTTTCTTGACTGCTTGTTTTTAGAAAATTTAGAATTATCATTTGTTTTAGTTTTCAAGTTTTCACCTAAGCTGTTTACTAATTCAGTCATTCAGAGAATCGGCTAAAACAGAAACAGGATTCGAATTATGGTTAAAGTCTGCGGAAAGTAAATTAAGGGAAGATTATGATGGATGCGAAGACTTCTTAGGATATGCTGTTAAGAAATTTCGGCGTCTAAAAACGAGAGAGAAGCAGGTGAGATTTCGATTTCTCCATGCTTCATAAATTTTTCAGAAATGAAAATTTTATAATGAATTAGAAAGAATTATTTATTTTAAATATTTTTTTAAATTTAAGCATTGGAACAACTTGGCTCAAGCTTCAAAAACCTGAAATATTTGCTGTTCAATGGTTGCTATTTGGATTTTCATGCTTTATATCGAAAACCTTTTTAGTGAGAAATTATTAATTTAGCAGATTAATAATATGTCGCAATTAGTTTTCTAAATTTTAATTAAATCGATTGATTTAATAAAAACCACATTAGCAGGTTAAAGTTGATTAATTATCAGCATTCATTTCTTTTAGTTGATGGAACTAGGTCTTATAGAACGGCTATAACTTTAAAAAATATCTTATCAAATTGTTCCATTGAGAACTGATTTGTATATTCTCAGCATCTAACGATTCCTTCTGTTCGGCGCATTTTTCCGCTGTAATTGCATTATGCAATTATTCAATGAATTTTTAGAAGAGTTAACTTTCCAAAAATTTGTTAAATAATGTGATTTACTTTTTACATTTTTTATCATGCCACAGTAATCATCGTAGAGTTTCCGAATCATCTGTTACATCTGTAGTTTAGTTTTTGTATTTTGCATAATTACTTTGATTTTTGTTTCATTTAAACGAAAAATTAAAGATTTTTAATGCAGGGCTCCAAAAATTTTCTGTCTGATATCACATTAGCAAGCAAAATAGGAGAAATAAGAATTTGCGGGAAGTTTCATCTGTTTCTCTGCTGTCTTATCTTTCACGTAAGATAACATTCGCTCTTTGTACAATTAACAAAAATGGAAATTAGAGTGAGTTAGAGGATGAAATTAAAACAGTCATAAATACAGAAAAAAAGATTGATTAATTGCATGAAATGTTGTTATTGTCATGGAGAGTCGTCAATTTTTTCCTGTCTTAGAATTATTTCTTCACCCTAAAATTTATATATTTCATCGAGATGAATAAAGCGTTTTATTAATTCTAAAAGAGTACATATAAAGCTGCTAAAAACCATAAACAGTACGCAAGAATTGACTGTTGTGATACATTTGATACAAATACTGTTTAAAATTGGAAAAAGAAAGAAAAATAATATCCGACCCATTAATTTCTGCGAAATGTGTTTGTGCTACTTTTGGATTATCAATTTTTAAGACAAAAGTACTACGATTCTGTAGCAAGGGATCTTGTAGTCAGCTTTCTTGAAGAAGGGATGAATTTATATATTCCTGCTATGGTATGTTTTCGTTCTTTTAGGAATTTTGGAAAAGTCTTGAACTTCCAATTAATTGAATTTTGGCGCTGCAGCGACTAATTATTCCTTTCGAATTTATCTCTGTTCAGAAGTATATATAGAAAAAAAATATTCAGTGACTTTTTTAAAGATATGATGAATAGAATTTGCAAATTATGGTTACAGATTTCTGCACCACGGAAAAGCTTAAGAAAATTTGACGAGGCAATGCTGTAAATTTTACGTGTTTATTCCTAACCTCCTTTTACATAGTTCTGCATAGCAAATGAATGAAATAATTTTCCTTCCTAATTATAATTGGTTGCTTCGATAAATCCATCAAAATTAGGAAGTCAGCCGAAAAAAACTTGTTCACATCTTTTTGGTGAACTGGATAATTGACCTCAGCCAATTGAGCATATGTGAGTAGTTGCAGAATATCTCTGTTTATTTATAGTATATTATGAATGAAAATATCAAAAGCCGCTCTACGGATACTGTATTTTTCTCTTTCAACCTTTTTATCTATTTTTTTTTTCTTCATTCGGGACCTTATCATTACTGTTAACAGTTTCGCAAATTTCATTTTTACTGGTTTTTATGCAATTGCGCCATTCTAATTTCGAGTGGTATAATAGATATTCGCTTCTCATTAATTATGGTAATTGTTTTTCTGACTTACTTCATTCAACGAGTTAGATAAACTATATTGAAGTAAACAACGGTGATAACAAATAGCACCCAGGTATATGCTTATCAGAAGTTTTCACATAAAGATAAAAATTCTCTTATCTAGGCGATATTAATGACAGTTTCATCAAAATAAACTTATGACAACTGATGAATGAAAAATTTAACTTCTGGAGTACAGAAATATCGATTTATTGTTGCTAAGAGCATGAGTGAATTAAATTTTAATTCTTTATTAAATATTTGAAATATTTAATATTTCTTAAATTTCCGTGAACTCAACAATATTTACACAATCACAGTGAAGAAATATAATATAAAAGGAAGTTGGCGTGAAAGAAAGAATTGGAAAGAGACTTTCTTTTGATAATTTATTTCCTACAGGAAGGAAATGTGAAGATTGCATCAGAAATGATTTCCTAAAAAACTGTCAATATATTTCAGATTTCATAACTTAGTGCTTTAAAAAAAATTTTTGTATCGTGAAAAAAGTAAATTTTTCATTTGGAGGCGCTCCAGAAAGGCTTCATTACTCATCTTCTTCTTGGCCCAAACTGATCCAATAAATAGCCAAATGAAAAATATCGTTGTAGAAAAATTCAATAACATAATTATTAACTTCATCTTTCATGAATTCTTTTATAGAAGACTTTCCTCTCTCTCTCTCTCTCTCTCTCTTCAATTGATCAATCGTCTATCATGCAAAATATTGTTGCAGAAAAATTCAATAACACTATTATTTAATCTAATACTAAATATAACATAAATGCAAATGTCACATGCGTAGCGCAATTATATCAACAAAGCAAATGACAATTCGACGGCTACGATTGTCTTCATGTTCTAAAAAAATTTATTTTGGACGTTGCTTTTCATAGACGGGCTGTGTGAAAATAATATTGCTTCTCGTTATATAAAGACAAGGTTGTTTGGAGATCTTTGAGGATTAGGTTTCGTAAAGAGATTTTCTTTTGGTACTAGGTTGGGGAGTGATGTGTTTGCAGAGAACTACTGATATTAATCATTTAATTGAGATGGGAAAACCGAAAGCTATATGTACGGCTCGAAAATCCGACAGATTAGCAGGATACAAAAAAGGATATAATGGAAAGGCCGATCCATTCAGTGCAACATCACATACCAAAAGCATCAACTCTCAAAAAAGTTCAGGTTTGTTTAAGTCCTCTTTTCAGTACTTGATATCCAATTATTCATGAAGTTCTTAATCAAGTTCCGAAGTAGATAGAGTAGTTGTGGTTGAATTTTTTGTTAGTGAATGTATTTGCATGGATGCTCAAGTGTTCCTCAAAAAGATAAAGAGAGGAGAAGGCTATTCTTTCTTACCATTAGAATTTCTTTCTTGTCAATGAAATCGTTTGAGATACGGAGCTGAAACGTTGGTGTTTCTGTGTGTTTTCCATGGAATGACATTTGAAATAGGAGTAATTTACTAAGGAAATATGTACTTTCTCTTTTGCAGTAGTGTTAGAGCTAGGCAGCCCAGCTCAGCTATTCGAAAATGTGTATGTGTTTAGTTAATCAAGAATGGGAAAAGGATTACTGCATTTCTTTCAAACGACGGCTGCTTGAAATTCATTGAGGTGTTGTTTCTTTTCATTACTTCATATTCGATGACCTTAGTTGCATGTAATTAGGAGTTATCTACATGTTTAGTAACGTCGTATAGCACTTTGTAAGTCTTTACTGATTTGGACTCACATTGACAAAGACAAACTTCCCCTTAGCTCGTAATTTACTTCCTTATTGTAAAACTCAGAAATGTATCCTTCATATCTTCTCCTTTCCAATATGAATATGCAAATATTGTCATGAAGTTTTTATTACAGAAGAACGACGAAGTCTTAGTGGTTGGCTTTGGAGAAAAGGTCATGCAGTGGGATATTCTAGATGTACGTTTGAAGACTGTGAAAGTCACTATGTATTCATCCTTGATTGCTTTGTTTAAAGATAAAAAAGAGAGACCGCATTCATGAGCACTTGTTTATTGTTTCGTACTTTTTAGTCATCGTAATGTTGCTGCATAAAGATTTTTACGAAACTTTCTGTATTGTTTTCAGCTTCTTTCTGCATTTACTTTGATTAGTATTTGTCACGACAAAAGCTTATTCAAGTTTGGAAAGTATCTTCTGTAATGGACTATGTCTACAGGAATTTTATAATAACCAGTTTTTTAAGTCCAATTTTGGAAGAAGGAAATTCTTTCCATAACATACCATAACGTTGGGTAAATGCTACTTCAAACTTGGAAGAGTTTTAAGATTGAATTAAAACTGAAGTGTGTAGTATAAGTGATGTGAGACTGTGTCTCACAGTGCGGGGATGTGTGCTGTGTCATAAGGCGAGCACGGCGAGACCGTGCGAGACCGCTATCTTCACAATACGTAGAGTGTTCTATCAATATAGCTGTTGTCCAAGAGACACTGATTGCATCTTGAAACAGGTTGGCGTTCCTACATTTGTAGGTGCGCTTGGTCTGATGGTGAGATGGTCTAAGGCATTTTTACTACTCTTCCGTTTGAATGCTCTGGACCATCATTTTGTTAGTGTTAATTGTACAGATTAGTTCATTTCTGTACGGGATATGTCCATTTATGGTGAAATATCAGCTGGTTCGTAGTATTTCTGTAGTGAGAATTATGATGAAGAGATTGATTGGGTCACTGTTTCGTCTCAAACATAGCAGAAATTCGTTCCGCTGGGATCTTTAACGGCCAATTATTCTTTATCGACTCTTGCATTACAGATTCAGACTTATGAAGTAGGTTGGAAAATGACTTTTTGCTATGTTTGGGAGATCTCTCTGATAACACTTTGCCAAGCAAATGAAGAGAATGAGATTGTTCGAGTCAATGATTAGAAATGGTTGTGTAATGAACGAAATCATCACTTATAAAGAAAAAAAATAACTTGCAGATGTCGATGGAATGTCCGATACATCCCGGCGCTCATTTGGTGGAGGATCATCGAGCCGGTGATTTAATCTGCTCTGAATGTGGTTTAGTTGTGGGGGACAGGTATCGACTATTCATTGTATTTGATTTTATTAACGTTCAGATCTTAAATTAAAAATGGCATTAAGTTGACGATCAACTTTCTGTTTGAAAATTATATTCAAGACTAGTGGATGTGGGCACAGAATGGCGATCATTCAGTAACGAGAAATCTGGTGCAGATCCTTCACGTGTTGGTGCACCGGAGAATCCACTTCTTGGAAGCGCTGATTTATCGACATCTATTGCTGTCGGTTTTGGTAGTTCTGAGAGTGATCACAGGCAATTTACACATCTTCGTTTATCATTAAAGTTCTAAAGTGGTCTGGATTTGTCACTCTCGAAGTCAAAACTTTTATCATTATCTCATGCCTTTTAGGCATAAAACGTCTATTGATATTTTTGTTTATTCGATAGTTTTGTTGAATATTTCTGTTTGTCTTATTAATTTATTGTTTTAATCACATAACTTCGATTATTTGTAGCTTGGCAAATGCACAGCGCAAGAATATGAACAACATGGATCGGCAAATGTCGCAGGGTTTAAGTGTAATTCGTGAAATGAGCGCACGGATTCACCTCCCAAAATCTATTGAGGTCTCCAAGTTAATATTATGAGTGGTTTTTAATTTTTCCTGTTTTAGCAGTTGAATATCTTTCTGAAGGTACAGGTTATGCATAATAGTTTATGTGGAGCTGAATCTTTCAGGATGGTGCGGCGAAGATTTTCAAGGATGTTTTGGATAGCAAAGCATTACGCGGTAAAAATAACGAAGCTCAAGCAGCAGCCTGCTTATATATAGCTTGCAGAAAGGAAGGTGTTCCACGTACATTTAAAGGTTATTATTACTAATTGTTAATGTTGTGTTGGAGTATATGATTTCATGTCATCATAATTTTATAAATCTATTTCTTGAATATTTTAATCTTGAAAGATTTTCAGAAATCTGCGCTGCTTCTCGTGTTTCCAAAAAAGAAATAGGAAGATGTTTCAAACTGATTATAAAATCATTGGAAACGAGTTTAGAACAGATTACTAGCGCAGATTTTATGGTTAGACTGATGGGTTTTTCTTCTGATTTCTGTTTTTAGAAACTGAAAATGATTTTATATAAGTCAATTTACTTCCAAGTATTTTTCCGCTTTCTTTTTATTTAATGTTCCAGCATATTGTTTGGCATTTTAAATTAATTTATGTAAGGTTGTGTTTTTTAGCATAGAATCGATTGTTGAGTTGATATAGGTAAAGAAACTAGAGCATAAACTGTAGCATAGAAAGTGTAAAATGAGGCTTTCATCACGCTTATTTCAATAAATGATAACTGTTGCTATTAATAACCGTATTATTTCGTTTTACTTGGCGATTTGTGCAACTTTTAGTCACGATTTTGTGGTAATTTGGGTTTACCGCATAGTATCCAGGCTGCAGCAACTCGAATTGCAAAAAAAGCTGTTGAACTGGATTTAGTCGCTGGGTAAGATCGTTTTTTTATTTTAATGCTTCTGAATTAACTTTAGTGATCTGATCATACCACTTATGTTGGTTCATTTTAGCCGTAGTCCAATATCTATAGCTGCAGCAGCGATATATATGGCAAGCCAAGCATCCAACAGTAAAAAAACTGCTAAAGGTTTCATTTATGACACTTTTTTGCATTAAAAAAAAAAATCTGTTTGGAATATGGTGATATGTGCAGAAAGTTTTGAAGAAAGGTGTTAGATTTCTTAAAAAATGCAGCAATGCAGTTAATCTGCAGTGTGCAAGACCACTTACATTTAAGTTTTTAGAAATTGGTGAAATTGCGGGTGCAGCTGAAGTGACAGTGAAACAAACATATAAACTTCTTTACCCTCGCGCCGCAGAATTGTTTCCGGAGGATTTCAAATTTGCTACAGGTGTTGATTCGCTTCCCCCATCGTGAATTTTCATAATGTTTTTGCGATATTAAATCTGTATTTAATACTTTTTTGCTTTTCGTGTTTTTGTTTGTGGGGATTTTTTTATTTCCTTCCGTCATCAAATTTTATATTTTTTGGTGATTTGATTTTACTCGGTTGAAGCTTGCATTTACTGGACTTTCTTTTCTGTTTATTAGGCTTATTGCTTTATAGATACTATTACTTTATTTATTATATAGTTCACTAATTATGGTTGTTCATTCTTTATGAGAGCAGTAATTTCTTCAATCAGGATTTCCGAATAGACAGACCTTTGCATCAAAAATTTTTTGTAACTTCATTAAAAAAAATCAGAATTATTGTTTACACCAGATTACTATAACGTCATGGAAATTACTTTTCTTCCCATTTTTCGTAGTTTGTATTTTTAATAGCCGAAGCCTTTTGTTTAGTGACGGTACAAATCATCGTGATTAAATATTCAGCGAAGTGCTTTTCATGGTCTCTGAGATAAAGCTATAGTTAACGAAACAAACCATTTTGCGGAGGTAGATTGGTATAGTTTTTAAGCAACAATTAGTTTATCATGGGTTAAAGATGTGCAGATTTACCACTTTTGGTCACAGTCCTTATATATTCGAAATGTCAATCAGTGATATGCATTAAAATGTGCTACCAGGTGTAGAGAAAAATTGCAATGATTTTTATAAATTCTAATATTTCATAGTAGTTAGAAATGGAGAAGCGAAAAAGGGAAAGAAAGAATGGAAATGAAATACGATACATATTAACTTAGAATTCATTTATATCGAATTGAATTGTTGAATCGTACCAATTGTTCTAATATTCCATTAAGTTTAGTATTGATTCATGGGATGGTTATATGTATATGTTAGATGAAGCAATATAAGGAAGGAGTGGTTAGGTTTGTGTGAATGCGTATTTTGAAAAATCTAAACTCTCTAGGCTTTCCGGACGAATCTATGGCTTCTGATTATATATGCATTCCCTTCATAGGCATACTTATTATTCTACAAATACCATAAAAAGAGTGCATAACAATGCTAGGATTGGTCCGTTGAATATACACACTGAAAAGGACGATAACGAACGACTTGTCGAAAGAGAAAGTGTATAGAGAAAGTCCATACATCTTCCCCTTTTTTTTCATCATTTGCTTCAATGATTTTATCTCTTGCTCTATCCTTCCCTTTGCCAAACTTGTACTAACTAGCCTAGTTTTCCACTCTTTCTTTCTAGCTAAAATGGCCTGCCTGGATTATCCTCTTATATCTTTTAATATTTTGTCTTCATCTATTGCATACAGCTATTCCTCTTCAAACATTGATTTGCCCATTCCTGTTCAAACATTGATTTTCTTTTTTTTCCGCATCATCCACACAATTTATGTTTTTCATTGTTTTATATTTTAAATCATTTAGACATATAAGGCATTTTTTTAAAAGAATTTTTGACTTATTTTTTCATGGATTATAAGGCTGGTAGTGGGAATATTTTACTTTTTGTTTACTACTTATTCACTTCAACAACTATTCCTTTATGTATAATTAAATTTTATCTTAAAATAGATTATGCATCTAACTTTTATCATCAATTAATTCGCTGAATTAATTATACATTCATCTTCGTATGGTCTGCTCATAAATCATTTTAAAAAGAGCTTGGATAATACATATGTATATATATATTTTATTTAATTCTTTATCACACACACACACACACACACACATAATTTTCTCGTAAATGTGAAGAATATCATAATATAATATTATTGTACCTTATTATTATTTGTGTCATTGTGGAAGAAAATGTTCGTTCGCAAACGGATTTGCAAAACTAAGAGCTAAGAGACAATTAATTGAAAAAGATGGCATCATCCTAAAATGTGCAATAAATATATCATCTTATTATAAGAGAGGAAATGAAATGTATACTACATCTTTCTGTTATTGCTCTACTTTGATATTCTATTCCATCTCACTAACCTACTTCCTTAATAAAGTAAAAAGGAAAACTTTTATATTCAATTTATGAAGTTACCAAGACCATATAGCCGCCGATCTGTTTTACTGATCGGTTGATCATTAAAAAGGCGCTTGTATAAGAGGACATCTTATCCATTAAGAAATGTTCAGTATCTTCTTCATGAAATGATTCGAAAAGGAATTTACTGGCAAGAAAAATGAGTTACGCAATTCCTATTTTAATGAAAGTGAATAAAAAGTGATATGGATTATCATGGAAATGAATAATGAAATATTTGAAAACAATTAATTAATAATAACCAGAAATGGAATAGATATGAATAAGTAAATCAGGTATAGGTAAATGTTTTCACCTGATAAGACAAAAAAATCACTTCAAAGTTTTCCTCTATTCTTTCCTTCTTAGCATATTACGTGTAGAGTGATAACAAAAAAATAAAAAATTAGATATATCTATCGTAGGATAATGTGATAAATTCATTTTGTCAAAATGCGCCATTATATTGTGGGATTCATTGCGCTCAGCTTTTTGTAACTTCCTGTTTTTCTTCCTGTTCGCCTCATTTCAAGTGTATTGGATGGGAAATGATATCATTTGAAATCAGCGAGAGAATCCTATTTCAGCTTAATTAGTGCTACTATCACTTCTTGCACTAACGATCCCTATAATGCTAATATTCTGATTGTGTCTCGATAATATTAGATATTCATCTAATTATCTTGTTCTCTTACATGTATGTATAAAATATTATTTGTTGAAAATTAAATTTGAAATTTATTAGTTTATTCAATTTTACACTTTGTGCCAATTTCAATTTTCCTTTTTTTTGCCAGTAATTATTGCAATTTCAAAGAAAAAATTTTGAAAAATTTCTGAAATGATTGCAGAAAAATTTAAAACTTGATCAATTTATAAATATAAGAGAGCAAATTTGATATGTTTTCGATCGTTATTTCAAATTTCTTTTTAACCTCTTCATTTCTTTTTATATCTCTTCTGAAGTAAAGTCTTTCCAGTGATAGAAATAAAGTTGCTTTACTGTTTGAATATCACATGATGCTACTTTGACGAACTTCTTTCTGCTCTCGTGATAATCTTCCGAGAGATAAATATTTTGAATCACTATTGCTATATTCTTATTTTGGCTTTTAATTATATTTATATTTATATGTGAGAAAATATCCAATCAAGTTCTACTCCAACAGTTGCGCCTGTTCTTTAATAAAATAGCGCTTCAGGAAAAGCATATGTATCGCATATTTTTCAAAAAAAAAAACATGCATAATTTTATCGAGATTTCAATAAAGCATATCATAGCGATAAGTTAATATAGTGAAAGAGGAAAAGAAACTTAATTTGAATTCTTTTGAAATGATTAAAATCGCAAAATGAATATGGACAATTATACATAAAGAGCAAAATTCAAGGAATGAAATGAAGGATGAACTAATCAAAAGACAGTATTTATTTGTTAGTCTTAAAATGTTTTTAAAAATCCTTTTAAATCTTTAAATTTAGAAATAATTTTCTCGACTATTTTTATGGCATTTCTTATCTTTTAATATACGTTTATTGTTAATTACTTAATATAGAAGTATATTTAGTAAAAGATAACAGGTTTATATGTAAGGTATAAGATGTGATGATACGTATCGTAACTCAGAAAATTGAAGATATATTTTAACATTTTGATTTAGTTTGCTTTCAAATTGATTGAGAATATTATTTTAGCTTCACCTAACAGTAATCTTCAAATATTCATTTAGCACTTTTTCATATCACAGTGTCCTTTCCTACTTTCACTCTGCAACATTTCATTAATTGCTAATTTCCAGAATATAACTGAATAAAGGCAATAGCTATATTAAAACAATTATTTACATCTAAAATTTGGTCTAAGCTTTCAAGCTTTTTGACAGCTATGAATGAATCTATTAATAATTTTAAAGTAATCTATTATTTGACCCATTATCCAGCACTTATGATTTTCAAGCTACTTCATTCCACGTCCATTAATAGTGAAAATGGTTGAATACGCGAAAAGATCATTTCAATTTTTTCTGTTTTATTTTTAATGCATTTAAGATTTGATATTTTAAGCAAAAGGTTCAACTTATAGTAGCGATACGAAATTCAACAAAGCACTCAACACGAACAAACGGAATCGATTCATACAATATCGTTCTATTTCTTCTTCATACATAAATGATATGTTATGGAATATATTGAAGTATATCTTACAATTTGTTATTGATAGAGAACTCGAATATAGAATAGAATGATATTGATTCAATATATTGATCCCGTTTGTTAGTGATAACTACTAGGATCAGGATCAAATAATACCTCTCCAGTATTTATTATTATTATTAAATTATTATTATTTATTATAATTAATTATTATCATTATTGTCATTATTCACTGTTTCTATTGGATATTCAAATATCGTGCTATCACCAGGTAATTTATTCACATGTTTGCAGTAAAAGCTAATATGTATAAGTTGATTGATCAAATTGCAGAATTATTCATTGCTGTTGGCTGACAAATAAAATTTTCTGAAAACAATAGGAAGGCAATAAAATGACTGCGAATGGTGATATACCAGAATCTCTGGAGGAAATTAATTTGAAAATGAATGCGACAACGGATGAAGTAAGCTTAACTAAAATAATTACAGAGCTCTTAATGATATGATCTTAAACGATAACAAGCTTATTTATTTGCTGAATTGTGGTTGTGAAGAAGGTGAAATAAGCTTTACATAATTATGTTTGGTAATATCTTTGATGATCAAAAGTCATTAACATTTATTACTTATCATTTTTTACATTTTACATTTGAAATTTGAAAAGTTGGCTAATTTGAAGAGAATTAAAGAAACGCGAAAATGCTATGACGAAACTTTCATCCTCTTTTCAAAAAATTTTTTGTATTTTCTTAAAGTTAAATGAAGAAAAGTCTATTTTTGGAAACAAAAGTCTACTTTTGCTATTTATATGAAAATTACTAACC